TGGTGGTGGGGGGTGGGGGAAGGTGGGGCAGGTGAGGGAAGATGGGGAGAAGGTTGTTGATCTGAGAAGGGCGTGGAGAGGGGGGAGTCATGCTAATAGGGAGGAGACTGCTTTGCAGGCTTAGTGGGGGATTGTTTGGGGGATGGGTGTTGATAGCTTGACAAGAGAAATTGAATCTGCTTCGAGGAATTGTGGAATGTGAGAGAGGTGATTGTTTCTATGCTCTGGAGACATGACGCACAGTACAAGCCCCCTGTCCTCTTACGTGCCTTCTAAGTATTATGATCTGAGATCTCTTTTGATCTTCTTTCGTTTTTGTCAGAGAGGTGTTACATTCTGAAATCTATCGCTTAATGAACGTATCTCAAGGAGAAATGGATAGATCATAGTTTTCCCATGTAGTCTTACTATACGTCACCAAAATCACAATCCATCGTATGGTGCTGCTTGAGCAAGCGAGTATATAGGTAATAGACTTGGGCATAAAGGGATACCGGTAGCTTTTTTAGTAACTGTAAGAGGAAGAATTCCATGCTGTTATTGTACGGGCAACGTTCGGTACTGTACGTGGGATATCCCATTTTATATTAGTAAGGTGGTAGAATGTCCTGCTATTTGGCTATAGTCTATTTGAAATTCTACACTAGAATCTGATAAATGACCTGGGAAATAGTTCTTCCGGTCTGTTTAATTAGTGGAGTGCTGAAAACCGTGATGATATGTAGTAAGAGTAAGATTTACATGTTATTAGATGTTACCCTGTTGTATAAAAATCTGTTGTCAGGATTATGCTGACCAGTGGTTTCCACCACACGGAACCTGCATATATTGGAACGGGAGTGTACATCAAAGGAGGGGCATATGCCAGGGCCATATAAGCTAGACTCCTGCCCATACGTACTTAGCTCCCTAGTCATCTGAATCCAACTCTTCTGGCACCCTGGCCTTTCATATTCCTAGCAACAAAATCTAGTAAGAGTAAAAATCGGAAGTAATAGTAGATCTTCCTTCAACAATACATGTGTAAGAGGTATCGGTTATATACAGAGTGTATATAAGACAGTGGAAGTAGGATGGTCAGATGACTGTTAGGTACATCGGGAATCAAAAGAGTAAGAATTTGACTTGTGAAAATGACTTGATTTTTCTAACTATAAGGACAGTAAATGTCTATATATACTCCTTAGATAGATTCTAGGAGGTTCTATAGATTATAAATAGAATAGAAGTGCTTATAAATAGAAAGGGATACTAGAATGTTTCGGTTCACGTGATCGAACGTTCTAGAATAAGCGAGAACAGACTAAGGTTTAAACAGTTAGGTACATCGGGAATCAAAAGAGTAAGAATTTGACTTGTGAAAATGACTTGATTTTTCTAACTATAAGGACAGTAAATGTCTATATATACTCCTTAGATAGATTCTAGGAGGTTCTATAGATTATAAATAGAATAGAAGTGCTTATAAATAGAAAGGGATACTAGAATGTTTCGGTTCACGTGATCGAACGTTCTAGAATAAGCGAGAACAGACTAAGGTTTAAACCTAAAGTCTATTAGTAAGTAAGGTAATTATTACCTAAATGAAACATTGTTAAAGACTGGGAAGAATAAAAAAGCAGCTTCGAACCCAATGCATGCTAGTTTTCCTTTCTACGGTAGCCCACATTTCTTCACCGGTCACATGTACACTCTCCTGAATCCATCAAGCCACGATAAAGCTATGTTTCCTCCGCAATGGACTTCTTCATGCTGTTTGGCTGAAAGCCAGTTTATAAATTGAGCTGTTCAGCTCCCCAATTTCATCAACGACATCTTGTGACAACCTCACTTTCCTAGAACCCTCTTGAATCCTTTTGAACGAACCCCCGAAGTTTCACAGGTGCCACAGGTGAAATCCCGATGATTAATAAACTAAATATGTTGGCAATGCCCAACTGAGTAGGTGGGGCGAGCAGGACTTTCCCGTAAATTCTTTAATTGGCTGGGCTTTTTTCGCCTTTTTGGGACAATTTCTCCTGAGTAAACTGCACAGCCAAGACTAAAATAACGAGACAGACTCTACAAAAAAGAAAAATCATACAAGATATACAAGATATGAAAGACACAAAGGTTCAGGAAATCCAAGAGTATTTGCAGATGCTTACCGGAATTGGCTTAGCACTTCTCAAGAACATCGTGCATCTTCACAAAAGGTGTTGTGTTTCCCCTGGAGGAGCTTGTAGAGGATGGGTCCTGAATGCCGTCTCATAAGATTCTGAAGTGGCGCCCAATGCTGCAGACTGGTAGCAGCGAGTCTTTATGTATCAGAAAAATTGGGATCACTCTTTAACTGTTTCTGCGAGAATCACGAATCCCAATCATGAATATCGTATATGCTTACATGAGCTTCGAATGTAACTACGATGATTTGTGAATTTATTAGGGTTATTACTGTGAGGATAACGACTCACTCTAAGAAGATCACCATTAGTAAGCATACAACCTTTTAAAAGTGAGCTAAGTATGGTTGGCCCGGGTTTCTGAAAAGGATTTGAATTCGATAACTTATTGATTCTCTGATTAGTAGATTACGAATCTTACTACATGAGAGAAAACAGATTTCACTACACATATTTAATATTTATATACTGCGAGGACATTCAGTACCTAGGTCAATAGGATATCCCTAGTATCAATTTCTTGAACCGGTCTAGTAATTTAGAATGATGAACAACTGTAATTTATTATTATTGGGGCCGTAAGAAAGAAAAGCGATCCTTTAGACTAGGAACTAGTTATGTTTTAAACGTGTCTTTCCTATGATTTTACATAGACTTCTGGGTGCTTCTAAGTTTGACTTCACAAAAAATGAAGCCTCCTTCGGAGCAAGTGGCAATAATAGGAATGACTGAAAGCATTAGAATTGGGAAAGTTTTAGGGGTGAAAAGAAGACTTTGGGTGGCTCCTATACTCCTAATCTCAAAGTGGCCGATCAGTCAAGAGAGGAAAAGTCGAAAAGCCTAACATGTACACAGAAATCGACCTCAAAGTCACGTCTCGGGGGCCCATAACAGTATTGGCACTCTTGAAAATCTTTTACTGCGTTACATTTCTCATCAGCGATGAGACTGAAGTACTGTCATGGGGAAGCTATCTGCAAAGTCTCGATATCATGACCCATTTTCCCAAGGAAAATTGCCGGCAGCTTACAACTTTATCCTTCTCTCTTGCCTCTTAACAACTCAAAAGTATCAGCATCCCATCCGAACCATTTTTTCATTTGCTTCCCGATTCCCAACAATTTCCAAGCTTCGTACTTTGGTTCCGGGTGTGGTTTATGAAACACAATTTTGCCACGTCCATACCATGGGAATGTTGAGGCCGGTTCGAAAGAATATTCAGAGCCGTGTATCTGTCTCGCAATGAATCCTGCTTCATTCATTGCATGAACGAATGAAACCCAATCGATGCTTTTTGTGCGCTCTTCGAAGCTGGGCTTTTGGTACAATGCCTGTAGGGTGTCAAGGGCGCGTTTACTTACTGCTACCTTGATCGCTGGCAATGCTTCTTCTTCGTTGTTCTCGGTGCATTCTACTAAGGCCTCCATAGCAAAATTATCTGTGTGTGTCTTGACTTTGACTTTCACACCAAATGCGGAGGGTTTGTTCTCGAGTTGGGCATCTGTACCCCATTGCGTTTGAATCGGTTCAGCCTTTGGCGTGTTGTTTTTCTCCACCTTTTGTGTCCTTACAGAGACAATCGCTTTCATAATTTCTTCATGCTCATTTTGAACCTCGGAGATTTGCTTTAGATCTAGATCGGCAGACAGAACCATGAGATCGTTGCTAATGTCATCTTCTCCGAGTTTGATGAGCTCAAGGATTTGTCGATATCTCTTTCGTATTTGTGCCCAAAATTGACTGCACGCAGCTCGTTGAGTTTTGTCTTGGTCGAGCCATTTCTGATTTACCTTGGACTGTGCGAATACTGAATTAGCCTTTCTCTAGTAACGACTACCAATATAATGGGGTCCACTTACTCCTGTTGGCTTTTCTGTATTCAGGAACTTCTCCATAAAATTTCCCAATAACTTACAAGCCTGAATCCTCTCGTCTTCGGTCTCTACGTTACATGGGCCTAGGCAGTCTTGTTCTAGATATCCTGCTCGCAGATATCGCCATGCTTTACCCTCATTTTCCTTCATGGCCTCTTCAATCGAGAGAGTTGGCACTCGTGGTTGGTGAAGTCTCACCATGAAAAGAATTTGATGCAGCGCTGAAAGGTCGGAGAATGAAGCGTAGAGTACTTCATCTAGCCTACTGGCGTCTTGCTCCCTAGCCTTTGTAAGATGGTCCTCAAGTATAGCCAGTATCTCAACAGGCTCATGCGAGACTGTATAAAGTGCATCAATGGAAGTATCATTTAGGGACACCATTGATGCCTCCGTCAATGCCAACAGACAGAATTGCAAGGGGTCCTTCTCATAAAGCTCAATTGTCGTAAGATCGTCCTTCCTGTGGTGGACGACTTTTTCTACAGAGCGCGAAAAATAAGTAATCTCTTTCCTATATTCAGAACGAAATCCGGGACGAGTCTGGATGGCAACTAAGCAGAATCCTGCCACATCTCGGATGAGATGAGACAGCAATGCCGTTAGACGAGCAAGCGTGTGTGCATAAGTTGGGTGAAGTACTATGCCGGGCTTAATCTGTCCATCAAACGCTCCCAGTTTATGAACCTCCTCTTCAATCCACTCCCAAATCTGAAGTGATGTCAAATTCCTCATAAGCATTATCGATATTGTGTACATCTTTTGCGGACGCCGCATGTTCTCTCGTTGGACGCCGTTTAATAGATTGGCTGCATAATGCCTCATGGACAATGGGTCGGTCTGCAACAACCATAGATGATCTGCATGAAAGTTTTTTTGGGATTCTGCAATTGAACGAAAACTGCTGATGTTGAAGGATGGCGGTGCAGAGAATGGTTGATTGATCAACTTTGAAGCAAATTCAACACAATTCGAGAGACCAGTGACTTTTTTCAACCCAGATGCAAAAGCCTGGTCAAAAGATCCTCCGGAATTCTCCTCTGATATAAAGTTGCCATCAAGAAGCCTCTCCACAACCCCTTTCAAGAACTCCGAAAGCCTCATTTGTGCCTCTAGAACAAGGTTCGCTCTGGGAAAACCGACAATGTCCCAAGTATGAGCCAAGTCCTCGTTCCAGGGGACGAGTTTTCCATAATCCGTTCCATGCATAATAATGCAACTTCTGTTATACACTGTAGCAAATGTTCCTATGTTCCATTGTTTATCGAGGAGATAATTGTCGAAAGGAGCCCATTGTTGTGGCGAGTAATTGATTCGATTGTAAATTAAATGCAGCAACTTCGCAGGGTTGTCTTTCAGGCCTTGGAAGTTGATATAAGGTAACAAGCAAATATTTCGGTAAGGGCGCCTCACATTTCCTTGTCGGTGTTCTTCTGGAACTGCGTAGGGAATTTGGAGCTGGCAATACTTCTTTATGTTTGGCAACCCTACGAATTCTTGAGAGAAGCGTATGTCAGACTGGTTCGGGTAAATATCAGGATCGACTAGAGACAGAAGGACTTTGCGTTTCTCGCTGCTCTTCTTCTTCCAGCGTTTCACAATTAGGCTTCCATTGACCTCGCATTGCTCTCGAAGGTATTGCAGATTTTCTCGTGTTCTTGCGACTAGATTTGCTGATTATTCACTGGCTTCGTCGTCGGTGAGTATTGCCGTGTAATTGAATTCGAACATTCTTTGGTCATAGGGGTCTCGAAATTGTTGACGGCAAGTCGAGCATTTACACGGGGCATTCACCAAGATTCTGTGACAAACAGTCTTGCCATCCCGTGATATTCCCGCATTTATCGGCCCTCCAGGGCATATTTCATATGTTCCGCTATACGATGTTAGTTCTGAAAGCAGTTGAGGTGGGGGAAACAGTCGCACCCAGGAAAGGTTTTCTCTAGCTCAAAGCACTCGTTGTACGAGGCAAAGTTCCGGAGCTCAAGCACCATGATGGAAACTCGAAGTATCAAGACAGTGGCCGAAGATGTCTTCGTACGGGGTTGAAGTTGAGATCGACGAGTAAAAGTGAAGGAGTACGGGATCTAGGAATGCTTCTCCTTCACCTAAGCGATTACCGGCACGTGACTGGCTCATGGTGTGGATTTTTCCAGCTCAATAGTTGTGGCAATACGGCTCAATATCCTATTATTCTACTGCTACGAGCCATTCAAGTCAATTTCCTAGGTATTCCTAGGTTGGTTGTCGGAGTCGAATCTAGATGATTGTCTAAACACTCGACCCAGTGAGAGTAATCATGAATTTGAATTATTCAGATTATTCCACGAGGTCAAATTATACAAGAACCGAGGTGATCTTAGTTAGTGAACAATTCCGCTCTTCACTTTCACAAAATACTGTTAGATCGACCTCGTCCGGACTCCCACAGAATCACATCACATGGTTTGTCGCTTTCTATGTCTTCATTAACACCTCCCACGCTGCGCCATCTTCTCCAATCATTCCCTCCAATACTTTTTTCGCAGCATGAAAACCATCATTGTGGGAAAGGGAGCTACCGGCGTTTGTTCTCACCCACTCTGCAGAATAAGTGCGTAAACCCTGGTGCCTTTATACATGACAATCATCGGACTACCTTGAAATCCTTGTAGTGTTTGACCCCGACAAGGGTTTTCTATTGTTGGCATGCCGAATCTGAGATCAGTCTTGGGGATAGAGCAAGTGCATGTGGTTGAGATGTTATATCAACTATGTTGGTGTCATCGAAAGGGTGGAGGGGTTTGGCACCGGTTGTAACACAGATCGCACTGCCTTTTTAAAAAGCTTCCCAAAGCGACCCAAAATGAAAAATATAGAAAGGCTCAGTTACCAGACAGACTAAGTTTTATTGCTTTAGCCCTAGGGTCATATTCTCTGCTTTAATTTGACTTGTTCAGGTAAGTGAGAGCTTGATCACGTCCAGGCGGTTCGAGAGCATGCTTTTGGGAACCAATTCAGGAAAACAATCTCTCCTTCATGAGCTTGTTTGGAAACATGAGAGCTTGAATGCTCCATGGCGTCAATGGAACCGTTTTGCCGAATATGCCATTGGAAGTCCCATCTAAACATAAATTTTTCTGAAGGGAGCAAGTAAGGGTTCTAATTGGCTGAGAAGTCGCAAGTGTGGGACTACCACGTGGATTTTGCCAAAATTATATGGTCCCACGTGGGATTCCTTGATTCCATAGCTACTAGGGAAATTAAGTCTTTTCCTTTACACCAAAGATTTCTTTCAACTTTTTATGTACCTCCTATGGTTCTTAGAACACGATATATGTACTTTATGTGATAGGGGGTTAATGTCTTAAGCGAAAGTGGGGATGAAACGCAGGTTATGAATTAGCTCCGTACTACCAGGTGGGAAACTGAGTAAGAGAGGCGGGCATTACTCTGTACACACTTGGGTTATAAAATATTATCCTAAAGACCTCACACAACTAAATCAATTATACGAACAGTTTAGAACAATTACTTTTCAATTCTTATTGTGCTAGGTGAAATGGGATAATTAAGTTACTTGTACCAGAGTTTTGACATAATGACTCTTGAGAGTGTGTACAGAGCAATGCTCGCCTCTCTTACCAGAATTTCCAAGAAACTACATGAATAGAGAATGGTAAGAATTTCAAAGACACCACTTGGACCTGGCTGCATGCTAAACTACTTTTCAGAGGTAATACTGCGCTGCTTCTGCTGCCTCACATAACACTCTCCAATATGGTCACCTTCCTCCCCAGCAATGACCCACTCGCCGATTCCTGCAGAAGAAGGCGCGACTCGTACACCTACACCTCCTCCACCAAGAATCAAGTTTCCAGGGCGATAATTCGGATCCATTTTCATGCGTCTTATTGCAGAACAATGGATTTTGGCATGGTGTGGCATATCTCTCACTTCTCCTCTTGGCAGTGGCCTGGTCGTGTCAGTTACTATTCGCTTATTTTTCTGACATGAAATATGGACTTACCACCTAATTGGTTTCCAGCTTCCATCATCACGTAAGTCCATGCGACGAAAAGGAATCCATTCCATGACTTTCCAATTCAGTACTGACATTCTAGACAGCCCTTGATCAAACATCAAGCAATCATGGATCTTGCCGGAAGTAGCGTGATGAAGCTTCTGTTTAAATTCTCCGTGCTTCTCCGAAAATTCATCGCTACTGCTGCTTCCAACCTTGTCTCCTTCAAGCTCGATAATCGGGATATCTCCTCTTCCTTCAATACTCTCATCCCAGCAATGCAAGGATTTCATCTTGCTTTCATCGAATTCCAGACCAGCTTTTCTGGCTTCTCTTACGATCCAGACAAGTGGAACATGGCTCAATGGTGTTTCTCCCTCTTCAAGAGCCCATCCACCCCCGATATCAGCATGTCCGCCAGGAAACCAAAGTTCTTGAATGTCCTGATCATCCTCGTCGCCTGAGGAAGAGTCATATGCGTCATCGAATGAAGGCTTTGTCGAGCAGGTGCCAGGAGAAACACTACGGTAGATGGATTTTCCAGCTGTGGAGTGGCTGCGAGAATGAGAATGCGACCGGTAACGTGATGCTCGACTTTCATTCCGTTGAGTTCTACCTCCCTGTCTCGGTTGTCTGGTAAGTTTTTGCTGTGTTTTTTTAGTTGGCTTATAGCGATTGGTTTCGTGGAACCACACTGAGGATTTTCTTTCATGATGCTTCTCCTTCGCGCCTTCAGTCTCTTGGATGTTTCGGCCTTCGACTGAAATCAGATCTGAGCGAAATTTTGCGCGTCGTTCATCGATGGAAACTGCATGTCGGATAACCTTCGCTGAGCTTTTTGCGGAATACTAAAATATATTGTAAGTAGGTCGGTCTTCTAGTACTACAACGATCAATCAATCTTACCGGCATATGCCTCCGGGACATCATGGCATTTTCGAAGCGTGGGACTGAGTTTACAGTATCGAAAAGCCCAAGATATCGCTAAAGTGGTCAGTCCGACAATTAATTCAGCAGATGGTCGATCAAAGCTGTTTCCGAACATCAAATGAACTTACGATTCTGCGAACTGGTCGCGAGAAAGTCTCTCGAAATGATACCATGAATTCGTAGGCTTTCTTTCTTGATTGCATAGCGTGTTCGTTGGAGTCGTCCATGGCCTTCCACTTCTCAAAGGTTCTCCAGGCGAATTGAATCATTTCTTCATTCCCATGAGTGATCAATCCCATCCAATCTAGCATCTCAGCAAGAAATCTTGCCGTGTAACTTCCCCGAGAGAACCCAAACATGTATATATCATCTCCTTCAGAATAATACTGCATCAAGAACTTATACCCACCAACAACATGCTTGTCAAAAGAAGTTCCTACTGCACTATCTTTCGCTTTCATATACCAATTCTTCAGTCGAGTCCACGACCCCGTGGAACTGAGTGACGAGGAATCAACATAAGTTCCGATTCCAGGCTGGTAATAATGGAAACTTCTACCGGAAGACCGATCGAGCATTCGGAAAATTTTAAGGATGTTGCTGTCGTTTGAGTTGCCGTGGAATTTGTTGCCTGTCCCATCAAAGCAGAGGACAATTGTTTTCCTCTGGGACTTTTGGGTAACTCTTGATTCCGCGAAGTCGTCTTGAGCCATGCCTCGGGTAAGACTTCTTAGACTACCATTTTCCTGTTTTGACAAAGTTTTCGGGCCCTGAGCTTGTTGGTGTGGAGCGAAGGTTGGCAGAAGGCGTGAGGGGTCCATCTCCATATTGGCGAATCAATTGATCCTTGAAAGTTTGGAAGGCTTGACTAACTTGAGCTGATGCAATTGATAGTATTTAGGAGAACCACTCCGAAGTCCCATGAGGACTACAGACTTTATCATATGAGATTTCCGTCATTAGGTTCCACAGATTAATACAATGTTGTGTTACGGTGCATGAGAAGATCTTCGTGCGCCACATCTGTGAATACAAGACATTTCGAGAATTGGCTCTTGGGATTGGACTTTTCGCAACACAATCGCCGATCGCATTCAAACATTCTGTCTCACGCACCCAATTACTGCTCTATAACTGGCCAGAATGTTCATATGCTTCAATTGAATCTATCATATTTACCTTTTGTTTATCGGATTTCGGACTCTCGTTCGGGTCAATTCATGTCCCTCCTTTCCCGAATCTGGTCTTTATCAGGCATGTTTCAGCCCAAGTTCACAGTAAAGATATCAACCTCAAGTGCAGTCATTCCGGCCTTGACAAGAGAATTCTCCACCAGATTCCAGCTCGTTCCCCATAATACACTCCCAACTCCCGTCCCGTTCGCTGGAAGCGGGATGGTAATGTTACCGGTCGAGCTATCCAGATAATTCTTATTCACAACACTAATCATCATCCTCTTCCCGACTATCCACGAAGCAGCATCCACTCTCTCGATTCCATTGACTTCAAGCATACTAACATCACTTCCTAACAAAAAGCTCGTGACCCCGGTGGAGGTAAGCACTTTCGATAGTGCCGAAGTTGCATTAGCGATCCCAGGCTCGGTAGGATAACTCCACATCGCAATCCCCTTTGCACCATGATTAACGAATAACATGTTCATCACCAGCTCCTCTGCCGGTGTTGGGTATCTCTTCCAAAAAGTTTCGTTCCCGAAAGCTTGCGGGACGCCCCATTGAGGTTTCTGCGGCAGGTTCAGATATTCTTGATAATCTGTATACAAGTCAAGTCTCTCGGAAACATCTTCAAAACTTCCTTTGCAGTCATCGCAGCCGCAACAGCCGTAGGTGGTATTGCATATGGTATTGTATTGGGTAGACCAAGACGTGTTGACTGCGATTGGATATGGATCCGCCAAGATGATATCGGCACCAGAAGTGTATTCTTTGAAATAATAATTGAGACAATTGAGGCAGAGAGATACTGGGTGATATGGGTCCAGAGACTTGATTTGATCGTAGGTGATCTGTGTGGCGTTGAGTGCATCTGTGGGCTATGAGCGGTGTGAATATGAGGGGAAGTGATTAACTTGCCGACTTGTCCGTCTGGCTCGTCACCCGTGTACCAAAGGAGCATACTTTTCCGGGCTTTGATTCGATTCACTTGAGTGATTACTGATGAAATGTTCTGCATATCTCAGCTCAGTCTCATTTCTAATATGCTTTAAAGCTTACCGTGTAGGTTCATCCTTGTTCAATTGTCAGCTTTCAGTTCTTTAAGAAGCTTGGAACACACTTACTCATATCAAACATTAGCCATAATTGCATCTCATCCATAATATCAAGAAATCTGTCGAGCTCATCAAAGTCGAATGCTTGGTTTGCCAGACCGGCATTAGGCACAATGTGGATGATATTGTATCCTGTATCAAATTAGAATATGCCCGTTTTCATGAGTGGCCATGCTTGCCTTGGTCTTTGAAAACTTTCAAATCTAAAGAGCGTCAGTCAAATTAGATTGGCGAGAAAACAGCTTTGATGACTTACTATCCTTACTAAACTCCAACCATCCATCCCAAGAAACATAAAAAGTATAAGGAAACAATGAAGTCCAAGCAGTAGAATTGCTCAAGTAATCCTGGACCATCAAGCCACCATAAAGACTGTCAACTTTCGTTACACTACCACCATCAGTTCTGGTTGGTAGATAGTAAAAACCTGTGTTTGCGACATAAAACTGAGCCCCGTCAACCGAAGCCCCGGTCAGAACAACTTCATGTTTCTCCAATCTCGGTGTGAGACCAGAAAGCGAAAACACAAATTCGTTTCCTGTGGAGTTGACTGATATATTTCGCCCCGCAATGAGATCAAAGCCGTCAAAAAGTGAAGCATCAATGAACAGTTTTGAAAAACTGCTTGTGATGTTATCTGCTTTATTGAAAGTGAAGTTTACGAATGAGCCACCGTGCATATATGAGAGTGGCGCATCGATGATGAAGGATGCATAGGTTTCTCCTGCGAGGTAAAGATTCATACGGGGACGAATTGAAAGATCAAGGAGAGGAACAGGTGAGAGTGAAGGCGGATAAAGCCATCCACCGGGTTCGAAAGATCCATTCCTTGAAAAAAGTCAGCTTGTCTTGAATCCTCCCTCACTCTCATTTGTCGAAATTCTCGCTTACGTTTCTCGATATGCTTTCCCACATCTTAAGTCTGTTGGTGGAGAAAGAACTAATCGTGCCAAAGTATTTACCAGACATCAACGCCAGTTGGGTAGCCAAATTCAAGAGCTCTTTCGGGGGGAATAGCTTTCACTGTGGTCGCTAGAACAACAGCCGATACAAGAGCCTTTAGCATAATGGCCATTGTAATTTGATTCTCTTTTTGCCAAACCGAGATCAGGTCAAAAGATATAAAATCCTGAAACACATAATGATTGAAGCACAATCCAAATATAAGTTTGAGATACCCCTCATCAGAGTTCATATATGTCCAAACCACTTTTGACGTATGAGCTAGACCGAATACTTGGTAGCGAACCTTGGTTACGAGACACTTGTAAATGCCCTAAGATTCTTAACCGTTTTCCATCTTCGCTGCAAGTACTTGGCCTGACCCATTCAAAACTCAATTCTTATCAGCCTGGAGAATACCAACATAAATTGCATGCCGGACGATATAGGAGGCAGAATCTCCCCGGTATCGTAACGTCACTACAAAAATGGGGTCAACAAGATCCCTTGTCCAACCACTCAACCCTGTCCAAATGAATATTCAGAAGATGGCAAAAACCTAATTTCTCCCGCCCTCAAGATAATGGAAAAACTATGGGCATTTGCTGTTATCATAAATTGGATGATGCAGTTACCTCCTAGGTCCCACATTGAGGGGTATGAGGGGAACCACTTTCTACCGGACTAACGGCAGTATGCACCCGGATGATTCTGGCATATCACTTCCAAAAGCCTTCCCCATTTATCGTTATCAATTCATGGATATGTGGTATCAACATGGAGATCTTGATCACCTGCAGAGAACGTTACTAACTTTCTGGAGCTTTGAGTTGAGGAGATGCTTTATGACGAGGCCCAACTTGAGTGACCGGATGGACCGAGGGGGGATGATGGTTGGACGTTGGAATTTCCCCACGTTTGGAGCTTCAAAAGCCTGGGGATCTCATGTACCTGAGAAAAGAGAGTATCGCACTGAACAAGGAGCTCAATTCTTGCCCGTGATGAGACATTTTTTCCTTCTCGTTGCTGGTGTTGCCGTGGCTGCTCCTCTGTGTAGTCCAGCCAAAAAGGTAAACTATTCCGTTCTATAATCCTTTTCACAAAAACTAATTGTTGAATAGCAATCTGTCTATGTGTCCCTTAATCAGTATTTCAATAATAAAGGCATCGGAAATGTTCCCGGAGAAGCAAATTATGATGGCCTGGGAAACGCATATGTTGGAACTAGCCTCCCACAAGCAGGGTACTACAAATCGACAAAAACTGGAATTTCCTACCTCTTCCCAGGCTACCAGAGCGGAAATGCTAGCGACAATGTTATCATGTCTGGTCAGGTGGTCGAATTACCAGAAGGGGAATATTTCAGTGTGCATATGCTCATCGCATCTGACACTGAATCATCGATTGAGAACGTCACGTTCACCTACACAGATGGCAGCACCGCTCTTTCAGAGGTGCGAGCAAGTCCATACTCGTCCTTCTTATCCATTCTGAGTGGTGAGATTATCAATCCGTCATACTTTACTTACAACTCAACAAACTTCAATTCCACGCATATATTCGAATTCATCGCTGCCATGGACCCTATGAAGACGCTTTCCTCAGTGACACTCCCAGATACTTCGGAAAAGGAGGATAAAAGAATCCATTTATTCTCATTGTCGTTGTGGGAGCAATCTGGAGTCCAAATACAATATGTCCGTCCAACACAGAAGCAAGCGACAGAGTGCGTGCAAACTGTCGAATTGATTATTGACAATGCTGGACCAGCTTGGATCTCTGGAGCCGGAGTCGAGGTTTCTATCCATGGTTATGGAATTCGGACTGTCCAGCCAGGGTATATCAAAAGACTACGACCTGGCGATCAGAAGAAAATAAACATCGGGGTAACAGGATGCGGTACTGTTAATGGATCCGTAACTCTCAAAGGGTCTATGAACGCAACCTTTACATATGAAAATGTAAAATTTGGTCTCGAAGACTTCTCCTCTGATCTCGAGAGTATCGCCAAGCATGAAAGTCCGGATTGGTTCAACGAAGCGAAATATGGAATTTTTATACGTAGGCTGACTCCTTCTCGCTTGTTCCTATACTTGCTCGTACGCTCCTGTATTTATGAACCTTTTACTAATTTTCATCTAGACTGGGGCGTATACGCCGTTCCAGGCTGGGGAAACTCAACACCCTGGGAAATCTACGCTGAATGGTACTGGTGGTACGGACATCACCGAATCGCAGACAAAGCCGATGTCTACAACTACCATCTGAGAACCTACGGTCCGGACGTTGTATACGATGACTTCTTTTCCAATTTCACCGCCGAGAATTGGGATGCCAAGAGCTGGGTGGACCTCTTCGCTGATGCCGGAGCTCAATATTTCGTTCTAACAACGAAACATCACGATGGCTTTGCATTATTTGACACAGAAGATACCACTCATAGAAACTCACTGCATTACGGACCACAGAGAGACATCTTGAAGGAGCTGTTTGATGCTGCGAAACAGTACCAACCGCAGCTTAAGCGAGGAACTTATTTTAGTTTGCCGGAATGGGTATGCTTCCCCATACAAATGTGAAATCGAGACAAATACTGACTGAGATTTACATAGTTCAATCCGCTGTATGGTAAATATGGGTTCTCACAACACGACACTCCGGGAAGTACAACCTGGCCAGGTATCATAGCCAACAACCCGTATATCCAAGAGGTCGAGACCTACACAGGCGCTACAAACGTTTCCGACTTCATAGACGATCTCATGGTCCCTCATATGAAATGGAGATGCTAGCCTACAACTACGAGACGGACATAATGTGGTGCGAGTAAGTCACCCCAGACACTTTCCTCTCCTCTCACCCCCTTCACACCCCTTACTTACGCGAAACCACCAGTTGCGGAGGCGCCAACGGAACCGCCCCCTTCGCCGCAGAATGGTTCAACAACGCCGCCTCCTCAGGCCGCCAAGTAGCAATAAACAACCGCTGCGGCCTAGCAGTCTCCGACTTCGACACGCCCGAATACTCCACCTTCTCCTCCATCTCGGAGCGAAAATGGGAATCAAACCAAGGGATGGATCCCTACTCCTACGGTTACAACCGTGCCACACCACCCGAACTGTACATGAACGCCACGACCCTCGTCGGGATCCTCGTCGACATGGTGAGTAAGAACGGGAATCTGCTTTTGGATGTGGGACCTAAAGCCGATGGGACGATCAATGTCACGGAGGTGGCGCATTTGCTTGAGGCGGGTATTTGGATCAAAGCAAATGCGGAGGCGATTTTTAATACGAGTTATTATTTCGTCGGGGCTGAGGATCCGAGTGGGAATTTGAGGTTTACGCAGACAACGGAGGCGATATATGTCATTTCTCTTGTGAAGCCTGCAGAGACTTTGGTCGTGGATGTTCCGCTTCCTATTATGGACGGGGATGTTGTTACAATGATTGGGGCTGGGAATGGGACCGAGGTTGAGTGGAAGAGTGCTGGACGAGGAATTGAGATTACTGTTCCGATGGCACTTATTGATGCTGGGAGCTACGCTTGGGCTTTCAAGATTACATATGCGGGCTGAAGGCTGCTTTGAGCTAACGAGGGGTATTTAAGCCGCTCTTGGTTGCTCTTAATGAGATGAAATCAAGGGGATGGTGGTTCACTTCACCCCTTTACCATCAGATTTTGCTTGACGAAACTCTGTGCGGGTCTGATTCAGCGAGTGTTGTGATCTTAAGGATAGTATATTGATTAGAATAGTATTAATGCTAAGATAATAACAAGCGGAGAGATCGTTTTGATTATTACGTTTCCATTAGTAAAAGCATAGGTACCCCAGAAAAAGATTAAAACCAGCCCGCCCATATTCCTGTACGTTATCTCCGAGTACTAATGTCATTCGTTAATCATGGTAAATAAAGGGCTCCAATATTCTATTAGTGAGAACGCCAAAAAGAAAGCGATAGAAGCACTCGCATGATATCTATAAACCATAAAACTCGTCTTCCAAGATTTCGTGCCGAGAAACACAGCCTCTGCCCTCATGTTCGTTGAATAGCGAGAAATGAAGAAGCGAGCAGAAAAATATGACTCTGAGCAGCTTCAGACGATGTGGGTCCTCTTTCACTTCTTCTGTACAAAAGAAGGTGAAGCATCCATCTCTCTTGGCGGGTTGTGCATTTCCGGAGAGAGCGATTGCGGATATGGTTGAGGAAACCCATTTCCCATCGAGGAATGGCCTGGATACGTGTACGGACTCGAAGGCATTGACAGTTGAGTCTGGGGCGAGACGGGCACGGATTGAGAAGGGTCGTTATGGGCGTATTCCATGGGCTGATGCTCGCTACCATGCACTGATGCTCCCTTCTTTTTCTTCTTGCTCAGGCAGAGAGCGAGTAAATATCCAATAATGATACCAGCGACACAACCTCCAATGACGATTCCCGCAGTTGCACCTGCGCTGACCCCACTTCCCTTCGACGGAGTTGCAGTTACTGTTGAAGTTGGAATTGGGTTTGTGGCCGAGACAGTTAGGATAGGAGCAGCTTCAAGCTCCTTAATCCCGGTAAAAACTTGACGAATTGTTGCAGCTTGAGGGCTTTGACCAGAGTATGTAAGATGGACAGTAGCTGCAGTATAACCACAGCCCTAATTTTGTCATTTAAAAGCATTTCATAGCAAAAACGAAGTAGCTTACCCATTGGCGGTATCCATCATCGTAGTTATTCGCAAAGCATCTACTTGTGCCTTTGCTACGCAAACAATTAGTAAGTATAATTGAGCTTGGGCTGGTGAGAACAATTACCAAGTATAAAGCAAAGGGTTGTCAACGATAGTCTTGTCGGTATAGTCATCCACACAACCGGTATAGAAAAGACATGGTGATTTCGTTGCTGACATACGGCAGCACCCTACGATATAGTAATCCGTGTGCCATACACAGGAGGATGCGACGGAGCAAGTCGCAGCCAACGCTGCAATTATTCGAGATCAGTATTTTGTAAGAAAGACAAACATAGAAGGAGAGCACTTACATTGATTGCCATTAATATATCCACACGTCTGTGGTAAAACCGCATCGCGCTTCGCAAGAGTCGCCGGTTCGGTAGTTTTTGGAACGCTTGTAGCAGTGATAAGGGGTGTTGGCGTGTGGGTCGCTCCTTCCCAAGTCAACGTGTTGACGAGACAAGCAAGCAAAGCTCCCAGCAGGAGAAATAGCGAATGTCGCATTGTGATGGAATCTATTTGATATGAGTGTTGTTTGGTTGAAACAAATTAAAACTCTAGTTTTGTGGTGCTAGAAAACGTCCAGGAATCCAGTAAAAACTCTGTGTGTCAAAGCATCGAAGGTGAAGCTCAATTTTGACCGACAGTCAATAATATATTGAAATTCACTATCTTTTTCATACGGGAGAGTGAAGTTTACTAAGCGGGAAAGAAAAGAGGAAAGAGAAGGGGAACGGAAGAGAGAGGAAAATCCACATGCCAAAAGATTACACCGAAACGTTGTTCACGATCATGATTACTTCCCACCCTCCGCCACTCCGCCATCCCCGCCAAAGAATCATGAGATCCATTGGTTTTCAATGGGAACCAGTGTAGTCTTACGGCTTCATACATGGCGCTGGTAACACTGGATGCCTGATGGTTGCACATCATGGATGGCTGCGGTCGAGGCTGGGTTTGAGGCGGGGTTTGGTGTCGGTATCCGTAGCCAACATCTTCGAAATGAGAATTCAGAAAATTGGCATTAGCCACTAGAGCAGTAACGACTGTGGTCTAGATGGGTGTTCTCCAAAGCTGTGCTGCGGCCCGCTATAAATCAATAACACCTGTTGGAATCACTACTGTCGTCACTTAGCTGCATGAGCTAATGAAGCTGAACATACTTGTTTAGTTGATTATTTGTACGTAAAAGTCTTACTTGTTTAGTTCTATCGATGAGTCTCTGGAATTCTAGGAGTTCCGTGGAATTCTAGAGGCTTTTTCAACTAATTAAAACGTAGGACTTAGGGGTGGGGTTTAAGTAAATAGAATAGATATATTTACAGATTCAAGTAAATTAGCAAATAGGGATACTAATATATCAATTAACTATAGAAGGATAAATCAACCGCTAGATAATAAAGAGACTCTACATCACGATATACGTAGTCTAGGCTAGTAAGTGGGAGCTTCACGTAAGGGTGCGTTTGGCTCGGCGTGTACACTCCGAGTCCACCATACAAATTAGAGTTTTGTACTTAATACTCATACGAGTCTAGACTTATATCGAGTTCTAAACCCATTCGGCTCGTACATTGAAGACAAAGCAATTACTACTCCGAATATAGTGATCAGCCTTTTTTGTAAGTGTACCATACAGAATAGCGATATAGCTTTTCCACGTTCTAACGAGTACACATCTGTGCTATTGTAACCATCAAATCAACGAATTGGTCAACGCTACCAGTGATTCGTCAATTAGTACGCATGGTGGATTAGACGGTATTATTTGATCACTACTAGGATGCGAATTACTCGTTACTTATATTAATAAAGGAAGTTGGTTTTTAATTAAAGTACGCCCTAAAAGAAGTAATTAAAGCACAAACTCTACGACCTAAAGAAGTAAAAAGTGAAGCTATTCCTAGATACGATTATTTCGCATTTAGTTCACGTCCGCCACCGACTCTCGCTCTACCTGTCCCCAGCCTCTGTATCCCCTCGTCTCTACCCCCTACGTCACCTACCCTCCTCCTACGCCTCCGTCCTTGTCTCTATAGCGGCAACAGGGGCTCTATTGTTTTCGACTTGTATAACTTTAGCGAGAGAGACTTTGACGCTAGATAGCGACATGCCTTGGTCGGCAGCGTCTATAGTAAAGTAACGGTAAGGACGGTGAGAAAGAAGGGGCAGGGAACACAAACCTTCATATATATTTGTATGGTGTTGTAGTGTTTACTTGCTACATTCCATTCCTTATTCCACACCGTAACAAGCCACAACAAAAGGTTATTATGGAATGGATTATCGTATTTGTGACGGCCATAATGGTACTCCGCAAATCTATTGTACGGCGATTGCAATAGTCTAGTTGGTCAAACCGGCAAATCCGGGGTTACCATAGCACACATCTATAACTCGCTTATCCTACCCTACATACAAATACAGCTATACTACCACTTTATATATACATACAGATATTTATATCAATTATAACGAAAATTCGTGCGCGGATTAGGAAAGTACCTACCTATGGTTTGTTGTCAGGATTATACTACCTAACCAGTGGTTTCCACCGCACGGAACCTGCATGCATAGAATAGAACAGGAGTGTACAACAAAGGAGGGGCATATGCCTGGGCCATATAAGCCAGGCTCCTGCCCACAGTACGTACTTAGCTCCCTAGTCATCTGACTACAACTCTTCTGGCACCCTAGCTTTCCATATTCCTAGCAGCATGGTTTGTAGCAATTTTAGCTACAACTAGCATACATTCCCCCTCTTAAAACAAACCCACGGCCACTCTTTTCAGTAAGGTACCGAGTATAACAACAAACCCCCATTCAAACCAAATGGGATTCGAGTCAAATATGTTATCGAGTAGACCTGAGTTTTCGAGAGTTTTATCAATTTTAGGGTACGCTACTTGTACCGAATAGAGTGGGGTCTACTAATTTGAGCTAAATACACATACATAGTCTAATGCCAAATAGGAGCTCCAAATTAGTTCCCCGGATCAGATCAGAGCGACCTTCTTCCATCTAGAAACCCGAGGACCCCATAAATTCCATAGAATAAGAGGGTCCGGAATAGAAACAACTTCCAGATGCCGAGCGTTGAGATCCACCTGTACTGTAGCCTCGTTGGACCCTTCGTCAAACTCACCCCATTTGCACTACAGCACTTTCAATGCCCCTTCTCGCATCGTTCACTCAAAGCCTCATCTGAGCGCTCACCTAAATACTGGTGATTCTGAGAAAGTCGTCGAGTCTTTTACACATCGGACTACCGAACGACTCCGAGTTCTTCAGACCACATGTAAAACCCCGTGAGTAAGGAGACAAGAGTTATATAGAAAGAGACCCTCCACCGGTGCCTCCTTCCAGGAAAACATTCCATCCCCAAGTTCCCACAAACCATGCCTATCCACGTAAACACTCCACACATAACATCCCCAGAGACGAGTAAACGGTAAACAGTAATAAGAATTCCTCAATTCAATCACCCCCTCTACCTAACATTCCACTACCTATAACAACCAAACCCAGACCTAACCAAACCAAACCAAGCCAAACCAAGCCGCCGTCCACACCACCCATGCGCCACCCAAACAAAAAGAATAATGAAAAGAAGATAAAAAACAGGGCAGAAGAGTAGACAACCCAATCCTCACTCCCATCGCTCTCGGACCCGATCCCAACAGCACCAACCAAAAGTCCAAAAACCCACAGTCGGACCGCTCCACGCTATCCTGAAAAAAAGAATTCATGAAGGTTTGGTTTGAAAAAAGGCATACCAAAAAAAAAGAAGAAAAAAACGCCCGCTCGGTGAATGCCCGGAAATATGCCTGTCGACAATTGATAGAGGCAAAGAAAGAGTCATTCATCCACCCATCCACCCGGGAGACGCCCGTTAAGCCCCCAAATCCCGATAGTCATAACCCCATCCACCTGACACCTCCTCCAAAAGGGTATGTGCATATCCGTGTACAATGAATGTACAAATACCTGCCACCTCATACAGGAACGCCGTTCATGAACTCATTAATTCCAAACGGTGGAAGCTCTTAAGCAGAACCTTCCTCCTCAGCCTTCTTAGAAACCTCTTCATACCACAACCCATGGGATTCCCGATCAAGAGCACCCACCCGCCCAACCTCATCGACAATAGCCCCTACCTTGGACACAAATTCAGGAAGACCAAGGGTTGCAAGACTCTCACTAGCTGTACTAGCACTCTTGACCTTCTCCTTTTCTGTATTCGCAGCCAGTCTTTGTAGGACATGGCCACGGAGGCGAGTGAGAAGAAGTCTCATAACAGGGTCTTTGAGATCTGAGTTTGTGGATGGTGAAGTGTCAGAAGTGGAAGGCTTCAAAATGATGATACCAGCGGAACAAGTAATGATTCGGGTAACGAGTTGACGGATATGACTCTTCGTCGCAGTAGGCATACTCCTCGAGCTCTCAAGTGCGGCCTGGATACCATTCATTGCGCTGTCCTTATCCTTAGCATTTTCAAGGACAGAGTAAATTCGCGTTGCCTCTGTTTTCCATTGACTCCTGACATCTCGTTTCAGTAAATTCTTGCACTGCAGCAAAATAGCACCAGTAGTAACAATACGGAGAATGTCAACTCGAATCCTTGTGATACGATCGGAATCAAACTCGAGAGTTTCTGGAATGGGGATTGAAGAGTCAAGAGAAGTGAAGATATCTGTAAGCATTTGAGCGTACACTTTCTCTGGACCGGGACGGTTTCGTGGTAGTTGAAGTGGGTCACGTTTGAGGGCCTCGGCCATTACTTTGTTTCTCGCTTCTCGCCACGCCATTTCTGTGGCTCCGAGGTTGTTGTTTCTTGCCCTCATGGTCTCGGCGAACCGCGTGGTCTCGTACGCAGAAGCATGCTTTATGAGTTCTGGCGCCGTTTGTTGAAGCATAAAATTCGCATAGTCAATCTGCATCAGATCGGAGGCGTGCATCAAAGCCCTGAGACGATCAACCACGTTGCCCTTTTGCATTTCATTCTCGACTAAATCCTTGATCTCAGCGTCTCTGTAAGGAGCGCATAAGCGAGGAATGATTGATGCCATGAAAGAGAAGAACTTCTCATAGGAGAACGAGCCATTCTGTAACTCTCGAGCGACGACATCATTATCAAGAGCTTCACTAATGAGAATGTACATTGAATTACCAGGCTTCAAAAGTCGCTGAAGCTTGCCTTTGATATTCTCGGCCATAGCAAGAACCCATGGGTCGCTGATTCCTTGGTCAAGGTCTCGTTGCATGGAAGCGAAAACGGCTTCCATGATAGCTTCTCTCTTCTCCAGAAAGTCCTCGGGAATCCGATATTCCCGATTGATTGCGATCTCGTGAGCAATAACTCTATTATCTGGAAGCATTGTGCTGGCACTTCTAAGCTTTTCAGCATCACTATGTTGAGTCTGGTTTCTTTGCGGGGTTGATGGTGGTGTCAGAGTTTGTAGTTGAGTTGTCACCGACTTCTCCGAGACTGAAAGATCAATTAAGACAGGGACTTCAGATGTGGTCGATTCCGCCGCTCTAGGTCGAGAATCTCCAACAGGTTGTTTGGCGGTACGAGCTCGTCTCGCCTCTCTGATAGCATTGGCAATCAATTTCTTTCCTTGAGCAGCGCCAGCTAGTTTCTTGATTCGGACCATCAATTTCAGTTGATTTTCTCGAATACCGTCACGGTATGAGTCGGTTACAGCGTCTACTGTACTGTCCTTGACAGATTGCCATATCGAGTCCAATTCAACAAACTGTAGAACCATCATATCGATAAGGGTACTCGAATCTCGAGCTTTCCATGCAATAAAGGCATTAAAGAAAGTAGCATAAGCCTCAGAAAGGCTGGAAAACTGCCGAGGCGGTGGTGTATAGTTATTCGCTGATGTTAGTCTCGATAGAACGGTCTCGAAAGAAATAAGTAAATCTCGCGCCTTCGCTACCAGATCCTGCAACTGTGGATTAGCTAAATCGTCTCTCCTCAAAGGCAATACTCCCACCTGCTCCTGTTCTCTACTGTCGCCCTTACTACTGAGTACCTGGGTAGGATGGCTCAGAATAAGAAAAGCGCTCAGGAATGTTCGGACAGCAGTCATCTCATTGACGGAGCCAGTTTCGCCTTCCTTCAGTCCACATATCCTCAAAATACTCGCAGTGCTCACTAGGACCTTTTCCTGGGCTAGCAAATCAACCACCTCATCAAATGATGTTTCTCGAACTCCATCGATCGTCAATCCCAACTCGGAGAAGTCCTTGAGCGCCTTCCAACGCTGGTGAACTCTCCATCTTTGCTGTATTCTTGTAGCGGCTGTGGTTTCACTAAGAGGTTCGCGGATTTTTGGCACAGGGGATGTGCTCTTTCTAGGATGGCTCAAGGATCGGCCTCTCTTCGTATTGGCTTTATTCAAAATTTCCTCTCTTCTTCTCTCAGCCTCAGCATGTTTCTCTTCCATTTCCTTTCTTAATTTCTTTCCTTCAGCCTCTCTCTTCTCCTTCATGCTCTCGGCAATTCCTTTTGCTCTCTTGACTTCCTCGGCACAACTGGCCACTATTTCAGCCAAATTTTTCTCTCTTGCTTGTTGTGCTGCCAAAGCCCTCTCTTCGCTATTCGTCGTACTTCTTGGCGTGGCCTTTACCAATGCTGCCCTCAAACGAACCTTTTCCGCATGCGCCGCTCTATCTGCCAATCTAGCCTTTCTATCCTCGAGAATGGATGCGCGACGCAAGTGCTGGGCAATATAATTACTTTGAGGGCCTCCCCCATGCCGATTCGAAACGTGGGATTGGTGTGAATGGGCCGAGGAAATGGAATTCCGGCGGGAAGAGGCAGCAGAGGACTTGCGACGGTTATTGGTAGGACGATAGAATCGCGCTGCGATGCGGGGAGGAGGAGTATGTATTCGTAGATCGTTGGACTCTTCGGTGATGAGATCTAAGTCTATGTTTCCCGGCATGGCGTGATCTGTTTGTCCTGTTGACTCTTCCAGACTGCGATCAGGATCGCTGAGCTCATCGGAGGCTCGAAGCATCTTGAATGGCGTTGTTGTATTGTCGCAAAAGAAGGGCAATGTGTCATGAACAAAGAAGTGCTGGGAGCAGGGTGGGGTGGGTGTCGTGAGTAGTATTAGTTGTGCTCTCGCTTTATGAGGGCGGAGTATCGTGAAGTTTGGCGGGGCTGGGGCGAGTGAATGCAATCCGACCGTTAGGACCAGCTGAGTAAGTAAAAGGGGGTGATTGCAAACGGGCTGACAATCCAGAGTTTCTCGTCAATAAGTTACAGAGAATTGAATACAAGAAAAGTGACAATGCGACAGGATGCTGGAAAATGAAGGAGGTTGGGTTAGGTCGGTCGTCTGGCGTCGGGTCGTCGCAAGCGTCGAGTATCAAGAAACGAACTCTGTATGAACCCAGTCGAGCCCATCCCAGCACAGTGCTTGCACGGCGCAAAACACACCAGCTCCGGCAAGACAAGTCTCACTTGCGAAATTCTTGAAATGCCTCAGCGCTAGACTACATGCGCTCGACATCATGACAGAGCAGGAATCATGAATAAGTTCGCCGCATCGAAGCGCATGGAAGGAAATCCTTCGTTATCGCGATAGGTAATCTTGGTCATTCCATTGGAATCCCATACATTTCATCAACTGGAAATTTCTAGGTACAAAAACAAATGCCCTCAGGAGCGACCTCGGCTGTCAAACTCACTCTCCATCTGACGAACCGTTAACCTACTTGAAACAACCTGGTGAACCTAACCGTGTGGTGCACCATGGGTGTTCTAGAACCACGGGGGATAAACAGCATATGACCTCGTGAACGGATCGTGGATCGTCAACGTGCCTCTCGGTGGACAAGAAAAGTGGCAGAGATTCATTTTTCAACTATTCGCGTAAGCTAATTCTCAATACTAAAAATTTTAAAATTTCTAGAACAATTGCCTTCATTTTACTATCGTTTTCGATAAATCAATTTAATTGTTCTAAATAGATGATATAATATAATAGTTTTTAGCTATGTTAGGATAAGATAAAAAAGGTCTACCACTTTTCTCGTCCACCAGGAGCGTACCTAAAAACAAAAGCCGTGCATTCCTTTAAATAGTAACAACCATAATTCCATAGACAAAATAGGAAAGTCATATAAGTATTATCGGAAATCTAGCGAGCAGTTTCCAACTACAAATATATTGAATTCCTCAACTGCAAGAGCACCTAGCACGCAATATTAGGCGACATTCGGAGCGAAGCATGGAAGTTATGCCGAAGGGCTTCTATCCAGTAGGTGAAAGTCACGTAGTTTTAAGGCCGTCAAAATCCCAATTAGCTTTGAGATGGGACCTCGAGTTCGCCTCACCTACCTTACCGGTATTTATACGAACTCTACTCTACTCCAGACTTTACCTAGTAAGTAGGTAGGTAGGTACGGAACCTCCGAGAAGCGGGGGAGCTTACTATATAAGTATACTTCATACACGGCATGAATATTATATACGAATGAATAGCGGGGTAGCTTGTTAAATAAGTATACTTTACACCTTACCCGGCATAAAAATACTATACTTCGAAGTAGAAGTACGAATGAAGAATTGGAAGTTTTACGGAGAATTTTTAGACTGGAATCAATCCACTGAAGGTACCTATATAGAAAAATGTACGATTAATATGGTAATATAAATTACCTGGGACGAGTAGGTAGCTAGGAATTAACTACGATACCTGATTTCGTTATTAGGAAGTAGGAAGTCAGCGAGCAGGATTGGAAGGAATGAGATAGAGTCCGAGATCCGAGAGGGTACAGTACTTGGATATCTTGCTCCCGCTCCTACAGGATTCTGAATCTGGGGTTGGACCGCTGGACGCGAGGTGGAAGGTCTGGACTCGAGACTAGGACTCGCTTAATAGCTCACAAAGGACAGTACAGAAGACGAGAAAGGATAACAGGGACAAAACGAGTGTATTGACGGTCTAAAAGATACAGAATGAGAAAAAAATGAGGAATTGAGTCACCAACTCTCAATCACTCCTCCAAAGAGAAAAAAAGTAGCTCACCCAATCACAAAATCTAACCACCGCCACGATTCTTTTCTTGAAGAAAAATGTAAGGAAAAATTGTCAAAGCCTTGTAGATAGGCCATCCGGCTTCGCGCATGCGATGGGGAGAAAAAGAAGAGGGATCTTGGTATGTAAAAAGACAGTATATGCTATGGATCGTGAGGTATATATTGCGAGTGGTTCCTCCATGACTTATTTGCGCCAATAATCATTCCCCATCAAAAAATGTTCGTAAGATATAAATATAAAAAAAAGGTAGCAAAATAAAAGGAAATAAGTAACTATAAAACAAAAGAAAGAATAAAATGCACACAGAAGAGGAATTGCGAAATCGAGATTTCGAATTCCCAATTCTGAGCGCCGGCAAGAAATGTAATATCGTCTCCGCGGACCTTGGCGCAAGGATCCCTTTTTCTCCTCCTCCTACGTCCTGAGCTTTGTCTATACCAACTCCTAACACGACCACTTTTGCGCCCCCCCCGATTAAATAACACGTAAAACTTTACAAATTCATCCCAAGTTCATTGGTACTGCTTTAAAATCTGAGGATTGGGGATCCGGTGCCGGTGGCCTTGGCCTTGGAGACGAATCCGGATGGGAAGACGGATGAGCATGGGGTCTTGGTGGCAGCAACGGCGGTACCGTTTCCGTATGGGCCAACTGGGGTGATCACTGGGATAGGAACAACGGTAGCGGTGGAGAGAACGACGCTGTCATCAGCAGCGATGGAGTTGACTCCACCGTTTCCGTTGTTGGATCCAGAGTTAGATCCTCCGTTGTTAGACCCAGAGTTAGATCCTGCGTTGTTAGATCCAGAGTTAGATCCAGAGTTGGAGCCAGTGTTAGAGCCTGGAGTGGTCGATCCAGAGTTGGCTCCTCCGTTGTTGGGTGCTGGAGTTGCGGTGGCATACTACTCCATGTTAGTTGCATGTTTGGATTTTGAGCGAGATGTCAAAACTTACGACGGTGACGGTGGAGAGAGCAACGGTAACTGTAACAGGAACACAGGTGGTAACACCACCTTCAAGACCACCACCGTTTCCTGGGTTGGATCCGCTACCTGGGTTGGATGGGTTGGATGGGTTGCTGCCTGGGTTGGATGGGTTGGATGGAGTTCCAGAGTTACCATCGGTGGCACCAGTTGGCGCTGGGACAACCGTGATGTATCTGGTGGAGGTGGAAGTTCCACTGAGGGTGGTGGTGTCCTCAATAGCGGTGGCAGCTTCTTGGTTACCGCCGTTGTTGGCTGGCTTGGTAGCATACACAACGGAGGTTGAGGTGTGCTTGATGGTGGTGGTCACAACGGTAGTGGATGTACCGGTACCGATGGTGTAGGTAAGAGTGGTATCGGATTGAGGACCTTGAGGGGATCCTGGGTTTGGTCCAGGTCCGGATGGGGTACCGGTGGACAGAGGAATGCCTGGGGTGATGGTGGCTCCTGAGTTTGCGCTGGTTCTTGATGCGCTAGCAGATGAAAGGCTTGCAGAGGCGGAAGCTGATGAAGCGATGGAGGAGCTGAGCGATGAAGCCTCGGAAACTGGGCAGACAGTCTATAATTTTGTCAATATAGAGTTTAACAATTCTTCTTTACTCATACTTACGGTGGTAATTGGAACGACCTCAGTGACAACCATACCGCCAGATGCGGAGTTGCGTGCTGGGCAGTTGGTGACTGAAGGAGCGCAGCTGGTGATGGTGTGCACCTGAGTTTGGAAAATGGTCAAAGTGGTGGAGATACCGGTACCGTTCAATTGTCTGCGGTGTTGGAAGTGAGGAGCATGTTGGTGGGCAGCAGCCAAACCAGCGAAGGCGGCGACGGAGGTGGTGGTGAACTTCATGTTGATTGAGTGGGTTGTTGATTAGGTGGGAGATATGTAGTGCTATGGATACACAGGTTTATTTGACTTGCAGAGCACTGAACGCTTCTTTTTCAAATTTACAACGAGTGATATTTGTGCGGGGTTTCGATTTGCGGTTGGGTTGAGCAGCTTTTCGATATAGACAGTGAGTAGCGAGCGAAAGTCGATTTCGCAGACGAGTATCTCTAAAGAATGACTGTGGGTTGAGGATGAGAAATTAACCGATGTGCAAAAAGGACTGTAAGGACTGTGGTAGTTGGATAGGCCGTGGTGAGGAAGGAAGAAGAAAAGAGACAAAAAGACAGCGGAGAGGCTCAGTCAAAAGGGCAGCGCGGATTACGATGAGCAAGGATATTCAACGCTAATTCAAGATTCGTGCAGGCGCCGAACGGGGGGGGCTTGCTCAGGGGGGAAGAGAATACATCCACCAGCATCCAAGGGGTGTCCGTTGGATGCAGGTACCAGAACGTTGACCAATCTCAGCCTACGAAAGGTCGCCAGGGAGGAGACAGAGAAGGGGTAGGGAGGACAGGCGCTCAACGTCGAGGAGGTTCCATTTGGTGGACGATGCTAAGGGGCTTGTGGCAGTCAAGTTCAACATCCCCCGCAAGGTCGTAATTCAGGGGCCTCGCTTGACTTGGGAGATCATTGTCTGGGCGTGCACGGTGGCACTTGAGCAGAGATTGGACGGTACGGAGGTATTGATTGGCGCGAGCCTTCCAGGGCCTTGGACTACGATTGGTGGGATGGTGGATCATTCCCGCTTAAAAAACGGCTTGCGTGTGGCTCAGTGGTGTGTTGAGATGGCAACCACAGGCCGTTGAATCCTTCTTCACGCTGACCGAACCAGCGTAACGAGATGAAAACTTACGCCAAACGGGTCGTGTAAAGTGCAAAAGGTTTGACTTGCCACACTGGAACGGGATGTCGCTTTCAATACCTCGAGCGAGAACACCCCGAGTGGTACGGAATCTTCGTACAAATGGTGGATTGCGGGGCTCGTGTGCGGGTATTCAAGAGTTTGGCGGCTGGGGTTGATCAAGCGTAATCTCCCATAGAAAGCTACGACTCCGCTGTGCCCCGGTAATTATTAATGAAGAGGCATTTAAAGTATTTTGGCATTTCTTGTGCTGAAGTTTACTCTCCACGCACTTACGAAGTATTCACGACCCGGAAGGTGGAAGACGACAGACAGTTCAGAAAGGGGAGCAAGAACAACATATTGCTTCTTGGAGCCGCAGAGATCTTGAGCAAAAGTAACGATGAGCATTGAGCCTCCCTCAAACTCAACAATCTGACCAAGGAGTACGAAAACACCTCATGGTTTACGAGTACTTGCGGTGTGCAGATTTATCAGAGCGCCTAGCCAAAGTGCAGACTTCTTGCAAAAGGAGGTGAAGAGGAGTACTTCTATACGAGTGGTTTTTGTGAAAATGTCATGAGAATTCTACTTCTACCAAGTACTTCATATCGCAACTTCAGATCAAACTTTCGACCCGGACTTGCGTTGTGATAATTGGAGGAGAATCTTGTAGCGCGATGAGCTGTAAATAGGCTTAACTTTAATATTATTAGAAATCTGACGACATGAACAACAACAAATGACCTCGTCACTACCGTAATCATATCCAAAATAGTCTTTTGCTTTGAAGTACAAAGTAGAAGTACTTCGAAGTACTTGGTAGAGTAAGTTCTCACAACTCCTTTCCACAAGTTTTCGCTCCCAGACCGATGCATCCACGACGGCCTTGAAGCTGAATCCTGATGGCCGCTCGAGGTTCGGACCGTGCTGGCTGGCTGATGTGAAGACCGTCGTCAATAATAGTGACCGTGCTCAAATATAATATAAATTAGGGTTCGAGAAGATGTGCCGCTAGGCTGCCAATCTCTGGGCCCGAATCAATGAATCAATTTTCATCGGGCGGGCACCGGAGAAGAGGACAAATCAGCAGCCTGTTCGCCAGTGTTCGCCAGTGTTCGCCAGTCTGTCAGAGACTCAGAGCCAGCATGCACCCTGAAGGCGCTGCATGGCTCCTCGGGTCGATTGAGATTGAGGGTGCTGAGCAAGAAACGAACGACGCATCCGTGGGGAACTGCCAGCGCGGGTATTCTGAAACTCTCTAGCAGATGGCGGGCAGTAGCGGCTGGCTTTTCAGGGTTCTGGGTAGAACTGGGAGTGGCGGTTGAGTGGAGGTTCGCTCCAGCGTCCAGGTTGAACATGCACCAAGAAAAACTGACAGCGCTACGCCACCAAGATTCTGACTCCAACGATATCGCGCTGCAGCTGATCCACCACCATCACCACCAGCGCCACCGGTCTCGCACCTCGCACAGCATGGCAATGGCATGGAAACACAGGTACAGGCACAGGCACGTCAACTGTCACAAACACCACATGTCATCATGCCCGACTTCCGGGTGGGAAGTCAAACCGGAAAAGTGGCATGGTCGGTCGCGTGCAAACATCTTGGTTGATTGGAAGTGGGAGATGGAGGTGGAAGTGGAAGTGGAAATGGTGAGAGTGAGAGTGAGAGGCTACGGAGTAGAGCACTGGAAAATAAATGCCTCAGGCCAGCAGCTGGCGAAGAACCAACCAACGACTGACCTAAACCAAACCAGTCTTCCATCTCTTTTCCTTTACCCCTTCAACACCACATTTTCGCTCTTCAATCTTAAATCCCATCTTCACCTCCTCACCAACTGCCCGTAGCTTTGCCGTCGTACAGTACGTACATTGGAAATATTCCGCGGAATGGATGGAAGAGGCAACTCGAAAAAGGCAACCAACATTCCCCATCTAAACAATTTCCTAGGATGACGGTGCATATGGTGCACCATGTTTCATACTTCAAGATTTCCGTGATCCGCACTGCACTGCCATGCTTGCCGCCGCCGAAAGAAACAAGGCGTCTCATGGATCTCCAAGAAATCAAATCCAAGATGGGATGATTTCCATGTTCTGAGCCATCAAAATACGCCGATGCGATTGTGATGAAGAATCTTCTACCAAATACCTCTGTACACGCATTTCCGAGACGAGCATGACCTTGACACAACAGCTCGAATATTACGTTGCAATGTTTACCATCTGCCTTCCTGTTCCAATCACTGTTACAACTCCAAAACTCGGAGCTCACGGCATCGGAAATGCGGTATCTCGAATGCCCCAACGTCCTTGATCATTTTAAAGTACTGCGATATCACTATCACACACACCTGCTCAGTGCTCACGCCTCGTAAGGTTGCCATGCCATGCTGACGTGCTGTCCTATCCGTCCTCCCATTTGACGATTAAAACTCCGTCCCCCATAAAACCCCAAACTCCCCCATGGCTACACAGCCTGCCATGCACCAGGTTTTTGGGTCTCCAGATTTCCGCACGGTGCGGAATATTTGTTCGGTACGGTCCTCCTGAAGAATGCTTTGATTGAATTCGTATGCTCAAGTGAGGACCAGTTCCGAACGCGTCAGTGTTTCTCCAAGGCATGATCGAGTTCTTTTCCGGACTGAGACTTGTGTTGCAAGGTTTCATGCGCCGCCTTTGGAAAGTGGGGACCCCAACATCATGAAAGAATCAAGATATCTCCTGATTCTCACTGCATCGCATGCTCACTCATCCTGTCGGCGTCGTTTTGCTTCTCGACTTACGGACATCCTCGAGATGAATCTTCGTAGATTGATTTATATGAACGGAGAAAATATATTGCCATTTGTGCTGCTATTTTCATATGAGCGTATGTGAATCTTCTTCATTTCTGCGTCATATTTGGATTGCTAGGCATTCGCGAATTTTTATAGAAACGCCACCATGGCATTACAATTCCAATGGACAATCAAAATGATGTCCAGAGAATTTCGGGCTTAATGGCTTGATAGTGGTACTCCGTACTGGACTTAAACGTTACAAAGACACAAAATACAAAAAGAGCTTTATTATACATAGCCACGTCTCATTAACCCAAAATTTAATACTCTCTAACGACGGTATGTTATTAACAAAGGCACTTGTATAGATACTTATACTTTAATAGTCCAAAAGGCTTTCCATATTAGTATAGCTTTATTTCTAGTATCGAAAGCATTATTGTTTTTGACGATATTTTAAGCGTACTTTCGTAGGATATAAATTTACATAGCTAGTACCTTCCGTAGAATCGGATGCCCGGTAAATACATATACGTACACGTTAGAATTAAATGAATCGTCCAAGTTACTAGTACTTAACACGCTTCCTATTATTATATAGTGCTTAGTATTAATTATTAAAGAGTGTAGTATATTAATTTCCTTAAGAATAGTCTAATCTATATATAAATCGGGAAATTTTTACATACGTCCTTGTATCCTCCAGCCCGTGCAAATCTTAGACTTTTACCCCTAATTTACATGGAGAGATTTACGTAGCTAAACATACCGTAAAGCTAAATACTATGCTTAACTCTATTACCGCTCAACTAAAGTAGCGAAATGTAGAATCTAAGCTAGGCGTAATAGACTTTTCTTATATATAATCTATACGATAGTGTCTAGCTAGCTTTAATTGTCTACTAGGAGAGAAAATAAGCTAGAATCTTTTTGGAATATATTCTAAAGAACGTCCTGCTTATTTTATTTAGTTAGCAACTGTTTACCCTCAAACTAGAATATAAACTTACTATTCTTTAATAAAGAATAACTAGATAGAAGTATTAAATGGATTAGTAGCTATTGTCGTATTAGTGTAACGAATACTCAAACTGGCTAACTAAACTTGGCTGGGTGTTCGCTGGTTGGTATGCTATGATAAGAAGAAGACTATCGGATTGTTCACTTGGAAGTGAACTCGTTACTTGTATCAAAGATGTCAAACTGATATGATAAGATTAATAACTAAGTTGAGCACGAAGCTCCTATCTAATGGCAGACGTGCCAGTCTTATATAGAACCTTCATACCCCGCGTATGGTCCGAGTATAGAGTAGTATAAGCCTCCCTTATACTTCCTCATACTCCGGTAGTATAGAGTAGTATAAGCCTCCCTTATACTTCCTCATACTCCCTAGTCACATGATCTTCTGTAAGGAAGAGTCTTATATAGAACCTTCATACCCCGCGTATGGTCCGAGTATAGAGTAGTATAAGCCTCCCTTATACTTCCTCATACTCCGGTAGTATAGAGTAGTATAAGCCTCCCTTATACTTCCTCATACTCCCTAGTCACATGATCTTCTGTAAGGAAGAAATCCTTGGATCGCCTAGCTACCCTAAGCGATCCCCATTTGCTATAAGAAATCTGAATGTGCCTGTCGAGGGTTGCGCCTTTTATTATGACAAGTATCACGTGAACACGTGATTCGTGACAATTAGCTAAAACATTTACGGGTTTTCAGGTTCTAGAACATACCATATCTTCTTTTACTATGAGTGGTAGTATCTTTGTTTCATGTATTTCTTTTTGTTACTTACTAGTTTCCTTGGGTTAGCCATTATGTGTGTAGCCCCACTTATAAACATATATACTTTGAACACATTATTCCTCTGCAGCGATCGCACCTTGAGACATTCTATATTCTCTCGAACGAGGCAAGAATAGAGATAGAGAGAGACTCCTCTAGATCTTTGTTCTGGTTTTAGTCTCCAAACAGCACTTGGAGGAGATGAAAAGAAGACGGACTCGAAATTCAACAAAACTCCTCATAGTATCCTTCCTCTTCACTAATCTTCTTTAAACATGTGGCAAGATTTAGACTCATCCTTTTACATCCATTTGAGATAAGACAGTAGTATATAACTCTGGGCCACTTTGCTAATCCCCAATTCACTGATCATACAAGTCTGAACAATTCACTCCATCTCCGTTGACACCAACAAGCTGTAGCCTACACAAGCCATCTCGAGACTTACAAAACCCAACCAACACTCCTTCCAAACTCCAGACTCCCACCTTAAACTATCGGTCTACAATAGTGAATGATGATTAGCTAGCTCCGAGCGTAGCTGCTCCTTCGGAACTAACGTGCTCCACTAGCGTACTCTGGCATCTACAAGTACATAGGCATATAGCTAGCTACACTTGCTTCGTAAGCAACCCGAGACTTAGTTATTACCTTAGCAATATAGGTCTTTTACATCACCCACTTGACTAAACAAGTCAAACCAACACAAACACAAACACGTCCACCCATCACCACATCGCGCCTCTCCTCTCTCCCAAAAAAAAAAAGCAAAATGTCCTACAAAGCCTACCTAACCTCCACCCTGGGTCTCCCAAAAAACCACCACGCCCTCTTCATCGAGACCCACGCAACCGGGCCTAAAACCGGCTTCCTCTACCAAGTCACCGGCACCATCCAGCACGGCATGGTTTTCGAACACAAACACGGGATGCAACCCGAGCGCAGACGGGACTTTGGCGGCCTCAAGGAGTTCCTGGGGGTTGTCACGAAGGAGGATTTTGAGAATGGGAGGGTGAAGGAGGGGGTTGAGAGTGTGGAGCCGCCGAAGAAACAGTTTGAGGGGGGGGAGAGGTTGTTTCCTAATGAGGGGCTGAGGAGGAGTCAGGAGTGGTGTGGGGAGGTTGTTGGGGTGTTGAGGGGGTGGGGGGTGATTAGTTGGGAGTGAAGGGTGTGTGGTTTTGGGATGAGGGTTGGGTGGGATTTTCTTGTGGGGGTTAGGAGACAGGAATAGACCGGGGTGTTGATTCTTAGTTGGCATTGTTAAAGACTCTTGGAAAAACTCTTCTCTTTCCTCATTTCGAGACCTGCATTTATCCAGCATTTTCTAATAACGTTGATGATGGATTTCGGCTATTCTTTTGGGTTGTCTTATGGGGGAGAATATAGCGATGTTACTACGAACGACGTTTATGTGAGAATTACTTCAAGTGACAATCGAGTAAACGAGGGTTCTACTCTGCTCTACTTATATACTCCTTTGGCACCGCTTGGGTAATATTGGCACAAGCGTTCAAACAAACTACTGAACAACTCAAGCACTACTCGAGTATTCAAGTGTGAGTTGAGTTGAATGTAAGTAGTGGGTTAAGTTGAATATTCGATTAGACTACTCGAGTCATACCTGAGTAGTTTGCTACAAACAGAAACTAAAGTATAAGACAATTATCCCTAAACACGACGTCTTTTAGTAGTATATCCTCGTCCTTGTCTATAAAAATACCCTAGCCTATTAAGCTTGTTATTTGCTCGAGGTTCTTTTTCGAGACCCTGTTCCTATTCTTTGTAATAATATACCGCTCGTTAGGAGCACTTTTCGGTGGAATTTATAGGGGCACCGGCTAAATCTGAGAGGTCGGACCGGTCGCCCGGCCTGGCCTACTTCGTACTACTTAAGTAGTATACAGCTTAACTCGAGTACATAGCGATTTAGTTGAGTAGGTGCTACTACTTAAACTAACTCAACTCATTTCGAGCGCTAGGTATTACGTATAGTAATTTTAGTCGGGCATGTCTAAGTAATCAATCTGTTTACAAGCCGACTAATCAAGGATCCTTTACTAAGTTGTTGTATACTACCCTTACTCTAATGCACCTAGTAACAACGACCTCGATTGATGTAGTTGTTAGCAAAATGATGTTGTTTAGCAAGCCTTGTTTATACTAATACAACTAAATATGTCCTTTAAAGAGGTCTATGAGAATACGATGGGCCTTTGAAGTTGGTTCCTTGGATGCAAATAAAAGAGGGAAATAAGTTGTTGTCGGAAATTCTTAAAGGGGAACTCTTCAGATTCATCAAGTGTGTGATCTTACTGGCCTGCCTATTTGTATCTAGGAGTGAACAATCCTAGCATACATTGAGCATAAGACGGTAGCTAATGGCACGTGATTAACCGATCACTATTGGCAAAAGAAGGTTGATTCTAACTGATCTCTTCCAATACGGATATTCCAGAGAGATCATTCAGTATACTAGTCGATCGGTCGTGGTAGAGTAATGGCTTGTATTCTACTCGGTTCAGCGAAAAAATACTTGTACCCCACTACGCTCTACTCTATCGCTACTACTCGAGTATTTAACTACTAATCAAAATTTTGGTACGTTTATCCTGTCACTGCTCGGAATAGTCGTTGCGTTCGTAAGAAAGGAGCATGATCCTTTTATGTCATTTTTCTGTTGCAATTACAGATCTCGATCCACGGGAGATTCAATCTTTGGTACCTTTGGTTTCTTGTTGTACAGCATGAGGAGGGTCGCAAGATCGCATTAGCGATAATTGGTGGTCATGCGCTGCATCGTATCATGAGCGCCTTCTCATCAGCACCTCAACTTCATGTCAACCTACATCGTTCTATGAAGATGGCGACTGGCTCAAAATCTATGGGGTCCGAGCAGGCTCTCAAAGCAAGCAATATCCTGCAAAATGACGGCCTCAACTGCGTGATATGCGAAAAGATACTCGCCATTTTCCGTTGTTCCAGTGGCGCTGACTGGCATGGAACAGTATCTTCTCTACTAACAGGTTCTTGTCCACGTGTGGAAGGATTTAGGAACTTGTAATCTTGGGATGGACGGCTGATTGCAAATTACGAAGAAGTATACTTGCTAGCCGTGAAGGGTTCAGCGTCGCAGCCGCATATGAAGTTTGAGGCAAATCATCTTGAACTTTACACGGAAGACGTTTATCTCCTCCACAGAGCAGTGGTACATGACCACCCTGGGAAAGCTCTTACTGTGGAATCTGAATGGATAGACGAGGGAACGGTCAACTCCTGGATTTCGACTTGTGAAAAGGTTCACGGAGACCGATGCAGATATAAAGCACCGTCTATAGAAGAAAAGGGCGCAGAACTAAAGCCGTTTTATCGAATAGACATTGTTGAACATTGCATAGTCACAAGCAGTGACGACGTACAGGAATCTGTTGCATTGAGTTACGTCTGGGTCAAACGCAAAGCCTGCGAAATAACACGAAAATCTGCCAGAAGCTACTACGAAAAGGTTCTCTGCTCGATGGAGAATTCTCCCAGCTACTCCCACAGACCATAAAAGATGCCATATCGATTGTTCGTATCCTCGGCAAACGCTACCTCTGGGTAGATGCACTTTGCATTCTACAAGATGACGAGCAGTTTTTGAAAAGGGAACTTGACAGAATGCACCTCATATATGCCTGTGCAAGCTTCACAATAATCGCAGCGGTTGGAACAGATGCAAACCATGGGTTGCAAGGGTTTAAAAATCTGACAGCTCCTCGCAAAAGACGTCAGATTGCAATACAATTAGAGGGCTCGGAAAAACTCATAATAGACAGTAACACTCGCCCGTCTGGAAAGAGGTGGACCATGACTCAACACACCTCCTACTACGACCGAGGGTGGACGTTTCAAGAGTTCGTATTCTCGAGAAGGAGAATGATTTTCCAAAATGAAGGCATTGTGTGGGAATGCCAGTGTTCATCTTGGCATGAGGACTTGATACCTCACTCAAAATTCCAGGAGGGGAAGGAGAATAATGGTCTGGACATGTTCTTCTACAGGACTGTACCTGAACTTCTCACCCTGCGTAATCCGATGGTAGAATACAATCAAAAACTTTTCACCTTCCCTGAAGACGCAGTTTCGGCATTTCAAGGATTTCAATCCATCCTTCATCGTACGTTTCCTGGAGGTCTTTTGTACGGCCATCCAGAGTTCTTCTTCGATATCACTCTGAGCTGGTATCCTTTTCATGGTTTCAAAAGATGGGTTCCATTAATATCAACAAAGCATCTGCCCAGTTGGTCGTGGGTTGGCTGGGATGGAACGATTTGCTTCCCGGATGATGTGGAGAATTGCGGTAATTTATGGCCCATATCAACAGACGTAGAAGGCTACAGGAGTCCAGTGGCCAGCTGGTATACAGCTAACTCGCCTTGTTCGATTCAAAAGAGACGGATTAACTCCGCGTGGCATGACCACCGTCTTTTAGCGCAAAACGAGGCAGCCGAAATCTCTTCTGGATGGACTCGGCATGACTTCAAGCTCGACACAGAGTTCTACAATGGAAGACATATTTTGGAGCTGTATCTTCTTCTTAAATTCAGAGGTATTCCAAGATACTGTTTCAGTCACCCTGACTTGGTAAACTTCGGACCAAAAAAGCGTTATCTCTGGTATCCAATTCCCATCCTAGAGCCAGCTTCTCCGGATCCTCCGATTGAGCCGCAAACAGCCTTCATCTTTGCCCAAACTAGTCGAGCGTATCTATCTGTCAGAACCATATGTTTTGAACCGCAACGTATTTCCCGGAAACATGAAGGCTGGCATCCTCCTTCGGTTCACTTGTCTGATCGATCGGGAAAATTTGTCGGATACCTCCATTTGCACAATAATGATGATTTAGCTGAGTTCGAGGAGGAGATTGATGCCAACGGTAGGAAGCTCGTTGAATTGGTAGCGACTTGCAAAGGCTATACTGGGGAAAGATATTCGATCATGAGCTTGCGGAAAGAATTAAGGAGGAATCGGGTGCACAGGAGTGGGATCCTCAGCTGAAGAATTGCTATTTTGTTCTATGGATTGAATGGAAGGATGGGGTTGCCTATCGTCGCGCGGCTGGTGCTGTCACTGAGGAGGCGTGGGATTCCGAAAAGGAAAGTGAGCTTGTGGATTTGGTACTTGGGTGAAAGGGGAAATATTGAGAAGGATGAAGCTTGATTTCAGGACTGGTTGTAGTTGGCATTTTAGTTTGCTTTGGTTTCAATTGGGTGCTAAGCTATTTGGTTTTCTGTTCCTAGTGTAGTCTTCTTGCAATCTTACGCTCCTTTGGGATTAGTGGTTCAATTGCTTGTAACAATGCTTCAGAAGTGTAAACTTATGGCAAGAGTTCTATATTACTCAGCTCTGACATTCCCACTGGAGTGATTCGACCCAGATCTGAACTGTTACTTCGCTCAGGTTGGCACCCACACTATCAACACAACTCGAGACCAACCCTAAGCTACTTAATATGTGCCCAATTCAAATGGAAACTCATCAAAATACAACAATTCCCAAAATTGATGGCTAAGGAGACGAGCAAGACGATATTGCTAAGAGAATCGGTTATTACTCTGTTCTAATAATTTGTCCTACCGTACTTTACGTTAATAAAGGCAAAAGCGCTAGGTATTCCAACCGATTCGCAAAACCGATTCGGTCCAGCGACACTTTTAAAGCAACATTGACTTGACATACGTTCAGAGTAATGGCCACTTCTGTCACCGGCATAGATGATGCCTCTTACCATCTTACCAGTGGCACCGTATCTCCTTCGACAACAAGTGGTGACGACACCTACCAGAGCCGTTCTTTTGAGGAACTGAGAGTGAGCGCGAGAGTGTGGGTACCGTTTGAAAGATTTTGAGTGATGATCTGGTGAAGCTGGCTAAAGTGTCGGTGGTAAATAACTGAGACCAAAATTTATGATTCAATTTGGAAAGAGAAGTGACGAATGACAAAATAACTTACGGCGGTATGATCGCGTATCCCATTTGACAAGATACAAAATAGCACCAAGTACGCGTTGAAGTTTCGCAAGTTTTTCTACTCTATTACTGTTGCGTCTCGCGACTGCCCTCATTCCACCAGACAAAAGTAATTCACTCATTTCAAGCCTCCGTTTAAGAATACTCATAAGACGATCTGCTCTCAACCAATGTGCGCCAGCGTGGGCGCCACCAGATCGGCCACCTGGTCAGAACACTCTCTTCCCTAGTTGAAGGACAAGCACGATTGGAATTTGGTGGTCGACAAGGATAAATAGAGATCTGCTAATACTCAGGTTCACGTAGGAGGTAGAGGATATATTATTTAGGTCAAACAGCCCCTAGGGTACTTATAAGGCTATTTATATATATTATTTAGGTATAGCCTTTATCTAGTAGCCTAGGCTCTACTTATTAAGGTATAAATAGCCTTATAAGTACCCTAAGAGCTATTTAACCTAAATAATATATCCTCTACCTCTTATATAAACCTAAGTATTAGTAAAGGATATGTTTTATATATTAAGGGTAACTAAGTAAGCTTATTTATATTATTTAATCTATTCGATTACTTGTTTATAATAATAATAAATCTACTAATTATTATTATAAGCTTATAAAGAGTAGTTTCTTATTAACCCTCTACTATTCCTAAGCTAGCTACTAGTTTTAGATAGTAAGATAGGCCTTAATTAAGTGCTTAGTAGCCTATGTGACCGTGTGGAGTGAACCACTGCTTGCTGTGATGAATACGGAGTCAAACGGAAACTGCTATATAGAGCGAACAACTAAGTGAGGAAGGAAGAGAGTTCCAGAGGAACAGAAGCTTATAGTGGTAGAACTTAAAATTATATTTATTTTACTTACTTAAATTTATATTTAAAGATTAAATTAAGTTATTATATCTAGTTCCTTCTAATAAGAATTAATAGTATTATACTTATAAGGAACTTTCTACTTAATAAGAATTCATTTTTAATTAATACGTTAATATATCCTAGGTAAGTATTTAAAGTCTACCTTCTAAGTTATTATATTTACTTATATAGTATCCTATTCCTATTTACTTATATTATAGCTCTTTAATAATAACTATAACTACTAAATTTTATCTAATTCGAATATTCTAGTACTTTTAGCCTCCTTTTTAATTTATCTACTATTATAGGTTTCGTAAAAGGTATATTTAAGCTATAACTCGATCTTTAGAATAGTAGTATATTATAGTTTTATTTATTAAGTATAAAAAGTTATCTTAAGGCTTTTACTATATAAGTTAAGTTCTTCTCTACTACTATTATAATATCCATACTACTATTTAAATAGTTTATTTTACTTATCTTTAGCCTAATCGATATAAAGGAATCGTTTTCTATAAAAGTAACGTTAGATATTATTACTTTCTCCCTTTTAAACTTCTCCTTATTCTTATACTCCTTTACTATGTACGTAAGCTCTCTTAAATAAAAGAATTCTTTATATACTAGTTTTAAGAATTGTCGGTATATAATTCTGGTGAATAGCACCTTTGTAACGAATACTCAAACTGGCTAACTAAACTTGGCTGGGTGTTCGCTGGTTGGTATGCTATGATAAGAAGAAGACTATCGGGTTGTTCACTTGGAAGTGTGACGGAGCTGGATTTCATTTGACAGGATTTCATTCGCTTGGCCAAGCACGTGACGAGACTTGCATTGGAACAACTTAAATAACTTCGCTCCTTTCAGATTCTCTTCTCTCTTTAGTTTGATTTCTTCGTACCTACGGTTTTAGTTCTAGCAATTGATTCAAAAGCTGTATACACTTTATCCTTTGTTGGCATCCGTGACAGGAAGTGAACTCGTTACTTGTATCAAAGATGTCAAACTAATATGATAAGATTGATAACTAAGTTGAGCACGAAGCTCCTATCTAATGGCAGAAGTGCCAGTCTTATATAGAACCTTCGTTCTACTGGATCCCTTCTGGATCCATCGGGGTCCATCACGTGACAACAACCAAATGAAATCCATGGATCGCTTAGCTGGCCTAAGCAATCCCTATTTGCTATAAGAAACCTGGATGTGCCTGTCGAGGGTTGCGCCTCTTTATTATGACAAGTATCACGTGGGCATGTGATTCGTGACACCTTGTACGAGAGCCTGGTAGACCTATATACTTTAGGTCATGTGAGTGGCTTGCTACTCACATACTTAAGTCTGTAGAGTACCACCTCTCTTTACCTTTACTCTTCATACACGAATGAATACAAAGAGAGATTATGTTTGTGTATCACCCTTTACGACAACCAGGTCGTACCAACAAGAATACTATAAAATTAAGGTTATTTTATATTATATCTTTACTACTTCTTTTAGCCTCCTTATCCTACTATTCCGCTACAATCTCCTCAAGGATATTATAGGTTATTAGTTCTACCTAGCGTTTTTTATCTTTAATATTTATTTACTTTACTTCTACTACTATATACTTTACTATCTTATTATTAAATATCTTTAGATCTAGTATCCTATTAATAGTATCGGTATAAGTAAATACTACTTAAGGCTACTTACGTGTCGTACTTAGTACTAGTACTACTATATAATAGTAGTAGTACTTATAATACCTTTACTCAGTATATATAACTAATAGTCTTTATAATACGATATATTCGATACTAAACTATTAGCCTTATATTATACTTTCCTTATTTATCTTTCGGCTCTATTAACTTAGAGTTAAACTAAAAAATATAAACTAAGTAAATATACAAGATCTATTATTATAAACTATTATTTTTTAATTTACCTTTAAACCTTCCTAATTCTCTTATTACTCTAAGTACTAAATAGTTTATAAGTAGAATTAGTTATACTAGGTATAGCTAAACTCTATTATTTTTACAAAAGAACTTATATACTCTTTAGTCTAATTTATATACCTTTTAAGTCCCTAGCGCTAATCTATACTATGTATATTTTACTATAAATTTTAAGAGTAGTTATAAGATTATCTTACTCTATACTATAGGAGGTTCTATATAATTATACTTAGTAACTAAAAGTATACGTTAGTAATTAAATCTCTATTAAATCTCAAAAGTACGTCGGCTAATATATTTTCTATTCCTAGGAGCTAATATACTACAATCTCGATATTATACTTTACTATAATAAAGAGTATCTAATATAAAAATATATTTACTAGGCTTTTTAATAATTATTTATTAAAACCTATAAATACTATAGTATTATTTATATAAATATAGACTCTTTCAGTTAACTAGAATAAAGCCTACTACTTAAATAATTCTTCAATTACTTTTATTTTTATAACGTTTATATTAAATATATTATTACTACTATTTTAATTTATTAACTTTATAAATGCTATATATTATTAGATCTCTAAGGTTCGATCTTTCTAATCTATTTATTTATTTAAATAAAAACCTCTTATTCCTTAAATTAAAGTATCTATAAATAATTAAACTTCTACTCTATCTTTTAGGTAGTAGTAATTAAACTTTTAAAATTCGTCTTAATTTAAGATATTTTTAAATACTTACTTCTATACACCCTTAATTAAGATTCGACGATTTATAATTCTTTAAAATTAACTATTTCTCCTTTCTTTTATACCTAACTAATATACTAAATTAAAGGATTAATATAATATAGAATCTTGAAGACCCTAGATATTAAGCTAATAACTTTATCTATACGTTAATTCTAAAGAGTAATAGTAAGTGAATTAATAGCTAAGCTAATTTATTATAATATTAAAATAAAGGTAACGTATTAGGATATATAGGTATAGAATAGTAAAGGTAACTTTATATAATATTTAGAGTAATTCTTCTAATTATATATTAGATACTGCCTCTCTTATACTAAACCTTTATTTAGTTTTAGCCTTATCTTCTAGCTTTTCCTCTTTCTTACTATTTAAGGCCCTATTACTTATACTAGAGCTATTAACTCTATATTCCTTAATTATATATTTCCCTTTATATCTTATATAATTATAATAGCGATTATACTAGATAGCGGTATAAGTAAAATTATTAAAGTTATAATATAAAGCTAATATATTATTTAGCTCTTTCTTAAACCTAACTTTTTTAACTCTACCTCTTCGTCTACTTATACCTAATCTACTACTATTTCAGTTTAGTATCCTTAGGTATAAATAATAGTATTATAGAATATATTGTTTTAGAAGGAGCTACTTATTAATATTATATAAATTATTTTAAAACTTTTATTCCTTATAGTATTAAATTACTAGTAGAAGGACTCCTTTTAGCTAGTTATACGATTTTATTAATCTTAATATCTTATTATAGAATACTATTTAAGCTCTATTTAGGGTTAGGTATTTATCTTTGAAAAAAACGTTAATAATTAATATATACTACTTAAAACCTTTACTCTAAATTATATATATATTTTCATAATCCTTTAATTTATTTTTAACCTTTATACTCTTTATCTTTCTATTATTAAATACTATATTATAGTCTCTCTTATTATTATTAAAATTCGCTATAAAAGTTAATTTATAGATATTAATAAGTAGGTTAAATTCCTCTAGTATAATATCTACCATATATTTATAATTAATCCTCTAAAATTATAGTAGGAGTTACTTTTGTTTATCTAATAGCTTACCTTTATTATTATTATCTACCACCTAAGCTCCGCCTACTCTTTATACTTATACCGGTCTTACTATAGTACTAAATACTCCTCTTAGGTTATTTATAATAGTTGTAATCCTTACTTATAATTCCTATCTTAATAATACTATTTTTATATTATATTCTTCTAATCGTAGATAATCCTCTAAAGATAATTAACCTTATAACACCTATTAAATTAGTAGTAATTAGTTATTTTATTATTATCTTTATAGTAGTAGTAGAAGTAAGCTACCCGAACTAGAGCTCGTTTATTATAGAGCTAACATCTTATTACATTATTAATTAAACGTTAATAAGAGTATACTTTTAATCCTAACGAAAGGACTAGCCTTATAATACTGTAAGAAACTACTCTTTACGAGCTTATAATAACAATTAAGTTATATATAATACTTATATTATATAGAGTTGTCTAATCTATACGCGCTTACTAATTAGTGTTAGTTTAACTCTAATAGAGAGTCTAGACAAAGTGTTAATATAAATAGAATAGTATATATTCGACTATTAGATGTACACACCGAGTAAAGGTTGTAGGTACCCGCTATTATATAGTAGTGCTAAGGCGCTAGCGCCCTTGCTAGCCCTAAGGCTAACTTGCACGTGCTATGACTCATACCGAGTATTCACTCGATATTCGTATAGCGACATCCCCTTTTGGGGCGTGTGGTGGGTTGTAGAAATAACCCTTGCTGTTTAAATAGCGCGTTCGCGTAAGAGGGCCAATCATGGAAGTAGTCTCGTCTTGTGAGGTTCTCCAGGGCAAGTGAATGAGTGCCTCAGCTCATCCAAACTTCTGTCAGTGAATGTCCTTGTAGTCGAAAGGATGATATTCCGATCTTTTCTTGAATCAATGAACTGTGAGAAAAGGCCTATGTCCCATAATAAACCTTGCTATTACTCTGCTTACACCTGACAAACCCATTATCTTGAGTTGCCAGAACATCATCCTACTGATTTCAACCAAGTAGAATTAGAAGTTATAATAACTACTCACTTTAAACGTTATGTATAGTACATGAATTTTAGTATGCCTTTCTAAAGTGCCATTCTTTTCAAGTAGTGTATAGGCCTAGATATTAGCTGTTGGTGGGGGGGTTTTGAACAAGGGGTGCTCGACCACGACCACTCGGTTACCTAAACTGAGCAATGAATAGGTCTCGTTAATTGATTCATATTCACATTTAAGCACTGAAATTCACATATCCTTGCGAGGCTGTGTTATCTATCATTGTATTTAGTGATTGCGAAAACTTGTAGCCATCTTTCAAGAAGTTTGGCGGAAAGGATGACGAGTCCAACTCCTTTTTTTCAGCACTTCCGATTATCTAAGGCTATTTTGCACTGGGCTTACACCGGACATGGCAATCATATGGTGTAGATTCTTGGGAACTAATTCTCGTCAACTAAATCTTTCCGGGTTGTCCTGCAAGAATCAGTATTCATGGATCATCGGATTCTGTTTCAAATCTCAATGGTTTCCTACGAAACCTTCGCCTTGTGGCTAAAATTCTCCACATTATTTCCTAGCTATTTCAAAGAGACCACCAGATGCTTTCCTATTCTTGGCTAACTCATTGCACTTCACGAGCTTGTTGCAAGAGATATTTTTCACTTGAAAATGTTAAGGGTAAGTTATATCGCATGTCTTATTTATCTGTAGGTAACTAATGGAACTTATACTATAAGTAACCTATCCTGCCGAGCCATCCGTTTCTCAACCTGACCTTGTTCCACGGCTCCCACGATCTAACTCTGTTCGGCTGGCAAAGCCTTCAATAATAGTTCTGGTAGGCACTCCAAGAGAAGCAGGCGCAGTCTGTGCATGAGCTAAACTTGGTCTTCCTTGTGGTTGATGCGAAGGATTTGAACTTCCAGGACTGGATCTTGAGGGACTTCTATTAGATTGTCCTTGAGCCCGAGGTTGGCCGGAGGGTATTGAGTTGTTCGATGGTTGGTTTGGGTGAGGAGAATTGTACTGGCTTTGCATTCTTGGAACAGAAGTTGTCGGTTGATTTCCGTATGTTGAGCCAGAGGGTGGGCGACTTTGGGACTGGCTGTGTGAGCTATAGGGTGGTGGAGGAGCTGCCAAGGGTGTTTGCCTAGGGTATAACGGTGGTGGGAGCGGTGATGCCGTTTGTGCTTGCTTGAGATTTGGTGGAGGTGGTGATCGCGGCCGTTGGTTGGGGGGCATTCGTGGACCTAATTGAGCCATCATATTGGAAACGGCTGAAGGTGATTGGATAGACAGGCCTGGACTTCTTGCTCCTGGTGCGAGTTGAGGAAGTTGTTGTAGACCAGCAACTGCTGGGTTCCATATTGGTCCAGCTCCTGGGTTCAAGTGAATAGGATTCATGTTATTTGGACCCATGCCGCGTATATATCCCTGGTTCATACCTCCCGTACCGAGCCTGAATAACTTCCCCGATCCGGGCGGCGGTAGCCCAAAACCTGCAATCTTACCTGTCCATCTAGGCTTGTACTTCTTTCCACTCAGTTTTCTGTCGAGCCAATCATGGATAGGATCATGACTTCCCATGGTTGGAATGTTAGTTATGTTTACCGGGAAGATAATGTGCTGTGGAGTAGTACTAGAGTTTACCGCCAAGAATGCAAAGAAGGGATGGGAAGATGGCTTTTATACACGAAATTTCAACGTCTGCGGTGCCACTGGTAGACTTGAATCAGCTCAGCTTGTGATAGGATAATGGTGTATTTACTTTGAGTCGAAACTGGTCTCGTGACTGATGTTTGGTGAATGTGTTTTCACTTTTCTTGAACTGGAAGAGAACGATTGAAAATAACCTTGCGATTGGGCCCTTGCTCAAGTTGACTGTGTCTAAGAGCACAAAAGGAACGTGTGACCTTTGCCGATCTTCGGAGCTGAACTAAAAATCTATAGCCAACGCTTGGAAAACGGAATAGAATCTGGAAGGATTTCCAGAGCTCCTTAAAACCTAAAAGGGATATTCCATTGAAGGGCTTCTGGAATTACATGTAAAAACAGAATTCTAAAAGCCTTTTTTAAACTAAAAGGAGAACAGGATCTAAGAGTCTTAAAGGGAGGATTTTAGTACTATAAATAGAGATCAAGGGGTTAGTCAATTAGATATTAATAACAGATAGTCTCTTCTTTACTCGATGATGTATAGGATACAATTAGAGACGCTACCTACTATCTCATTCGTGGTCCTCGTCTTGCCAAGATGCATGTTCGTGTTTAGCGAGCCCCTAATTCATATGCGTCTTTTTTTAGGTAGAGATTTCGAAGGGTTCTACGGTCATAGTTCTGAATTTAAGGTGTTATTATATACGAATAAGATCTTCTAAAATCCATACAAGTTCGTCTTGGTCGATATATGATTTATATATAACACTAAATGGAATATTTTGATAGGGTTGTAACATTTGCTAGTATAGCAATAGTAAGAACCAGCAACGAAAGGTTCTTTATTAATGTAATTCGAGGAAGAGAAGGCTCCTAACTAGAGGGAATGGTTATTCAATATCTATCATACGAAGTACCTTAAGTAGCCTTGCTAAACTAGCTATAAACCAATCTGATCGCTACGATCTAACTGAAATTCTTAGACAGTATCTAAAATTCTGCTTCCTAAGCCAAGCCCTATCTCCACATACTAGCAAGCTACTACAACTCAAAATATTATTATACTGGCTGGTAAAAATCCTTTAACTTGTACTGTGTATATAAAAACGAAAAAAAATCAGTACTAGAGTGCGAGAACTCGCAAGAAACATCAGAACTGCTTTCTGAATCAAGACGCTTTAAGCGAGTATATAGTTCCAGGCTTTTCAAGCAAGGAGATTGAGTCTTCTCTAACGGCGAAGCGTTATCTAACTAACAAGTCTAAGTTCTGACAAGTAATCAAGACCTCTATAGTTAAAGAATTATACAAAATCTAGTGACTATGTTTTACTCTAAGTAAATCCTTATTCAAAAGTGGTGAAAATACACCCTTGTGCTCTTTACTAGCCCCTATTCAAACTAAGACACGCCCATAAAGTTATTAATATCACTCTAGTCCTTTAAACATAGTTGTCTAATAAGATTTCACAAACTCATTAGCTGAAGAAAGGAAAAGTAGAAGATCTTACAAGTGGACTAATAAGTAAAAACAACCATAACATATAATTTTGCCTATTCTATATCTTCCCCTTTTCCTAGTCAACAAAGCAGTAAACAGAAATTTGTCCGTTGCTAAGCATGAGCGTAAGAACCTCTCTACTACTTAATTACTCCACTTCTTTATTCTAACCATACCGCTCCATTTAACCGTAAAGTCTCCGGAAAAAGCTCATTCTGCACAGTTGTTTAGAATAATAAAGCATCTCAAAACAACTTACGCGTATAAAAAAAATAAACCAATTTCCCCATCTTCCTTATTCACAGCAACTCACTCAACCTCCACCCAGTGAATCCCCCCTCACCATCCCCCATCCCCATCTCCTACAACCAATCCAAATCACTTTCTCTCCCATTCACCACCCAACAAACAAACTCCCCTACCCTCTCAATTTCCGATTTCCGCCTCAACTCACCCTAAAATCACGACAGTCAATATCCACACACGTCATAACCACAAACACTCACAACCACAATACCACTCACCCTTCAACCACCTCAGCCCATTCATTCACCAAATCCCCTCCATTTACACCATCTCTTATCATTCCCAAAGGGATAACAATCCACCGAACAACCCCTCACGCTAAAATAACCGAAATGAGCTAATATTAATAAAATCTATAGTCCAGACACTCACGTTAGTACCTCCGTAGACTGCAGTCCTCATCATGAGTCAGACACAATAGTCCTCCTAATCACGAAATGAGATTGAACATATATAAAATTAGAGTATATCATGATAAAAGTAAAGCTATTGACGCTCTACCTATGAACAGTAAGATGGTAAATAGAAGTTACTTGCTGGTATAAAGGAACCTGGTGCACAATGAAAAATGTGTAACCAAAATTTGATTCCTGAGCAGTTTGGGTGTAAGGGTTTGTGACAATGGAGTACATGGAGTGTTTGAAACAGATAGTATATAATTCTTGGTGCCTAACGAAACATGAGTAAGAATGATGATGAGAATACAAGTTGCAATTATGACTCGCCGACTCCAAAGCCGCATTTGGGAAAAGAACACGAAGACTTGCCACACAAGAATACATAGAACATCAAGCAAACATCACAGTCGATACAACACTCGGCTTGCACTCAATCAGTGAAAGAGTTCTTTCCAAATAAAAAAAAAATATCTCTTAATAGACTACGCCCTATTGCTATTACACCGTACAAAATGCGCAATCCCCCTATCTGCTCCCCAAATGACACGCACCCAAGTAACTAAGACCCGGCAACAGCAATGGAGCATAGCCTTATGATTCATATCCACTCTTAACGCAGGGAGAAAACTAAAAAGAGAAAAGAGACACGCAAGAACACAACAAGATCTTGCAGGAAAAAAAACCGTAGCGGGAAGACAGAGGTGAAATAGCCTAGCACGGAGGGAAGCCTCCATGCCACAAGATGTATATCCGAAACCAAGAGAGGATGAAGAGGTGGTATTGTCGTATTTTGGATGACTTTGGGGAGTTCTGCTATAGTTGGTGGAGGCCGTATCAAAGATTGTCAGGTCAACGCCGAGTGAAAAGATTCATGCACGATATCTGCAAGCACATATCTCGTCCTAGTAGCATCCTTACCCCCCGAGCAGGAACCAAAGACCAGATAACCCCGACTCGCATTAGAGAAAGAAAGGTCGAACGCGGTATCTTTACAAAACAACACACTTCTTCTTGTGGACTTTCTTGGTCAAGAGAGCAGCGCGGGTGGCATGCTCAAACACCTCGCGAACACCTTCGTTGGTCTTTGCCGAACACTCCAAGTACTTATATGCACCAATCTTTTTGCGGATTTCCTCACCCTGGGTTCATTGTCAGTTTGTGTTCGTGAAACACACGAGGACTCCGAGGGTTCCCTCTACTCGGACACCCTATGTTCTGGATGCTATCTTACCTGCTCAGGAGTGACTGGCTTTTGGCTGGTCTTGTGTAGCTCCTCAATCGTCTTCTGGTCGTACCGCAAATCCTTCTTACATCCGACGAGGATGATTGGGAGTCCGCTGCAGAAATGAAGGACTTCGGAAATCCACTGTTGAGGCACGTGTCAGTGATGCCTTATCTTTCGGCTGCATGGGGTTACGGTACCTTCTCTTGAACGTTGTCAAGGGAATCTGGTGAATCGACGGCGAAGCAGATGAGGATGACATGTGAATCTGGGTATGAGAGAGGTCTGAGACGATCGTAATCTTCTTGTCCAGCCGTATCCCATAATGCTAACTCGACATGCTTTCCATCGACCTCGACATCGGCAACGTAGTTCTCGAAGACAGTTGGGACATAGACCTGTACAAATCATCCGTTAGCAGTGTGGATTGAACTCTGGACTTCTGCCATTGTATGCTGGAGCAGGCGGAAGCTATCGTGACGGGTTGACGGTGGACTGTTGACGGTGGACGCGGTGTGGACCAGGCCAAGATTTCTGCTAATCGAGAGTGTATCGGAGGACGCTTACCTCTGGGAAGGTACCCTTGGAGAATACGCTGTGATGTGGTCAGTATAGATGTTCTTGATGTTCCAGCGCAGAGGCGGATGTGGTTGGAAGGGCGATGGAGGACTTACATCAACAAGCAAGTCTTACCGCAGGCACCATCACCTACAATGACGAGCTTTCGACGGATTTCCGCCATTTCGTCTTTAGTGGTATAAGAGAGAGAGACTGAGCGACTGTGATGGAAGGGCGGCGGACGCGGTGTTGTATGGGGGTGGATGAGTAGAGAAGAGGATGGATATTGGATACGGTGATGTTGAGTTTGAGAGGTCGAAGTTGAGTTGCAAGACGAGGCAAGCACGACCCAAGCAACAACGGGTTCGGATTTGGTGCCTTGGCGGCCTGGTCAGGTTGAGCAGACAAGGCAAGGCCAGCCAAGTTCCAACGAGACGCAAGACTCAGCAGGACAGGGGTACGGCCATTCACACTGGCTGCGCCAGCATATGGAGCACGCTGGCGGCACTAGCATACGGAGGCACACTAGCACCCGCACTAGCATAGCACACTAGCATAACACACTAGCATAACACACTAGCAACTTGATGGGCCAGGTCACTACGAGGAGTGCAGGCAGCCCAGCGCCGCGAGTTGCCAGGACTCCAGGAGTGAAGGTACGAGGTAACGAGCGAGCACTGGCACTACTAATCCGGTATCCTGGGTAATATGCCTATGGGGTATCTGGTACGCTGGAGATACCGGTGAGGCGAGTTAATCTCGCTGCATAGTGTATGGAAGGGGAGATCTCAAGCCGGTATCAGTATCCATACCTACGATACGTACTCTACTCGAATATGTGCGGTGAGAGCGGTGGTCTGCATTTACTTATCGGTACTCGAGCATACTTCGATACGTCCAAGTATCTTCTTACCCAAGGAGTCCATGGTCTATGCAGAGACAGTGATACCGCAAAGAAGAGGCTATGGCTATCTTGAATGCGAGAGGCCGTTGAGAACTTACAGATACGTGAATAGGACTGCATACTTTCATACGGAGTACTCGTACTTGTGCATAAGCGACCATTTATGAGTCGGTGGCTACACTACTACATTGCACTGCACAAGTCTTTAGACATTCAACAGTCAACCTTATTCACATACGATACCGGGATTTGGGAGTACAACTACCAGCAATCTTGCTTCCAGGAAAGCTGTGGCAGTCCTGCTTCTTTAGAATAATTATGTTTCAAAAGTCCTGCGGTGTGGTGTTTTCGTGTTTTCCCCCTATTGATGATTCATCGCCGGGCCCGGGAATATCAAAACAAACAGGAGACGAGACGAGACATGGGATTACCAACTGTCGTCATGCTCATGCTCATCCGTTTCTGCAAACCACTACACGTATCCATTCACAATGCTCTACGTATCCCACGACCTCCACATCCCCACGATTCCAAGTTCCGGCTGCGTATGAGACCCGGGGTTGCTGTTAAGGCAACCTGTAGCGTAGCTTCCCTCTCCTTTGGGCCTCTCGCTCTCGGATACGGAAGTGGATTGTTTGTTAGGATTGGCGTAGTCTTTTATCTTTGTATCAGCTGCTGTATGCAATGCAAATGTACTTCCATACAGTAACATCTGCCGACAGGTGCAGCAAGTAAAGATAAGAAAGTAAGAACTCTTAAGAATTCCAGGAAAAGATACAGTAATATCCAGTATCCTTCACAGCCGAGGCTCGTTGTATTTCCAGGAAGGGGAGGGATGTTTAGGACTCATCTGTTTCTCTACCAACCAATCCGAAATTCAGGACTCTCAAGTGTCAGATGCAGGGCTTTCTTTGTTTAGTCACAGGCTACTCCTAGCATCCCAACTCGCCAGGATCACTTCGCACCGAGAATAACATTACGAAGGGAAGTATTCGGACTCCAATACCAGTCACTATGGTGTGCTGTGCTGCTTCTCTTGGAGTGAGAGGATAGCTGATGATCCATTTGGAATTACCCGTAGCACCTCATCCCATCCCGTTACTGAATCTCAAGCCCAGCTACTGGGCCACACGCACACACTCTCCGGAGTAGCTGGAGGCTTTCAAGCTCCAGGTCCCTGCCCCTGAACCTCGGATAAAAGGTCCAACTTCCCCGGTCGGTATAATCACGTGACCCAGCACCAGCGTAGCGTGCCAAGACCAGAATCTGGATGGAAGCTCTGAACTCCAGAAAAAGTTACGTCTCGGCATACGACGACCCAATTCGGCCTCTCAACCCCTCCTTCCCTCCTCTGCACGATGCAGAAAGTCGTCTTCCGGCGGACGCTGATGGCCGAGCGACAGGCCGCACGACGACTGGCCAAACGAAAGGAGGATAATGTCAAAACGTGGCTGAAGAACAATAATGAGCAAACGGCCCAATTGAAAAGAGCCCAGAGTATGCTCAAGAAACAAGCAAGAGTCTGGCGAAGAGAGGATTACGAATTGGGTCCGCTTGCGCCAAAAAGAGATGTGGGCGACCTGAAAAACACATATGGATCCATCCCTTCAGAGTTGTCTCAAGGGCCCTCGCTATACAAACCAGATAGGGACGAGAAGCTGGCACCGTGGGGTGGGAGATATCTCAATATTACAACGGGAGATAGAGTGGTACTTCTCCAAGGCCCCGACAAAGGGAAGGTGGGGAAAATAAGCAGCATCGATAAAGAGAGAGCAGAAGTGGTTGTGGATGGGCTCAATTTGGTATGTCCCTCTTTCTCCTTACCGGAGCCTGGTCGAGTAATTATATACTAACTTTCATATTCTAGGCTTACATTGCCATACCAGAATGGATGTTAGGTTCTGATGAGCTTCAAGGAAAAACCACCTTGACAAGGGAAATACCCGTCCCAATGAGTGCAATACGCCTCGTCCACGCCATCAGAACGACTGGTGAAGATGGCAAATCAACCCTGACAGACGTAATCGTAAAAAAACTGATTCACCGAGACATTTGGCGGAGGAAGCACGGAGGCTCAACTTGGGAGCGAGTAATTCCCGATTTAAATATTGTTGTTCCATGGCCATCAGGACAGACGAGAGGAAGAGGGGGGTTGGAGAAACGTCCAGAAAGGAAGGACACCATCGCCGACACCCTCCGAATAGACGTCGAAGAGAAGACTTTCATCCCAACTCTTTTCGAGCCACCAATGCCACTCTCAATAATCGACGAGCTGCGAAACAAATACTCGGCTTTCCGAACCCGTCATGAATCGGAATACATCCGTGAGAAGGAGGCAGAGGAGGCGGCGAAGAAAGCGAGGCTGAAGGAGGCTAAGATAATGAGGACACCAAAGATGGATGCCAACCGCAGGGCACGAGAGTTACGGAAGGCAAAGGGCAAGGGAACACTTACACCCGAGATGTTGGAGAAGATTGGACGGGCTATTGCAAGTAAAAAGCAATTGTTATTGGAGCCAGAGGTAAAAGTAGAGAAAAAGGCGGTGCCACTCGATGCGTAGGATGGGGACATAGATGTTGTAAGATATGTAAAAATGGGAACTCTGTATTGCATATCAAACGGGCAAGCATTGTGGCGTTATAAAAGTCCCTCTCTCTTATGTATTACGCAAATTTACGCAACGTATAAACTTCTGACCACCTCACTTTTCTCTTTGCTCGGGTTTCAAGCGTGTGAGGGGTGTATGGAGTGAGTATGGAGGTTTCCTTTCCCGTTATGGTTTGGTTTGTAAGAAAAAGCGAAGCATAATAGTGTTGTTATCAGTGAAGGATTAAGCGAATTTCAAGAAGCATATCCCCAAGACGTGAAATTCGTAGAATGGAACCACTTGATTCAAGAATGCAAAGCAACTCACCTCAGGTCAAACGAACGAACTCTTTTAAGCCCATCCATCTTTGACATCCGAATGGACATCAAACTCAACACAAATAGCCAGAGATTAAGCAAGAAAAGTTCTCCATATGAATAATCAAGAGTAAACCTTTCTACAACAGACTCATCAACCCACTCCACTACGAACCAAGTAAACTCAACCTCTCAAAATCCCCCACATCAGGCGCCTCCTTCCTCCTAGCCGCCGCCAAACTCTCCGCCAAAACCGCATCGCCACCCGTAGGTTTCCACTCCTCCTCCCTACCCACAACCACCTCCCCATTGCCTCCCGTCGGTCCCTCAACCCCATACACCTCCGGCACACAAGCCTTACACATGCCCACCACCTCCGCAACCGCCGCCTCAATAGCCCTAGCCCGTTCCCACATCCCCCTCCTTATCAGTCCCTCCACGAGTCGCGAAATCTCATCTCGGACGGATTCAACCCTCGTGATCAATCGTCCGACAGAGGCAACGAGATACTCCTCCTCATACACACTCCCCTTCTTCCCTCTCGCTCGCTTCCTCTCCTCTCTCCGTTTGTTCTTACTCGTCGCTCTCGTGACGCCCGTCCCTGCCGTTCCAATACTCTGCTTCCCGGTGTATCTCGTGAATAAACTTCTATTCGTAGAGATCCTCGAGGAGGCAGCGACACTGATATCATCGGGTATCTCACCATCGCCTCCACGCTCGCCCTCGTAGAATGCTAAGGGGTCGGCTAGGGCTTTCGCGCGGAGCTCACGGATGCGGGGAACTTGGGCTAGGAGTTGAGCTTTGCATTCTGCAATCAGTTCGGTGGAGGAGGCGAGTGCTGAGGCAAGACCGGGGTCGATGACTTCTTCCAAGAGCTCTGGGATCCGTTTTTGGGCAATCAGATGTAGAGCGTCGGCGAAGTAGTAGCCAGTGCAGAAAGAGCGCAGGGCGTTGGGGATCGAAGAGAGATATTCGAGGTGGATTATTCCTGCGGCGTGGTGATCGCGGGATTCAGTGAGGGCTTCGGTGAGGTTCGTTGCTATGTCTTCGAGAGCTTGGGATGAGATGGGTGGGGTTTGAGAAAGAGCGCAGAAGAGTGTTTCTCGCCATTGTTGGGGCCCTGAGGAGAGGTAGCAGGATGTAGCTGAAGTGTAGTTTTGGAGTGACTCGTATGCTAGAGCAGCCTCTTTGAAGGATGATTTGGATTCCAGATATTTAGCGTAGAGTCCTGTCAGAATGGCATGTCGATCCGGAGTGTATCGGTAGATCGAAAGGGCTGCTTCGTACAAATCGTGCTTTTGAGTATAAGTTTGCAGCTCATCAAAAGTATCAAGTTCATGTAAATGAGTTAAAGCCTTGGCATTTCTACCAAGGTAGTCATCAATTCCGAAGCGTCGACGAGGAAGTGGTGTCATCTCTTGCAGCTTTTGCATGAATGGTAGATACTCTCGAGGATCTTTCTGAGATTGTTGTGCCACAAGAAGAGCAAGATCTAAGTTATAGAGACCCAAAGCATTCTCATAAAGTCTGTTGACATCTGCCAGAAAACAGATATGTTCCACAGCCTTATCTGCCATACTTTCGTCCTTCTCCATGAGTTGAGCCACAACCATCAGTCCATCTTCTAAAGCAGGTGGTGATTTGCAGACGTTGGCTGTGATGATATTCTGTAGGTTCGTGGCAGTTCTCGTTTTCAGAACTTCGAGGAAGGCGTCGCAGATACGGTTGATCTTTGACACAGGTTGGGCAAAACTTTGTTCAAGCGAAACATTGCCGTTTGTGTCACTAATATCGACAACTCTATTTTCGAGAGGTGAAATTACTCGAGTTTCTTTGTACATATCTTGCGTAACGTCTTCTTCTCTATGGAAAGATTAGTACATATCCAACTCCAAATAACCGCAGTAGGCGTACCTTAGGGAAGAAAGGAACAAGTCAATATAACTGATTTTCTTGACTTGATCCACGAAAAGCCCAATGTTTGACAACATCTGTTTTGGTGCATGATCATAAAGGAGGTTCATATCCACTCTTTGAGTTCGGCAGTGAGTGAAAGCCTTCTTATAATTCTTTTCGTCGATGAGTTTTCTGATACCAGCCAATACCATAGCTCGAGGAAATATGGTCTCCAAATTACCCCTGGGCATCTGTAAAACGAGGCTCAAAGCAGACGGCATTGCTGTAACAAGGCGAGCACCTCGCTCAATGCTACGGCAACGCTCATCGATTTCAGGATCATCTGGCGGTATTTCAAGATCTGTATGTGTTAGTCGATAATTGAAGAAGTGGATTGATTATTCCCCTACCGGCAACACTTGTAATATGTACAAATTTGATTAGATGAGTGGTAGTAGTGAAAATGAGGTGTGCGGGTGTGACGAGGAAAGACGTGCAGTTTTTGACCAACAGTCGGTTATTTGCATATAAATGACCATTGCTAGACATTCCGAAAGAAATAAACTCATCCTTAAACTTGATCATCTCTACCCATGGAAGGTAGGCCGAGAAGTTGCAAGCTCCAAGACTATGGTCCCCAAATGCTAAACTGTGTATCTCACCAGCACTGGTCTGGGCGAACGGATGGCTGGTCTCATCCTCACAGAAGCTGGACATGGTACGAATGATCGCGTTTGTAGTGATACCAGATGGCACTTGTTCCATTGGTCCAGTATCTTCATTAATGCCGTAACGCTTAACTGGTTCGGTTGAACCAATTGGTTGTAATACCAACAAGTAGTTCTTGTTCGTAAAGGTGATTTGTTGGAACACATCATCAGTGGATTCGATTTTCTCAAAGGTAACTTTTCCGGTCAGGGAGGGAGGCGAGGAGCTAGAGCTATTCAAGTTCATCTCGAAAAGTGCAATGCCCTTCAAATGTAGAACTGCCATTAATGAGCCATCATGGTTGAAAGCAATATCAATGGCATTTTCTTGAACCTCTAAATCATGCGCTGCCATTGGCGGAGGTACATTGGCTGTTCGTAGCGGTGTGACCTTTATAGATTTGCCATCTATAACTCCAACCAGACCAAAGTCATGAGGTGGCGCCATTGAACTTCGAGAAACCGCAAAAATGTACTCAAACGCACAAAGTCGATCTGTTAAAGTCTTGTTAGTAGAAGGGTAACTTTGGAAAGGATAAAAGGTATCATACCGGAAGCAATAGTAAGAAACCGAAGAGGTCTTTCAGAATGCCATACCAAGGGGGTCGATGCTGTTACTGCAACCTCTTTGGTCTCAATTTCTTGCTTCAAATACCAATGGTAATTCCCCATGGTCCACAGCTGAATTGAACCTGCGAGGATAACGGCTAGAACCGTTGAATCTTGGTTCCAGGAAAGGGTTACATGCTCGCAGGCTGACTCCAACTCTTCTGGGCTAAGCCGGAGACTAAACTGGCCGTGCCTCAGTCCATTTCGCTCAAAAAACACGACATCAATACGGTCTTCAAAACGTTGAATTCCGGCAATAAGATTGCCCTCTGGTCTCCAGCTCAAGGCCCCTTCTAATCCATCTATTGGCTCACTCACACTGTCAAGAATCCCTTCTCGAGAATAAACTCGAATCAAGCGACGTGCACCACCCTCTACAGTTGAAATAGCAAGGTATGCTCCATCTCCCCTCCAGGTAATAGTTGTTCTGGCGTCATCTTTAGGACTAAGAACACCTTCATCAATTTTCTCTGGCATAGTTGGATCTTTCAACGCTTTGGCACCTTTTCCTTGGAATTGAGTTTCTTTCTTTCCCCAACCCACAGACACATGGTTTGAAGCCTTGAGATCCTCAATCGACATGGTGATATTTGTGATTCCCTCAAACCCACGACTCATAAAGACTACAGTATCGGCCTTGGTGGTGATGGCCAAAAGTTCCTCATCGGGTGACCATCTTGCAGCAGTGATACCTTCATCCACAGATCCCACAATCTCAATGCGGTCTTCTCCAGGATTTGGTTCTTCTCTAACCACGACAATGTCGCCACCAGCCAGAACGAGACATGCTGTCAAGCTGTCACCAAAATAGTGAAGACTCAAAATTTTGTCACAGGTAAGATCTGGGTGAGGGCACGGGGCATCCCAAGAAGTGATACGCGAGCATTCTCTAAAAAAGGAATTAGTTTCAACTTTGAATTCTAGAACGAGGGCATTGTTACAGTGATTTTGGATCCGTCTGGACTCGTACGAGCTCTATAACCGCATTGTCTTCGCTGGGACCAAAGGTGCATATAATAGAGTCATTGGCTAGATCCCAAGTGGCAGCCGAAACTGGCCTCCCGTGGAACTGCGTGGGCGGAGTCCACGGCTCATAGCGTATATTCCTGAGATTACGCATCTTCGGTCTCGAACTTATGGGGGTTTGTTTGAGACGGTTGATTTTATGTCATGCTTCATTCGGCGCAGTATGAGTGCAGAGTGCAGAGTGCAAAGTGTAGCTATAGACCCATGCGCAACGATCGTCGCCAATCCGATATTTCTCGCATTGGAGGGGCTGGTGGGCTAGAAATTTTGTGCAGAAGACCCTGGTCGAGAAAAGCGGCAGGCGAGTGAATACGCCGCTCGACTATGACTACTGTAAAAGGTTAACACCACCATTTAATTCACCCTCACATATGGTGCTGTGACTACTCGTCCAAATCAGCCCATTGCGAGGCTTCATATTTTATTATTACGAGTAAAACGCGTGTCCATTGAGATCAGCGCAGAATTATCGAATCCAGATGCATTATTGAACTCTCAGGCGATGTCACATGCTAGCCACATCAAGCAAAGCAGCATGAAGTGGTGAGTCCAGCAAACCAGCTTTCCCCAGACGGACCTCACCTCGAGGACGATCTATGAAATTGGCTCCTCCCCTTCCCCTCTTAAATGTCTGGTCTGCCCCCTCCACATTAACCTCTCACGACAACCTCTCACGATAACCTCTCACGACCACGAGTACCTGTACATCAATTCAACAATTCAATTAGCCACAATGGACGCCGCATACAATCAACACTCCCCCTACTCGCGACATAACAGTCGCTCCTATACAAACCTCAGCGGTGTCTCTCTCGCGCCATTGACCTTGAGGCTACCCCTCTCTGATCCCCACGCCCTCCCGGAATCCAGCTACTCCTACATTGAAGATAGATCCGCCCCTACGACCCCCTCAGTCCTCTCTCGATCATCCTCTCGAGTCTCACTGCGAAAGCCTACACGAATTAGCATCCCTAAAAGCAGATCTAGCGTCTACCTCCTCCCTTCGAAACAAGCTCGGTCCACCCCAACTACTCCCGGCGGTGGCAAATTGCGCAAATTAGCATTTAGAGACGATTCCTCCATAAATCCCTTTTCAGAAAATGACAGAAATGACTCGGATTGGCTGTTGCGCGCTGGCGCTACCATGTCCACCTCAGCTCGAGAATCGAAAGGCCAAACCTGGCTAGTGTCTCGAGCGAGTTCGACAAGCTTAACAGCCCAGGACGAGGACGACGAGGAAGTAGAAAAGAAAGAATTGGTACGGGAAAGAGCTAGGCGCAGTAGGAGAGGAAGTGGAGCTGGTGCTTTCGATGCAGATGATGAGTTCTCCCCAGTCACAACGAGAAGTCGACCTCTTAGTCGATATTCGAGTCGAGGAAATAGTAGGAGGGGAAGCAAGGCACACTTGTTTACCCCAAAGGCGATGGTAGCTATGGAAAAGGAGGGTTATTTCAATCATAAAGACTTTGAGGACGACGATGATTTTATTGCGGAACCAGATTTCGTCGATGTAGAGGACGAAGGTATCGAGGCAGAGGAACAAGCTAAGATTGACGAAGCCGTCGTTAGGAAATTAGCCCGAGCGAATAGTGCCGGACTTGGAGGCTGGATGGAAAACCTTTTGGGATGGAGTTTGTTCGCTGTTGAAGAGGATGGAGAAGAAACTGAAGTCGAAACCATAGATGAGAAAACCGAGGGTTCAGAAGTCTCTTCAAGGACATCGAGGAGGAATATTGATGGGGCAACGGATGATGCGAAAGATTACATGCCACCTCTTGCAGATGAAGAAGCTGGGGGTTGGCAGGATGCTGCTTGGTTGTTGAGTGTTGCAAGCAAAGTTTTGCTGTGAAGAGCGAGTGTTGCTATCCAAAAGTATTTTAAAGTTTAGTCAAGTTCGCGTTGCAGTACTTTGCAGTTAATAGAGCTTATTATTCTACCAGGTATCGAAAGTTTGGTGATTTATGCCTGCAAATCTGGAGAACCTCAAGCTTGACGTGGTCATATGTTGAAGTCAAGCTGTGGTACTCGCATTCTTGTGAATTCCTTTAAATCCTCTAGACAAGAACCTTATTCTGTTCACAGGTTCGAAGATTTATCGCTACGCCCTTTTACATGCTCGTTACTTTGGATAATAAGTATCATGGTCTCTCAGGTATTCACAACCTGAACCCACCTAGACCGCCCTACTCAACCAACAAAAGACACCCAATGGGTATCGAAGCGACCCTCAAATACAGCTTTCTGCGATTTCAGATTGATGAAACTATTCATTCACGACCTCTCTTCGTCGTCGCCAAAACAGCAACCCCCCTCTTCAGCTTAAGTTGAAACTGTTTGATTTTCAACAACTCATAAAGCATTCTCAATCCCGAAGCTGGAACACCTAGTCTTTCTGCTTCTCGTAGTGGTTCTCCGATTATGTTCTTGAATGCGATGAAGTTTCCCTGTTGCGTGTTTGTCAATATCATTTTCTTGAAATGTCGAAAGTTCCTTTTTTGAAATTGGAAGTGAGGAGAGAGATGAAAGGAAGGTAAGAGGGCCAAGAGAAATAATACCTTCTCGATATCCTGCTGCATACTAGGTTTGAAGAACGTATCCCATGGATCCTGTCAACGTATCAGCACCTGCTCAATCATCATCCAAGAGACCCAAGTTGGAAACGTCGTCTCGCCCCCTTACAACAGGAGCTCAAAAGGATATAAAGAAAATCAAAACGCACACAATCAATCATATCCTCAACAATACCCCCCGGCAACTCATGCCCCGCCGCCCTCGCAACCCCAACAACCTCCTCCATAAGCGGTCCAACAACCCCCTCGATCGGAAACCCAGCCATGCGCGTGGAACTCGTATCCATACCAGTAATAGCACAAGCTCCATTACTACTCCTCTCAGTCCCACAATACAAAATTCCACATATTGCAGTTCATTTGAGAAGGGGAGAGGGGAGAGGGGAGAGGGGAGAGGGGGGAGGACATACTAACTAGCATTATAAACCAACTTCCTCCACCGACACCCCGCAACATCCTTCTCGTAACTAACACCCACCCTCCCACTAGCGCTATACAAACGCACAAATTCCCTCGCAGCCTCAACACACCTCTCTTCTGGGATCCCGGGGGATAGGAAAGGACCAACTGTCACTCGATCCCGATCGTCGTGGATGATGGTCCCGGGAGAGGTCTCAGTAGCACCGATCAAGGAGACACCTGATAAGATTTAGTTCCTTGGGAAAGCCGTAATCAGGGGACGTTCGATATTCAGCCCGTTTTGGAGGAGCATGATGGTCGTGTGGTGGGGTGTTACGGCTGGCGTGATGAGATCTACGATTGTGGGTGAGATGTCGGGGATGTTTTTTGTTGTGACGACGATTAGGTCGTATTTCTCTCCTGTTGTGGAGATATCGGGGATGGAGTTCGTTACTGAGATACGGGTCAGTGGATTGGTTAGGAAGTGAGGATATGGTGGAGGGTAAGTTGGGTATAGGTATTATCAAAGTGTTGGTCTCCACCCTTTGATATCCCCGTGATCGATCGAGGTGATTGTAAAACCATTTTCTTTCGCGGAGTGGTAATTCGAACGGAGGACTGCTGTGACGGTTGCCTGCCCCCCGGTTTCGAGATTGTATGCTGCCATGGTTCCTACGCCCCCACTACCGATTAGGAGGACCTTCACCTTGGGGGTTCATGATTTCGTCTTGTGGTTCCAGGGATAGATAGGTTTATTTCGAGGGTTTGATCTTAGTTTCTTTGAAATGAGAAAGATTGTCAGTTGTTTTGCAAGAGGAATTTGTATCAGAGTTGTAAGTGTTTTTAAGTGGTGAGTTGGTAGGTAGACACCTCAAGTACTTACTCACTGTGTAACACTCTCCAGTTCTGAAAAGTGGGGGCTCATATATCGTCTCCTGGATGATTACCCTAAAGCATCTCACAAGCGAGAAGTCAAAAAGGGGGAACCCGTTGAGTCAGATGATGTTTTTCATATGATAGACACTGTGATTCGCTCAATTTTGAACCCCTAATTAGCCTGAGGTCTATAAGAGATTATCGCTTTTAACAAATCTATATCTAGATAAGGTTATTCTGAAAGGGTTGAACGGCCGACCCAGTTATTCAAATAGGTGAGAACGGTTATCATTGCTTCCTACTTCTTATTACACCGGGTATACTGGGATAACTCATTTAATTGTGCCGGAATTTTGGCATAATGAATTTTGATAGTATGTATAGCTATATAGAGTGATAGAAAGGCTTCTTACTACTTTCATGACAACTTCACCTTTTTTTCAAACCAGTCATTACAATTTGGATACTTGAAAAATGCAATCAATCCTATGACTCGAGGAAAAGTGTTGGGGGTTACAGTAAGCAGACAAATCACACAACCCCAAGAATTACCAGCCACTGCATTATGTGAAAAGAATCTTTACATTTAGATCTAGGAGATTATCCATAGACCAGCCCTTACTTCATGGTGACCAACTCCTCAGCACTAGTAGGATGGATAGCTACACAACTATCAAAGTCCGCCTTTGTCGCGCCCATCTTAATAGCAACGCCAAATCCTTGTAACATCTCACCACTTCCCATACCAAGAATGTGAAGACCAACAACCTTCTCGTTAGGTCCTTGACAGACGATCTTGTACTTTGTAGGTCCCTTTTGATCCTGTTCCATCATTGCGTAGTACAAGGTAGTAAAGCTTGTGGTATACACCTTGATGTCATCCTTTCCGTATTTCTCAATAGCTTGTGGCTCAGTAAGACCAATGCTACCAACTTCCGGGTGCGCAAAAACGACCGAAGGAACGTTGTCATAATCGAGTTTGGAGTTCTTGAACTTTTCAGGTCCGAAAAGACGGTCACTAAGTTTGCGACCAGCAGCGATTGCCACAGGAGTAAGCTCAACCTTTCCAACAACATCACCAAGAGAATAGATGTTCTCAACGTTGGTGTTTTGGTACTCGTCTGCGATAATTCGGCCCTTCTCATCCTGCTTGACACCGGCTTTATCCAGTCCAAGATCTTCGACTTCTGGTGAACGGCCAATAGCCCAAATCAGACTGTCAACACCCTCAAGAGCCCCCTTTCCATTTGAGTCTTCGTAGTGAACGGTAAGTTTTCCGGTCTTCTCATCCTTCTCAACTTTGCTTTGGCTAGAATTCTTGTGGATATGAATGCCCAATCTCTCATACTCAGCTGTGACGGCATCTTGCACCATTGGATCGAAAGATCTCAGGAACTTGTCATGTCGAATGAACAAATGTGTCTCTGTGCCCAGAGCATTGAACATGCCAGCAAATTCAACGGCAATGTATCCAGCACCTACAAGAGCAACTTTCTTTGCTTGAGTCTCGATGTCAAAAAATCCATCACTGTTTGTACCGTAATCGGCGCCTGGGATGCCTTGAGGGATGGTTGGGTGTCCACCAACTGCTAGAAGAATCTTCTTTGCCTTGATTACTTGTTTTGTGCCGTCGTCCAAAACAACCTCTGCCTCATCTTTTCCAGTCAGATGGGCTCGGCCGTGAATATACTCGATCTTGTCATTGCCCAAGTTCTTCTCGTAGATTGCGTTCAGCCTCTTGATAAATGCATCTCTCTTGTGCTTGAAGGTTTTCCAATCGAAGGGAGCCGTGTGCTCTACTGAAAAGCCATAGGCCTTGGCTTCGTGTATTGTTTCGGCGATGGCAGCGGCGTGGAAGGTCACCTTTTTAGGTACACATCTTGGAGTTCGTCAGTACAACCCACTATTCAGCAAGTCGATGGCACTTACCCCACGTTAACGCAAGTTCCCCCCAGACGTTTGCTCTCTACCGCAATCGTCTTTGCTCCGTAGTATCCAGCGGCTCTTCTAGCAGAAGCCAGTCCGCCACTACCACCTCCAATGACGAGGTAGTCACACTCCTTTGGTACAGGCGCCATGATTGCAGAAGAGCTTGAGAATTGACGAGAGAGAGATAGAAGACGAGTAGAGGCGGTTTTGGGTGCTGCAACGGAGGTAGCTCGAGCTAGGAGAGCAAGATTGGGCATATGGGAAAAAGATCAAACTAAAATTACAGCAGAGGGGATGGTGGGGTAAGATATGGTGAGGGGACCTCAGCCTGAACGTGACGTGCTTGAGTTTGCATACATATGATTATTTTCTGCTAGCGTGCGGCAGGCACTCTTCAGCTTACCAATATTCTGTCTAGGCCTTGTGTGTAATCCTTTGCTTTAGGAATCAACCCTTTTCACATACCGAGCCGGGGTCAACATTAGACTTCATGACCACATTCTCTAGGTTTTTGTGTCCAAGGGTGAAGAGTCTCATGCGAGACGATTCCTCAGCTTCTGTATGGAGGATTCCGCCACTACAAACACCTGCATACTCTGCCTGAACGCCAACCATCAGGGCCTGCGTTAGACTTGCATGTTTTATCAGTCCCCGGCTCAGCTCCGGGCGTCCGATAAGAGCATTTAACTCGCCTCACTTGCTTCCTCCTTACACAACCTCGGCTCGGGGTTTGCTTGTAGTTGATTCCCTAACACGATTATTGTTATTGAAGGTTGTACGAGTACTCCCGTTCTTTTGGGGACATCGGTGTCTACTACTTGTCTACGCCTTTTGCTTGATGATAATTAAGGCTTTGGTTGAAGATATCCATATTTCCAAGTTTGTGATCCACCGACATAAAGAGCTGCAACTAAAGAGTTATCTCCGTTTCCAACAAGCAACATGACACTGTCGAGCCATGCAAGTGAGATTTTTATGCATGTACGTACTCAATTGATTCCAAATCCCGTAAAGTAAGTGGCACAGTACATGTTTTTGGCTGATATGAACATACGATTATTTGTACTTAGATTGTAGTTGGTGGAAGTAATAATATTGCTTACTTGCCTACTTACTCCACATTCCAAACTACAAGTTATTTCTTCAGAGAACTCATTTCACTTTCTCCCCACAAGAACAAATACCGAACTCGAAACGTTTTTACAGCTATAAAAACTCCTTGAACGATGATTTTGAAATGTTCTATTAAATGCATTGATTAGCTCAAGCCATTTTCTCAATCTAAATCCCATATCGATTTGTTTTGCACAAGCCAGCCCTGTGCATCATGCCAAAGATTTTCCTTCCCTCCCTTCCCTCAAATGAGCGTATTAAGATTAAATTCTCGATCCCCAAGATGCAATTACCATTATTCTCGACCATCAATTACTGTATGTAATCATTTCTTCGTAAAACATCCATCGTCCCACACCTCACGATACCAAACAACCTCTCACTCGCTTCGTACCACCCTTCCTTTGATCCTATAACCGACTGGAGTCGAATTTGGGGCTGAACAAGCAGATGGAGGAACCGTGACAGTGACAGCTGGTGGTGAAGTTGGGTATGGTGTAGGAGTCGGTGTTGGAATTGGGGATGAACTGGCAGGACAGCTCGCTGAAGATGGGAGTGGAGGAGTGCCCGGAATCACAACCTGACTACACAAATTGTTGCCGAAATTGACTGATGTTTGTTGCTCTGCAGCAGTGCAATTTTGGTAAATGCAGCAGGATATCTCGGCGACGAAGTCGATATTGGTACAGACGCAAGCAACATCGCGAGCAGAGCAGCCGGCAAATTTCTCGAAAGTGTAATCAAAGTATGGTAGAGCGCAGGCTTGCTGGTTGAGTGTTAGTAATTGAAGAGTAAGTGAGGGGTGGGAGAGCTTACTGCACAAGCTGGTAGGTCTGGAGGAAGATCTTGAGCAGAGACCATAGCTACAATAGCTAGGAGGAAGGAATTCGCAAAGACGTTCATCGTGAATGGTTATTTTTGGGTAGTTGAGGCAGTTGGAGTGGAATGATTCAATTGTGAGGGGATTTGAAATAAGACCGGAATTGAGGGGTTCAATGGAGTCACAGTCTAAGTCTCTCGTTTGCGATGACCAGGGGCTTAACTCTCTCGTTTTGGAAAGTGCGATTCAACATACCAGAACCAGAAGCAGTACTTGAACGGGCCTCCGACAGAACTTTATAAAGAGCAGGTACTTGTACCAACCTCTTCTTAAGTCTTCCAGTTGCACAGAATCTGAAATATCAATTTATCCGTCATCAGCCCGTCTGACTGCTTTCTTTGAGTAAAAAACCCCGAGGCTGGGACTGATCGGCGGGGAATATGCAAGGCTACTGAGACCCTGTTGTTGTCTCTACCTAAACAGGTAGGTAGATGCATTGCACTGCCGATGCTGAGCGTGAAAAACGAATACTCGATATGAGAATACTCGTATGATTGAACGAGTACCTAGTTACCCAATTGACATCTTCAAGACTGCCATGGACACTTTATGAAAGTTCCCCACCCGAAGAAGGATCCCGACGAGAAAGAATCAAAGTCGGATGGGAATAAATATTGGCATAGCATGGTAACACGCGAGCAACGGCTAGCTGCAGGAAGGAGAGCTAAATGGAGAGAAAACGTTGGGGGGAAAAGGTACCAGGGCACACAAGGCATCGTCGGGAAAAGAGAATATGCATCCTATCGGCTTAATCGAAAAGCCCAATGAATGCCTCCTTTGAATTGGGATGATCAAAATGACAGAGCGAGACAGCTGAATCAGTCGAGTGGGAGACTTCTCATGAATTCTGTAATCTGTCCTAACTACGGTACCGACGTAGTTCTTGGCTCCAAACCCTGAAAGTATTGGAAGGTCTCGTGGAATAGAGAGCTCATTGATCGTCAATCTCTTCGTATATGGAAGATATAAAGGAAGATACTCTCTCTCGGCTCTATAAATAGTACATAGCTTGCTTGCACAAGCTTATTCGCTTCGCTTATTTTGGGAACCATGACGATACCTAGCGGTGCTCCAGAAGGACTTATGATTAACGCAAGAGAAAAGCGCAGATTCGTTAGATGACGGTCCAGGATTGGAAATCCATTGAACCATATCAAGCTTGGTAGAAGAAAGGATTTGATACTTCTGCTCAAACCCCACTGAAGCTACTTAGGCCCAGTAACAGGGGTCTTCTCAGCCTTATCGAGCTCCACCCCTGAACCTCCAAGTCGCGTCGCCCAAAATCTACCCCACATAACTCTTCAGTCAACACATTCCATACTCTGCATGACACTCCAGATCCCCCTCACATTCAGTGCGGCCCAGCTCAAACGAATCGCCCTAAAATGCGGCATCTCAAGCTCCGGGACGAAAGCCGTCCTCGCCGCCAGAATCAGCCATGAACTCCTCAAAACCGAAGAGCAGAGGCAATCTGACCGCCCGCGATTGAAAGGGAATCCATTACGCGTTCTTAGCATCGACATGGGAATTCGGAATCTGGCATACTGTGTATTGGATATTCCGAGACGAAGACGCGAAACGAGCGCGAAGTACCCTATTTTGAATGAATGGCATCGAGTTGCTGTTTCGACGCCGCCGCCAACCGAAGCAGAACCTCTGGGCGAGGATGATCTACCGGAGTCAGCAGAGAGGATCGTTACCAAGGAGGCGGAAAAGGAATCCTTTACCCCGGATACATTATCGCTTGCGGCTTACAAACTCTTGCGACATCGACTTCTCTTTTTGAAACCGTCTTACATTCTCATCGAACGTCAACGATTCCGTAGCATGGGACATGGCAGCGTCCTCGAGTGGACAATTCGGGTCAACATGTTGGAGGCGATTTTGCACGGTGTCCTGTGTACACTAAAAGAAGAAGGGCTCTGGACAGGATCCGTTATTTCTGTCACACCAGGCAGGAGTGGCGCATATTATCAAGGTGAAAGCGCAGAAGGGGATGAATCAGTAGCGCCTAGAAAGGAAAGGACAACGAAGACCGCGAAGCTGCTGAACAAAGGCTTCAAAATTGACTTGGTAAAAAGCTGGCTGGGAGAAAAACGTAATATAACGTTGGGGGGGAAACAGGCAGAAACGGTTGCGAAAGCTTTCCTGGACAAATGGAATCGATCACCGGGACGTGGTACGGTTATCAGAATTGGTGAGGGAGAAAAGATGGGAAAGCTGGATGACCTAGCAGATTGTCTTGTGCAAGGCATGGCTTGGATAGAATGGGAGAAGAACAAAAGGACAGCATTGAAACATGGCGTAGAAGCGCTTTTAGCTCCGCCTTCGGGAGCGATTCTAGTGAGGGATAGAACAGAAAAATCGTCTGTTCGTCTTCGAGCTGTTACGATACCATAAATATAAACTGTACCCAATATATTTTTGCATGGCAAGTGTATGATTGTCTTTGTCGGGCGTTGAGTATTGCAACCTCTGTATCAAGTCACAGAAGGATTATGTGCTTCAGAAAGAGAAGCAAGATTTGCTACTGAGATATCTCATGGATGGATGATATCACACTGTGGATTTATTCTGCCAATATTTGCTCAGCAATGAATCCACAGACTAATCTGTATGTTCTTTCCTATCACATACTCATCAACCCCCTGTTGCCTCTCTGTAGAAAGAGATACTTCGATTTGCCCCAGCTGTAGCAAAGGCTTCACTTCTCCCAGCAATCTTTGGCAACCATTTCACAGACCATAATGTCTTGTCGGTCTCGCTATGAGTCGCCACACATGCTCTTCGATCGATAGACCAGACTTTCACTTTTCCGTTGAATGATCCGCTCAAAAGATATTCTCCGGTATCACTCCAATCTACCGAGAAGATCCAGGCTGAATGGCCCGTAAGATTCGCCACTTGTTCTCCGTGTTGGACATCATACAGTGCAATAACTGTTGCATCTCCAGCAGCAGCCAGCCTAGTACCAGCTGGAGAAAATGACACTGTCCGTACAGGTTTGACAAGACCTTGAACAATTTAGTATTTCTCAGTAATCTTGAGTCCTCGTAAACCTACCAGGCAGAGAGTATACCATCCTCCCTGTATCATTATTAAACAGATAAACCCCTCCATTCTCATGTCCACTCGCCGTAAACTTCCCATCCCGACTCATGTCAATACACATCCCAAAACTCCCCTTCGTCCCATACTCCCTAATTTTCTTCCGTCCCTCCACCAAATCCCAGACATTGATCCGTCCATCATACGTCGTACTTGCCAGGAAATGTCCATCCTCACTAAGAGCAATAGCCCACACCTCTCCCGCCTGGTTCCCTTCCACAATCTTGCCTTGCTCTTCCCACTCTTCGGTGTCAGAAATGCCCCATATCTTAACTTCGCCACCAAAACCCGCGCTCGCGGCGATACGTCCGTTGCGGGAGGTTACGATATGATGGCAGCCGAGTTTATGGGCCCCTTTGAGTGTTTGCGCTAGAGGTATCTCGGGGGATGTTGTGGAATGGATTTTTATGGAGGAGGCTCCCGAGGCGGAGAGGATCTGAGTTCCTGTTATTGCGATCGAGTAGATGTCTGTGATGTGGGCTTTGCTCTTGGTTAGTCCAGGCCTTGGAGGGGTAGCTCGCGCCGCTTACCATCGTCGACCGTGTGCGTCGTTAGGTATTGTTTGGACTACAGGGATAGTCAGCTTAATATCTCGGAATTATGGTGCTATTCATACCATTGTCACCGATGCATTGAATGATCGTGGGTGCGAATTGGGGGGAGAGATTGGGGGAGAGGTTGGAGGAGATTTGGCGGGGTGCAAATGACGCAGGTTTCATAGGCAGTTATAGTACATTACAGTCTACACCACCCTTTGGCCGAAGAAATGATACAACTTAGTTGAGACAATTAAATTTTAGAGAGTTTTTTTCTGGCATACATTATATACATAACATCATACATGGTCGTGGAGGCGCACAGCATTCGACTTCCTTCCAAACGCCGAATGCTTTGCATAATACAATTGTACTTCTTAACAAGTACAGTATTTTGTACAACGCTCCCAAATGCAGCATCTCAAGTACGGATACATTTTTAATACTTGACATCTTGATCTTCGTCCTTCACTGGAGCTTTTTTCACCGTTCTCGCGGCATCTTCCCGTGCTCGCTTTTCAGTCTCTTCTAGAGTCTCCTCTCCTTCTAGAGTCTCCCTTCCTTCAGCTTTCAATTCCTTCGGCTCCTCCACCAACGCTTGCTTGGTATCCTTTCCCTTCCAGAAATCTTGAATCTCTGCATTGAGTTAGTACAAGCCCCCACCACATTGAAGATTGGACGACCCACCCTTTACACAGAACGGGCACAGTAAATGAGCTCTCTTGATATTCCCACAGACAGAACATTTATTTAATGATGTGACATCCTTCAATCCTTTTCCGGCCATCTGTCTCGATCTTTTCTTCGAGTGCGAAGTCTTGTTCTTTGGCACCGCCCGTAAAATTGACTCCCATATTCCCTCGACTATTCCTGGTACGTTGAGCTGTATCGATGCAGGGAGCGCAAGCGAAATTGAGGGTAGGAAAGGATGTGAAAGCTGTCGTGAATAAAAAGTGGTATGTCTAAATGTGCTGGACACTGTTGATGTGGATAGTCGAGGAAGGAAATATGAGAGGATTGAGCGGGTAGAAACGTGAGCGGACGCCATCGCAGCGGTGGAAGGCCAGTAGAGGAAAACGGAAGGTGTGTTCTGGTGGTTGAGCTGAAATTGATTGAATGCTCGGAATATTCGTTGTTGACCTCTGAGCTCAAATTCAACCGCCAAAAAAGCATCAAAGTGCTTGTTTGCGATGATTGATGGCTCAAACTTTAAGTGGGTCTCGACTGCCAGGGGTAGCATGCCACTAGACCTAACCTGGTCTTAGCGTCCTCAATATCGCGTCCGCAAAAGGGGAAGCAACGAAATTGTGGAGGAACCCCTTCTACCTCTGATTTTCGACAATTCATCTCGAGTTGCACCATCCACCCATAATAATAACCTTCACCCCCTTCACCTCTCGAGCTGCCAGTACACTCTCTGCCTCTATTCCGACCTTTCTACAGCTACAGTTACCGCCACTGCAACCGCATCTATGGCCATCATGGATAGAAACGCTCCACAACAATCGGTGTACCCCCGTAGCCATGTTGGTTTCGACAGTATCACAACCCAGATTGAGCGCAAGCTCCTGAAGCGCGGGTTCCAGTTCAACGTTATCTGTGTTGGTGAGTGCTTCAGTTCCAGACTCTAACTCTGCGGCCAATTGCGCATATTGCATATCTGATCGTCTCTGCTCCAGGACAAACCGGTCTTGGAAAGTCAACACTTATCAACACCATCTTTGCTTCCCACTTGATTGACTCGAAAGGAAGACTCGAACCCAATGAGCCTGTACGATCCACCACCGAGATCCAGACTGTTTCGCACGTTATCGAGGAGAACGGAGTCCGTCTACGACTAAACATCGTTGACACCCCAGGATATGGTGATCAAGTCAACAACGATAGATGCTGGGATCCAATCGTGAAATATATCAAGGACCAGCACTCGGCCTACCTCCGAAAGGAGCTCACCGCCCAGAGAGAGAGATACATTCAAGATACCCGAATCCACTGCTGCTTGTTCTTCATTCAGCCTTCTGGTCATGCGCTGAAGCCAATTGATATTGTTGTGTTGAAGAAACTTTCCGATGTGGTCAACGTCGTACCAGTTATTGCCAAGTCCGATTCGTTGACCCTCGAGGAGCGAAGTGCATTCAAGGAGCGCATAAAGGAGGAGTTCGCGTTCCACAACTTGAAGATGTTCCCATACGATAACGATGAGTTCGATGAGGAGGAGCGAGCTTTGAACGCACAAATAAAGGTCAGTACATCCAAATGCTGCAACAAATAACAAAACACTAACTTTCTACAGAACATTATTCCATTCGCTGTTGTAGGATCAGAAAAGTCAATTATTGTTGGAGGCAAGCAAGTCCGTGGACGACAAAACCGATGGGGTGTTATCAACGTCGAGGATGAGAACCACTGCGAATTTGTATACCTCCGAAACTTCCTTACCCGAACTCATCTTCAAGATTTGATCGAAACCACTTCTCAAATCCATTACGAGACTTTCCGTGCCAAGCAACTTCTTGCACTTAAGGAGAGTAGTGCAGCCGGAGGTGGTCACAACGCTGGTAGCCGACCTATCAGCCCGGCAGCCGATCGAGAATTGAGCAGAAACTCTCAAAGAAATACCATGAACGGTTACTAAACTGGGAGTTTTTGGTTATGGGTGTTTGTGGTGGATGGAGTTGTGTATGACGGCAAGCGGTCATCTGTGTAAAAGCGTCTCACGGGATTTCCTTGAGCAGGCCAAGGTAGAGAGCATCAATGGCCGCCTCGATACTGGCTCTACTTTCTTCTTTGCGAATTCTCCATATTTCTTCTTTTGCCTAATTAGCCTTCTCTCTTAATATTGAGAATTCATTTCACTTTGGTCGTAAAGATTCCGTGGGGTCTTGATAGGGTGTAGAATGAGTGTGATGGGGTCCTTACAAATTGAGCATCAATCGCTAAATCTCTATTGTGAATATTCTTATCCATTTATTTATAGGATCTATATAATTTGAGCCGGTAAGTATACATGCTCTTATCGGCAACTGGTGCGTGTCTCCCCATATTTAGAGGCATCTCAGTCCTTGGTCTATACTTTGTAAATCGCTTCCACCAATTCTCATCAGCTCCAATTCTCTCTCAAATCATCCATGATTGATGCACGGGTAGAATGCATGCGTCTAAAGCTCCACACCAACTCAGTCAACTCTATCCCATATGTTTGTCTCTCTCTTTCTCTACAAATCTACTCAATCCTTCTTCGCCGCAAAGATAAACTCCTCCATCTCCTTATACGCCTTCTTCAGATCATCGTTCACGATAATGATATCATGGACCCCCTCAGTCTTGGAGTACTCCAGTTCGTTCTTGGCTTGTTGTAGTCGTTTTTGGATGGAGTCTTCTTTCTCGGTTCCCCGGCCCCGCAGACGTTGTTCGAGGATCGTCATGGAGGGGGGTGCGATGAAGATGTAGCGTGCGGAGATGGGGGAGTTGTGGATTTGTTTTACGCCCTGGAGTGTGGTTAGTAAGTGTTCTTGTAGAAGCCTTGTAGAGAAGGAGATATGTCTCTAAATCAAGGGTTCAATGTCTTGAGTGTAAGATAGACATGAAGCCCTCACGTCCCCAACACTCAATCGCAAAGCCCCTCCCTCCCAAACTATAGCCCTCAAATCTGCACCCTTAATCCCCTCCCATATCACCGTAAAACAGAAGAATAAACCTACCTCCATCTCAATATCCAGCACAACAACCTTCCCCCGTCCCCGCACATCCTCAATCATCTTCCGACTCGTCCCATACCTATTCCCCCCAAACTTCGCATGCTCCACGAACCCCTCCTCGCCAATCATCTTCTCAAACTGCTCCATCGTCGTGTAGTAGTAATCCACGTCGCGCGTCTCGCCCGGCCGGGGATCGCGCGTAGTGTGCGAGATGGAGGTGCAGAAGACGGAGGGGTGACGGTCGAGGAGGAGTTTGTAGAGTGTGCCTTTGCCGACGCCTGAGGGGCCCGAGATGATTATTGGGCGTGTGTCGGGGGGTACTGGGTTTGTTAGAGGGGATTTTGGGAGGGGTGGGAGGAGGAGGGGTGCTTACATGGTGCCATGGTGGTGTATTTGTGGAGTTTTGGTTTTGGGAATTGGGAGATTTTGGAGAGGGGGATGGATACGCGAAGTGAGCGGAAGAGAAAGAGCATGCGGGGTCTGGAAGTAGTGTGCCTTTTAAAGGATTGTTGAAGCTTGATGTGGAGCTACGGTAGTGAAATATCGTAGCCTTATCGTATTCACCAAAGACGGGCCCACCCGCAATCTTTTTAGACGGCATTTACACTTTTATGACTTGGCATCGAACGCATGGATTAACGGAGACCTTGAATATCAAATGATGGATTTTTTTATTTTACGATATCACTTCATATTAGACAATTCATTTGAACAGGATTTTATTCCTAGGGTAGATTTTCAATTTCACAATTAGCAATATAACATCAAAAAACGCCTTTAGATACTCCAACCACCTGTAACTCCACAATCTTGCAAACGTTTGCCTCTAAAAGGAGCGGGTATTTCGATCAATGAGACAGATGAAAGAAAATAAAGAAGAAGACTGCACACTTCATGGCTCGTTGACTCCCCCATCAACTCATGCATCAGAATCTTGTAAATTGTGTCATGTCACTGACCACGCTGTATCTCGAAGATTTTGGTGGTGGCGGACGGCTGCCGTACGATGGCTCTGGGACACTCAAAGCTGGGTGTAGAGAGGTAGGAGGCCGCTGTACTTCGGGAGCAACTGGTGAGCTTCGGTCATCCCAGTTTGAGACTCGCTCATTTGTGGTCTGCATGGGCTTCCCAATTGTGGAATTGCGGAAGGGAAGGTTGAAGCCGAATTTCGATCTGCGACGCTCCTCGGGGGAAGTTGGACGGCTATAGGTTGGAAGAACGGTATTCTCTGGCTTTCGAACACTGCCACTCGAGCGGGTATATGTTGATCCAGAAGATGATGATTTGGGATATGTTGTGGCACCGTGATCACGGACTTGTCTGCCGGTAATTCCCTCTCTGATACTTGAGAAGATGAATGTGGCAATGATATTGGCGACACCGAACGTCGTTGTGAGAATACCTGCTGCAATAACTATACGCCAAAGAGCAAGTCCCAAGTTCTCTACGCTGGTGGCTGGCTTATTGAGGTTGCCCAAGGTGTTGAAGCCGAGAACAACCATGGCCAATCCTAGAGGGACGAAGCCGGCTTCGGGACTCAAGTTTGGCCAGTTCTTTCTGAAGTACCGTTGAAAGAGATTGCATTCGGAGACGACGAGGAAGCATGCAACGGCACTTGTGACGAAGTGAGAAGCCCCGTCAAAGAGGAAGAACTTGGAAGTTTTGACAGTCATGACTAGCATGACCCAGCTTGCTATGGCGACGAGGAGAAGGGAAATGATGTTGAAAACTCGAATGATGTTGAGGGTGATGTAGCCAGCGCCGGCCATCTTCTTTTCGGGAGACATGGAGAACAACATGGTGGAATATTTGTATTAAATGAGAGCGATCGACTTTTGCTTGTTAGCTGGTATATAGCGGAGGTAAAATCTGGATACACGAACACTCTGTGAATGATTGTAAGACGGAAAGTGTTGGAATTGGTGAAAGTGTACTGCCTGCAGTAGATCGAATGGAGGACTTGACTTGAATGAATGTATTTTGTGTGAGATTGAACAGTTGGCGGAAGGGAGCAAAAATGTGATTGGGATAAAAAGGGAAGATTAAATAGCACAGGAGAAAGAAAGCCGTTGAAGCAACGACCTCATTGTCAAGTGCTACACAATGAATATAAAAAGATCTTTTGTCGTGATTGACAATAGGAAAAATTGCTATGTATAGATATGGTGGGAGGTAGGGATAAAAAAAACTTGTGAGGGCCAACATGCGAACAATAGGACCCAGCTAGGGACTAGCTATTGTGGAGGGATGGAGAGGCCCTTTGACTGTTCCATTCCCTTGACGCGAGATTTCTTTGTACCAGATTCTTGGGATGTTGGTCCAATGGACTTGATCCCATAGGCCTCTTTCTTGACCACCCATGTGGAAGTCGGCATCACAAATAAATGCATCCCACCATCTCTAACAGTTTCAAGTCTCTTGACTGGACAATATCAACGGTGGACGATGCAGCACTGCCTGTAGGCCTTCCCAAAGCCCTTGTCCTGTAAGATCCAAGGGAGCCTCATCTCGAGGAGTATTCAGGCACAGGCACAAGAACAGTTTTCGGTGTGGTTCAAGCTTCGTCGCGTATATGCGAAGCCGCAGCCATTGGTTGGCAGTGATGATCCACGACGAACCGCTTTACCCACCAGAGCTTCCATCCAATCATAACTGCAAGGGATATTGGGCCGCCAAGTGATGTAGGGACAGCGAGATCTCCAGAGATTTTCATGCTCATGAATGTTTTCAGTGTTTCCAGCGGTTAGTGTATCGAGAAACAATTGGGTGAGGGTATACGAGCTTTCAGCGTAAGCGCGTTTCAACTTTCTCTGTAGAGTCACAACTATAACCGCTGTTCTGAACACGAATGTAACCAGAGCCGCCGGACTGACTGGAAACAAATCAGTAAGTGGGTAAGACCAGAAGTGAATGGTTCAATAGAAATGGCTTCATTTTTTTCGAGTTCATGAGTACTTGGGTATCTTATGACTCTCGAAGCGATCTCTTTATCGACCAGGAGCTCCTATTTTAGGATCCATCCCGTCGCCTCCAGTCGGGTCGGTCACGTGCCTGGGTCTAGCAAATCCCAGGCCCGGGCATCGGACTTAGTGGTAAGCGACGATTTCTATTTCTGGCTACTTTGCGAACTTTCTCAGCCTCCATCTACAATTCGCTTTCCTACTTGCCACGCAGGCCAGTTATTCCAAATCCACTTTTCAAAGAATTGCGGGCACATCACATACCATCACGTCAAGATGGCAAGAGGTAACCAGCGTGACAAGGCGCGTGAAGCTAACCAGAAGAAACTGGCCGATCAGGTAGGATGCCACCTTTTGCGCCTATTCAACAATCTCTCTATCGCAAAAAGTAAAACCATCCTTCGAATATGCCATGGTACTAACAAATGCTGTCCGATATGTAGAAAAAGGGCAATACCATGACTGGCTCTGAGATGCAACGAGAGAAGGAAAAGGTCGCTCAGAAGATGAGAGAGAAGCAGGCTGCTGGTACGTGTCCCTCACCGCATCTTTGCGCTATTTAAACCTAAATGCTGACATTGGGATTTTCTAGCCGACGCGAAGAAGGCGGCCGAGGCAGCTGCGAAGGTCAAGAAATAGACGCCGTCGACCGGAACATGCGAATATAACGATGCGCTTTTGTTTGCTGGAGTTACGGAGAAGGTTCGTTTAAAACATTAGAACGCTGAGTGTGATGGGCCACCCATCGGAATATGGTATGGGAACAAGTGTGTTGGAGTTTCTACATAAACGATCTGAAAGGCAGAATTGGCTTGGGTCTATGGAGAAGAATACATTCGTTGACTACCCGATCGCTTTGCGAATGGTCTATCGTTGTTTCTACTTTTTCCAAAAGTATCCAAATTTCGTACATACCTTTATGAAGAATGGATCTCACGGCAATTGCGTTCTTCTTAGACTCGTAACGGCATCACACAGTAAGGCATGCCTCCTGCATCAAAACTGTTCCCAATATAATTCGTGGGCCCTTCAGATCGCAGGGTTCACTGCTCATCGATTGCATTAGGCCTGAGACTTAAAGCGGTCCTGCATATGACGGTAATAACTTTGGATTTCTTTCATTCTATTCTCCGATGTCCATGGTATTAAATAGAGAAACGTTGGAGGGTTTCTCTGTAGGGGATTATCTTTGTATAAGGGGAAACGAACATTGCTTTTGGCGCACTGTTCTTCTCTTCGATAGAAAAAAGTTCATAGTATGGATACTTCTTCCAAGAAAGTTTTGGACAGCTAGCAATTCGATCCTCCAGGGCCTTCCCAAATAATCCTCTACAAATCCCACAATATTTCACACCATCCATGTCTAATTCACCATACATGCGCGTATACCACTTCACAAAAGCCAGCCTAAGAACCAATCAAATCATGAGCATCATGAATTCGCCCCCCCCAAAAAAGTAGCAAGATGGATATCATCAAAATATCAAAATAGAAAAAAGAAAAAAACGGCAAAAGATCCAACTCCCAAACCTGTGGGTATGGGAGCGCCGGTCAAACCAGCCGAACTGGTTTCTTTGGCTCACAAACATCAGACCATTGAGGCATATCACTTGTTCGTATGCATAGGTTGCTTATTTGAGGTGTTGAATTTAATTTGTGGAGGTGTTTTTGTGTAGGGGTGAATTGAGTTGGTTGACTTGTTTTATTCAACGTATTACGCAGCTGGGGGAGGGGAAGGGGATTGGTCAGTGAAAGTGGGAGTGGCATGTGTGAAATATAAATAGTGGTTGTTCGAGAACGCTGAGAGATTCGTTCAAATATTCAAGGACTTGGGAAATGGAGTTGGTATTGTTTTTTGTTGCTGTGGAGATGTCAATAGAGACGTCGAGACACTTATAGGAAATATATCATTCAACAGCTAAAAGTAGGAATTCCTTGGTTCCTAGGTAGCAGTGATCGTTACAGTATCGTGCCTTTCTGGATTCACACACTTGGGTTAACAAAATGTTCCTTCGCAAACGATCATGAATCATTTGGAGTAGCATAAATAAATATACTGCTACTTCCCATGGGCCTTTTACTCCTTAGAGAGATATTTGAGATCTACTAAAACTTGCATTTCGTATCTCAATAAAAACTGCTTTACCCAATTGTCAAGTTGGTAGAATACTGAAAAGAAGAAGTGATCAGGCAAGTAACAGACGAGTCTCATAATTAAGCGAGGGCTGGAAACTATGTTTTCTTACAATTCCAGTGCTGCACTAGGCTCGTAACATTCTTTCTCAAGCCAAACCATATGGCAGACCAGTTCCTCTATATAATATCTTGGAATCAAACATTCTAAGATCTTGTCTGCACTTGTAGAAGAAATTCGATCATCCTATACCTTGACGTTGTCATGTAGTCTAGGTTGAAAATGCTGTTTGAAAGGAAATCCGTCAATCTCAGCAAAAAAAACCAACCCAATTCACGTAGAGACATAGCGAGGTACAAGTTGGAAAGTCGCGCAACAACACTAGGGAACCAGATTGGAAATCCATTCCCAGGTGTCATTGCCAACGCGGCTGTGGGGAAGTACTAAGGGAAGAGATTTCGATTTTGAGAGTCAATGGGCTTGATCTGTTTAACGAGGGCAAGCGATGGTAATGAAAACCAGTGAGACAGCTAGATGATTTAATACTATTTTTCTGTGCTACTAATCTGCATACACCTAAACACACTAGAATCATACTGTATGATTTTTCCAGCAATTACTCTGATTACTTATACTGTTAACAACGATCTAGTGCTCTCTTCATATTATTGTAAATCCTCAAGTTAATCTAGAGGTGCTAGCACAATATCGTTATATAAATCTATGCGGGGTGGTAACCAGGTCTCTTTATACCTCGCGCTCCGTAACCACAGAGTCGTAGTACAACTGCTTCTATCATTGATATCCTTAATGGATTAATCATACTTGAACTTACCGTATTTCCAAAACTAGAACAATAAGAGACGTTACCTGCCACCTTTCCTGTAAACCTTCAAACGAAGGCATGACAAAGATCGAAGATTCCTTGCCTTACCCTCATCTCATGTCCAATCCATATTACCATAAAACTTCATCTCAAATCCAAAATGCAAACCAAAGCAGACTGACGGCAACTCTCTTCTCCCTCCCCGTTAACACCCGACTACACACCATACACCCCCAAATCCAGGCACGAAAAGTAATACGTACTGTACAGGGCCACAACCCTCACCGCCAGCCAGTGGCCCACCAATCAAGACAAATGACGAACGTACAACCCAAACCACGTCCGACTCTCCGAGACTCCGAGTCCAAACGTCCTCCATCACAGTGGATGAGACGTTCAGAAAATGCGGAAACCAACACCTGCCCTCCATGCCTCATAAGCATGCATAGATTTAAGGCCCGCCGCAGCATACAGCGTATATTTAGTGGAGCAGCTGTGTTTGGTTAGTGGCTGGGGGACCATGTGAAAGTGGGGTCCTGGATCTTGTCTTGGTTTGGGAGTTGTGTGATTTCTTGGGTTGCAGGTTGGGAGTTTGAGGTTTGGAAGGTGGTGGGGAAGGAAGGGAGGGGAGGTTAGTCATCTGAATGAATATATTTTCACATTGTCACTGAATTGAGAGATTTGATTGATGAAAATTGAAATTTTAGAGGGTTGTTCTATAGAATTCCTAGACTGTTAGGAAACAACAATAAGTAATAAAAGAGAGAAAAGTCCCTCATCTACCAAAAAAGAAATTTAGAAAAGAAAAACGCCCAATTAGAATCGGAATGCAAAAGTGTATATCCAATTCATCAGACTATTAAAAATAATTTGCACTCCTTGTCTCTTTTCCCTCGCCCGTAAGGAAATAATACCGATCCAGTCGAACTACACCAAGATATATGTACCCATCACCATCATCAACAGCAACACAATAAAAAAGAAGAATGGGGGAATCATAAGAAGCAACACACCCCAGATCCACTGAAACGCCTAGGGTGTTCTCGTAATAAAAGCCCCTGGGAGGCAACGACGAGAATCCCTTTTTCGCTACGTCTAACTCAACGGTACATTTTTCTTTCGATTCTGGAAAAAGGGTGGAAATGGGGAAGGCCGGTGTAATATAATAAAACAAATCGAAAGTATGTGAAAAATTCCGAATAGTTTATCTATTTTGGAAGCATGCCCATTGGGATATTTCCTGTTGATAGATATTAGTATTTGGTACTTGAGATGATACGGGATTCAAGCTTACCTGGCATGCCACCGATTGATGCGGCACCTTGGCCGGGCAATGGAAATGATGCAGCACCGCAAAGGCAAGAGCAAGAGCATGCTCCACCGACCACAAAGGTACCAGTACCGGGCACAATTGACGATCCAGGTTGTACGGCAACAGCAGGAGCAGCAGCTGGGGCTGGAGCACCCGCCGGAGCACCTGCTGGAGCACCCGCTGCTGGACGAGGAGATGGAGATGCAGCCGCTGGGGGAGCAGCTCCGCCTTTCGCTGGTGGTGGAGGAGCGGCACTTCCTGCTGGTGGTAGAGCAGCGGCACCTCCTGCTGGTGGAGCCGCGCCTGGCGCACCTGGTTGTGTGATTGGAGTCTGTGTTCCAGTACCGTTTTGTGCAATAGCCATACCTTGGAACATGGCTTGGGTCTTGTCGGCAGTTGGGTTGATGGAAAAGGTCATTCCTTTACCACAGTGACTCTTCTGCCCACAAAAGAACCCTTGAAAACAGTTAGTTGGTATTTTTGACGACAGTAGGGAATCTCGTCAACTTACAGATTGGAGTGGCCACAGTGACTTGCATAGCCATCTGTGGTGCTGGGACAATGGTGTTGTTCACATTGGCCAAGAATCCGGAATCCATTCCACCTGGAAGAGCTTTACATGGCTCAGCGAATGAGGATTGTGTGACAGTGTGGTTGTTGCTCTGGAACTCGAAGATAACCATATCGCCAACATTGGCCTTGATCTGGTCTGGGGTGAAAACAAGACCTGCGGGACCACCAACGATGACCTGTTTGAAATATTAATTTGGGGGTAACTGTACGAAAATCGTTTTGGTTGCTTACGTTGTGAGTAGCGGCCGGGGCTGCGGGTGCAGCAGCAACAGGAGGTTGGTTGATTATGTTCTGTGGTTGTCCTGCTCCTTGGTTGACCCAGATGATGATGATCTCGGTTGTCTTTTGAACGACGGTAACACCTTGGACGAGATTGATGACATTGATATTTGTTAATTGATTGTTGCCTTGGTTTCCGTTGTTGTTGTTGTTTCCCTTGTTCTTATCTTCCTTGTCATCTTTCTTGTCTTCCTTCTTGTCATCCTTCTTGTCATCTTTCTTGTCTTCCTTCTTGTCATCCTTCTTGTCATCCTTCTTGTCATCTTTCTTGTCTTCCTTATCATCCTCCTTCTCGCCCTTTGGCTTCTCCCCTTTAGGTTGCGGGGTTCCTGGTGGTGCTCCTGCTGGTGCTGGTGCGTTTACTGGCTCCACCTCCGCTCTTACGTCCAACTCTACAGGGCTTCTTTGGGCAATTCCTTCTTGAAACGTAGTAGCCAACGCCAACGGCGCGGCTACTAATGCGAATACTGTTGAGAATCTCATGATGATATATTAAGGATAGTCGACCGACTCGTTGTATTGGACAGCGATGAGAAATGATAAACCGCGCTGCGGGATGGCTAAACTATCAAAGTTGGCGAGGCTGTATCGTAAAAGATTGTTTTGAATATTTTAAATAGCCAGATAGCGAGGCCCTGCTCGAGTTTGATAGAGTAGCAAAATGAAAAATAAAAAGAACGGAATGGATGTCACAGAGCAAAACAAGACGGATGAAGAACAAAAGGAGAAAGGGGCATATTGCAGTGGGGAGTCAAGACTTTTATTCCAACATGAAATTGGCAACAGCAAGCCCAACGCTGGGTCATTTATGGAACGGCATCTCCACTGCAGATAGACAAGGGCAACAGACCCTTGCTTGAAACGAGGTGCAGGCTCTTTGGCAGTGGCTCCGTTCGGCGCCAGAGTGCTCCGGAACGTCACTTTGCTTTCTTGAACCAGGGCGGAGAGATTGGGGGGGTAGAATTGCGGGCTGGCGTATGAAGGTCCTGGTTGAGGCGTGAGAGCACGAGCAGCTCTTCCGGTGTAGTTCTCCGGTGTAGTTCTCTGGTGTAGTTCTCCGGTGTAGTTCTCCGGCGCAAAAGCCAATCTCTGCTCGATGTCTATGGTGATTCGTCTATTGTTGGACTTGAGCTACCCTGGTCAGTCTCTTCCCCCCATCTAAACAAAAGGTTATCCTCTGGTGGCTGCGTGGCAGCACGTACAAAAAATAGCCTTTTGAACCAGTGGGGGGGAGAGTACGGAGGCGCCTTGCAGAAATTCTCGCCAAACTTCGGATGTAGGCTGAGAGGATTAGGGGGTGAGGAGACGATCCAGGAGGTTCAAGGGGAACTGGGTCTGTGGGCACGTTCCCCGCAGAAAGGGACGAAAAGGGACGAAAAGGGACGGAAAAAGGGACATGTCAACCGCACGGAGCGTCTAGAGTCCCCTGTGCCAGGCTAAGCGACTGCTGTCAGACAGCTCTCAAACGACAGTCGTCCCAACTCCGTCGCAACAATCTGATCAAAGTCATAGCAACGTCTCGGGATCCCCATCACAGACTCCTCCCCTTCCCAAAGCCGATTGGCGTATGCGTTAGCAAACACCGGCGCGTTCTTCTTCAGATGGCAGTCTGTAGGTACTTCGTAAAAATATGTGTAAAAACGGGATGTTTCTGGAAAATCCGCTTACTTCTACAAGAGTTAGGCTCTGTTCAGCTACCATATATCACCCGAAATATCGTCCTAATTAGTGCGCCAAGTGTAGATATCGCTTAATTTAGTCTTATTCCGAGTCCTTTAAATTAAACTCTACTCTAACTGAACACAACCTTAATATCTTACCTTAATACCCTGTAGTCGATCTAATTATAACCTATAGGATATAGCGCTAAATCGTCTTTAGTAGTAAAATCGATATATTAGTCCTAAGTAATAAATCGACCTACTAAGACTCGTTTATACCTATATAATTCCACCTTCTTTTATAGTATATCCTATTACTATAGATACTAACGATATTACTAAAGACGAAATTATAATACTCGGCCTAATATATATAATTCTCGAAAGTAATAATAAGTTAAAGGTATCTATTATAATACTAAAATTAGCTAAGAGATATATATATACTAGTCGTAGTAGTACTAAATATATAAAGGAGTTATTAAAGATAGCTTACCCTTAACAAGTATAATAGGTTCTTCGAATATTAATTAGGACTTTTTATAAGCTTTATAATTAGCTAGTATAATATAGAGGTTTAAAGGGAAAATATTCGACTATCTAGGGTAAGGAGTAATATATATTAGTAGAAGAAAAGATTATTATCTTTATATATATATACTAAATCTAACTCGAACCGTGATATATAAGAGGAGTTCTAGCGTACTGTAACGAATACTCAAACTGGCTAACTAAACTTGGCTGGGTGTTCGCTGTTTGGTATGCTATGATAAGAAGAAGACTATCGGGTTGTTCACTTGGAAGTGAACTCGTTACTTGTATCAAAGATGTCAAACTAATATGATAAGATTGATAACTAAGTTGAGCACGAAGCTCCTATCTAATGGCAGACGTGCCAGTCTTATATAGAACCTTCGTTCTCCTAAATCAGTGCTCGTCGCCCTGATCCTTTCTGATTCCTCAGAGGTCGTCAGGCCGACCACCTCTGATGCCAGTCGATCATGTGACAGTAACCAAAGGAAATTGAGCACGAAGCTCCTATCTAATGGCAGACGTGCCAGTCTTATATAGAACCTTCGTTCTCCTAAATCAGTGCTCGTCGCCCTGATCCTTTCTGATTCCTCAGAGGTCGTCAGGCCGACCACCTCTGATGCCAGTCGATCATGTGACAGTAACCAAAGGAAATCCCTGGACCGCTTAGCTAGCCTAAGCGTCCCTATTTTCCTATAAGAAACCTGGACGTGCCTGTCGAGGGTTGCGCCTCTTTATTATGACAAGTATCACGTGAGCACGTGATTCGTGACACGTACTAGGGAGACTATTTCGAAGTAAGTTTTTAGGTATAAACCTAAGTAAAAAACTTGCTTAAATAAAGCGTTTTATAACGTTCTTAACTTATTATTAGTACTTTATCTATATAATATTAAACTCCTAGATTTATGTACTTCTCCCTCCTCTTTTATTACTAAAAACCCTTAATATATACTATATTCTAAGGACTGATTAGGTACCCTAGATAGTACTTATATTAGTATATATATACCGTCGAATTTATAAGCTATATATCATAATCGAAAGGGTACTTTATTATAAAACGTTCTTCTAGTATATAACTTCGAAAAAGCGTTAATCTAGTATAATGCTCTCGTCTCGATGTGGATTTTTCCCTCGTTCCTCGGATCCCTAAAAGAGACTCTAGAATCCTTTGTGAGGTCCAGAACGTGAAACTCTGACTACCTACTACATTAGGAAGGATAAGTGGGTGCGATGAGTCAGCTGTAGGAACACTAAAAGTCGCTCGTAGCAGATGCGGCTCTTCTACCTACGTAGCGCTGCTTCTATATGTCGGAACAACATATAAATAAGACCGATTTGTACGTACAATTAAGTACTGTCTTATCCTCAAATTATATGTCGTTCCGACATATGCAAGCAGCGCTACGTAGTCGCAAAGAGCCGCATGCGTGCAGGTGAGGCTCAAGTGCGCATACGGCTCTCGGTACCGGCTCCCCGTGTGGCTAAGTGTGGCTTTGCGGCCTTGGCGGACCTGGACCTCACGAGGGCTATAAGAGTCTCCCTGGAGACTTATATACTAAGATTGAAAAAGCGTTTATATATCTTTTACTAGAGTAGAAAGGGTTAGTATATAACGGAAGAGTACTCTAGGACGCTATAGTAAGGTATAGATTCGAGATACCTAAAGGGAAATATTACCTAGGAAATATAAGGTATAGAAATTCTAAGTTTATAATAAGTCTATTTCGCGAGGTATGATACTACTTATAGGAATAGAGATTAGCGAAAAAGAAGCTAGCGACCCCTAAGGAGCTCTTTAATTTACGCTATATATCTTTAAAGAGTACGATTAAATATATCTTTAGTATAGTAAAGTATAAGTTTAAAATACTAGGCTATATTATAGAGTACTTAATTAATATATAGATCTATTTTATTATAGGTATTTATACTTTTATAACTTTATTCTATTCTAGAAGGGTCTAGAGTATATATTTAATAATAGTAATAGAAATAAAAAGGAGGTAGATTAAAGAGATAAGAAGGCAAGAATAATAAAGTATATAAGTAGTAGTAGAAGTAGTGTATATAAGGAGATAGATAAGCTAAGGATAATAATTATAGCTTAAATATAAGAATATTGTTAAGAATATTAGGGTTCTTAAGTATAATAAGTAAGTAAAAACTATTTTAGTTAAGTTACTATATAAATTTATATAGTAAATATATAAATATATTTTCTAAATTCTAATAAAGAGAACTATATTAGTAAAGTAATTATTATTATCTCTAGCCTTATCTTACTCTATATCTACTACCTAGTTAAACACTTTAGTACTAACCTTATACCTTAAAAATATATCTCTTAATACTCCTAGATATCTTCTAAGGTATTTAATTATATACCTTTCTTTTCCCAAGAAAGTATATACTATATCCTAGTCGTTAAGCGTTATATAAGACTCTAGATAATCCTATCCGAATTCTACTATTACTTATTTAGAAGTAGTACTATAACCCTCTACTAATTAATTTACTATAATAGCTAGAGATAATATGATACTAGTATCGCGAGATTAAGACTTTAATATAGAATCTTATCTAGAAGTAATATCTATAATATCTAATTGTTATCTATAATAATAAGTAAATACTAGAATAACTAGTTCTACCTGGGACCCTTTAAGAGATACTACCCTACCTCTAGTTATAATTATATTATTAAATAATTCCTTTAGGATATCTATATATAGAAAATAGTTATTTTTATACTATCTATATAAAGGACGTACCTAGGTAAAATTAGATAGATTCTAGGGTATAGTAAGTAGGTTATCCTAACTTTAATAATATCTTTCTAGGCTTACTTACTTATAGTTACTAATTATTTCTTATAATCCTACCTAAATCCTAACTAGCTTTATAAGAAGCGAAAATCCTTATATAAAGCCTTAAAAGTACTCTTCTTTAACTTATACTTTAGAATAGTTATATTTATCGAGTTATTATTATAAAGTACTTATAATTGCGGTATTACTATAATATTCTATACCTTATTCTTCTAACTATTATTAGCTCTTTTACTTACTCTTAGTAACTCTAATAGTTAAATAAATAACTTAAACTCTATTTTCTTAGTCTAATTTAATTAGTTTACTAGCTTTTTTTTAAGAGTTTTAAGTATTAAATCTACTAGTTTTAAGATAATAACAAGTACTAGTATAGGGGTTATAGTAGGGGTTAATAAAGTAGCCGGAATAGGTATAATTAGCTATACTAGTAATATATATTCTCTAATAACTTCTACATTAGTACTAAAAATAACTCCCTGACTCGAAGCTTATAATATAATATCTATAAGGTAGAGTTAACTATTTAGATCCAGTATATATAAAGGTTCTAGTAGAGTAGATAATATATTATTAATTAATATTATTAAAGTACTAGGAATCGAGTTTATAATTAATTTAACTATACTCTTTAGTAAAGTAGTTTATTAACTTTGTTTTAGTAAAATTTTAAATAAAAATAAAGAAGAAATAATTACAAGTTAACTTCTTAATATCTTATAGAAAAACAAGTATATTTTATAGGTTTTTATACTAATAATATCTATATACCGTTTTTTTTACTATTTACAACAATCTAATAATAACCTAATTAAATATAGATATATCTATAATCTAATAATAAAATAACTTAGTTTATTCGCTAGCCGTCTATTCGATTATTCTAACTCTTTCCTTTAAACTACTAGAATTATACTAAAAATTAATAATATAATAAAAGGTAGGGAAAGGAATAGTAGAAACTTAGTAGAAGAATAGGCCGACACTATACTTGTTTTAGACGATATTTAACGATATTTCGCCTTCAAATAGAGTAGATACTCGACTCCTAACCCACACGATTTAGAGGCTAAATATCGTCTCGATTAGGCGTGGTTTCAACGATATTTCTTAGCGATATTTTCTGGCTGAACAGAGCCTTACTCAACCTAGCACTTCGGATTTCCCGGAGAATACCCTCGTACTAAACTGTGCAATACGACAAGCAAAATTGAGAAATCAACACGAACTGAATAAGTAGGATGCGTCATACACTTCCAAATTTGTTCTGGAATTGATGCACATGAATCAAGAGTACTCCCTTTACTTGCAATTTGTTGAGCCTCTGCCTTACTTCTGAAATGTTGCCACGCCAAGTTTTCCTCAACGGCTGCATTAGTGCTGAAGGATCCGACGACCGCGACCGTGCCGTGGAGGTTGGACGAACCGTCTGAAAGAAAGCGGTGACAATCCAGTCTTGAAACGTCCCTCGTACTGACACCTGCCAATATCTCCGTCGGTGTTAACTCGGACATCATCAGCCACTGTACAGTACTGTACGAACAGGATTGCGATGATATCAGATGGAAACCTTCGTCGCAGTGACATTCGCGGAAAGTCACCTTTATCGTGAAGTGCCGATGGGCTGACGGTATTTAAGACAAATCCGTGTCTACTCCTCACGCTTTGCGGTTTTAATCACTCCTTGCTGTCCTTCATAGAGACCAGTGTAGTAACCAGCATAGTACCACGACATTAGTAAATTCTTCAGACTCTCATCATGAACTGCTTCAAAAGACACGGGTCAGTAAAAATCTTCGAATAGCATCATTCTCAATTGCCGGAACTTTGTCTCACCTTGGCCGATTAGATGCTGTGGCAGTGCTGGGCCTTTTGGAACCGTACTGTTTGAGATGACCGGATTCTCATGATTTGCCTACGGAATTTGAATTCCAGGTGAGCCATGGTCTGCATGATTGCCGCCGTTTCGAGGGCCATGGAGAACTTGGATCTGTAAAAATGTGCTTACCTGATAGTCTGTGCCCGCCTCGATCGTACGATGATCCACGGTCTCCTTCGGTAACTCATCTTGTTGATCAAGGCTTGGATGTTTGTTCAGTGGCAATTCAGCCTCACCATTATTATTGCTGATCTCCTTTCCCCTGCTACAGAAACATGATAAGCATTTGGATCACCCGGAGGTTTCATGAATAGATAACGATTCTGACGAACACTGTTTTTTTGTCTTGCTCCTCTTTTGTTCTCAAAACATCGGCTACGTTCTCGCCTTTTGCTTGAATGCTGTGGTATTGCTGCTATATATTAGCGTTATTGTGTCGTTGATGTGAGATGGGGAGCTTTCCTTGTATTCTTCAACCGCATCGTTCCATGAGTTGACAAGAACCGCGTCATCCCAGATCTCTCCATGGGATTTACTGTTGACCTCCATCTTGAAATCTCGTTCGTTGGTTAATGCTGATGCTTCGAGGGCGTTTTTTGTGTGAGGCCAGGTACGAGCGTTTGGGCTCCAAATTCACGATATGTAATCTAGATCTTTTCAGTAACTTAGAAGGGCTCTTCGTCAAGCATTCCCCGCAAGTCGTTTGAGATCTCTATCGAGTACCGATATCAACACAGTGTTCCCCAGTCCCATGCAAGGATCATAGACAAAGCTGGCGGGGAGCTCACCTTTGTCACATGACCTACTACGAAGTTTATCCGGCTCTCCTGTATCTGGAGAGTGCCTGCCTCGCCTGCCTACTAGGTAGGTACCGTACCTACTCCGTCAAGAAAACTTTGGTCTTATCAAAAGACACCCTTTGGAGATAAAGCTATCCAGGTGTCTCTGCCAGAGGGTCGTCCAATTCTCTATAATCGTCGTAGATATTTACAACTGTTCCAATCAAATTAGGTAGTTGACATACCTAGGTAAGCTCGGTAAGTACCTGCGTACCTGACGGATGCAAGAAAAGCGGTACCTACCCGTGAATGATAACTTCTAGTTCATGAGATCAACAATGCAGAAATGAGAAAATCGTGACACAGATTATCAAATAGGTTAGACTTGTTTATCATTAATATCTATTGTAGGAGTGTATTGTAAAGTTCTCTACGCCTCTGTACGTGGGGCAGATTTTGGTGGCGCTTGGTCAAGGCGGCCCCGGCTCGGGCTTCAATGGCAGAGCTCACTTTGAAAAAAAAAGTTCGCGCTGCAGACTTCACGACCGCAACCTAAGACTGCAACCATAAGTAGTCCTTCGCAACCAACACAATGGTCAAGGCCGTCGAAACGAAGAAGTGCAAGAGTAGGTGCTCTCATACATGTTATATCATATTTACAATGTAATAAATGCTAATTCCATCACAGCTTCGGTCGCAGAGAGCGGGGCTGAAAAGGTCAAAAAGCCAAAGAAGGTCGAAAGTTCTCCAGTCGTAGCAAAGAAGCGCAAAGGTAGGGTTTGGAATGTTTCAATACATGCGACAATGTATACTGACATGTGCTTACGCAGCTGCTGACGACGAGGCTGTACTCGCTGTCAAGAAACCAAAGAAGTCTGCGAAGACCACCTCGACCGAAGACTCGATCGGAAAGGCCAATGGAAAATCAAAGCCCGCAAAGTCAACAAAACCCACAGCTATAGTCGAGACGGAGGTTATCGTTGAGTCGGAACCCCAGGCAGCAGATGCGGATCAAGACGAGGGCGATGTTTCTGAAATAGACGACCAGACTGAGGCACTCCTCCAAGGATTCGAGAGCGACAGCGACGAGGAAATGCAAAATGCGGCAAACGAAGACGCATATGTTGCTGGCCAGGATATTCCTGTTCCAAAACTCACCAAGTCGCAAAAGAAAAAGATGCAGGCAGCTTTGGCAGATGCGGAATCGCAAAAGCCTGGTGTGATCTACGTCGGACGAATTCCTCATGGTTTCTACGAACACGGAATGAAGGAATACTTCAAGCAATTTGGAACCATTTTGAACCTTCGCCTATCACGAAATCGCAAGACCGGACGAAGCAAGCATTATGCTTTTGTTCAATTTGAATCTGCTGAGGTTGCCACTATTGTTTCCAAGACTATGGATAACTATCTCATGTTTGGACATCTGCTGAAGGTCAAGATGGTTCCAAATGATCAAATATCCCCAGATCTATGGAAAGGCGCCAACAAACGTTTCAAGACGGTTCCTTGGAATAAAATGGAAGGTCGAAAACTCAAGGCTCCTGCATCAGAAAAGGTATGGGACGCACGGGTTGAGCGTGCGGAGGAAAGGAGAAACAAGAAGGCAGCGAAGCTTTTGGAGATTGGTTACGAATTTGAAGCTCCCAAGCTCAAGTCGGCTAAAGGTCTTGCACAAGAGCACCTCGAAGCACCAGCCGTTGTCGAAGCTGAACCGGAGGCTGTCAAGGAAGATGTAGAAGATGTCAAGGAGAACCCAGTTGTTGAAACTACGACCAAGCCAAGAAACAAGAACAAGAGAAAGGCTGCTGAGGAGGCCCCGATTGTCGATGATGCTATCATTGCCAACTCAGGAAAGGAGGCAAACAAGCCAAAAAAGAATAAGAAAGCAAAGACTGTCGATACCAAGACTGTGGTGGAGGAGATTGTGCCTGTTGTGGAGACTCCTGTCGAGGAACCAACCAAGCCGAAGAAGAAGGGCAAGAAATCCAAGGTCGAGGAAGAGGTCGTTGTTGCACCGGAGGAGGCTGTTGAAGCGGTGGAAGAGTCGGCTAAACCAAAGAAGAAGGCTAAGAAGGCAAAGAAGGCAAAGGTGGCCGACAGCGCTGAGATTCTGGATGAGACTCCTTCCACCGAACCAGCAACAAAGCCAAAAAAGGGCAAGAAATCGAAGATTACTGAGACTACTGAGGTGACTGTGACCGAGACTCCTGCTGATCTACCGGAAAAGAAGGTCAAGGCAAAGAAAGTCAAAGTTGTCGAAGATACTGTAGTTCCGGAGGAGAAAGTAAAGAAGACCAGAAAGGGAAGAAAGTCTGTTTGAGTGTATCATCTTGGGCGTTAATGGGAGAGTCTTTTTTGGCGATGTCAAGAAGTCCGCTTTTGCTGGTTAGATCTACTTGTGTCTACTGTACCTAGCCTTGCAGTAAATTATTACCTTTCTCATGTCGATAGTTCAATAAAAATTGTGTTTCTATCAGCTGATCGCTCTATGCCGATGCTGTGGAACGTATACATCTAATAATTGATTCTGTCCAAGATGTTTGCTTTGGGTCTTGACTGGTAGAGATACTCACCTAGGTAGGTATATATGTTCTCAGACGCCACGGTGTCCAACAGTGTGGATGATATGATATCAGAACGTGAGCTTTGAAATGGACACAAGACAAGTTGGCCGCTTAGCCGTAGTGGCACATCCTTAGGTATGGGTACGTGAAGCGTTTTTCTATGGTACGAACCCGTATAGGTATGTACCTAAGTAGGTAGAAGGGTGAGGAGGGCTGAGTGATAACTGTATAGAGTTGAGAAAGTACGAGGCTATTGAAGCCCTACTTTTCAAGAGGGTCTACAATAGTGAGGTAGGGTAGGTAGATACATATAGAGGAGCGTTGTGTTCTAGCTTAGAGGAAAATTCCAATTTGTGCAACCGTCCTGTAAAGGATATATTTAGATTAAGACGGTAGGTAGGTACTAATACGGTTACAAAAGCTTATAGCGGTTGTGACTTCCGATTCTTATAACGGTAGTATTACCTATAGGTGCCTGTATCTACCTACCTTTAGACCTACTAGGTAGGTAGGTAGGTGCATACTGACGGTACAGCCCCTAACTTCCTACCTCTTCTCTCGAGGTCCCATGCTGGAGCGACGTGACCTCAAGTCTCCATATAGGTAGGTACCTACCTCGAAAGCACATGCCTCGAGCAGTTGCCAAAGCCAATTTGAATGGTGGGGTGGAGGCAGATATTGACTGGGCCGCTAACCACGTGCCTTCGCTCCTTCGCTCCATCCCTTCCAACATCGAGTCACTGCCTTACATCCTCTCGCTCTCCTCTCAAATTGTCTCAGTTCCATCGCACTGACGTGGCTACCTAGAACTGGTTCTCGTTCAATAAAGAGGGCACGAATAATGACATATCGGTATCCAGAGTGATAAACCTCCTCCCTCGCCCTCCCACATGTTATTTTGATCCTCAAATCACAATTGCGTGAGCATATCTGCCTACTAGGTAGGAAGATATGTATATCTCAATCCATGCTTCAGCATAGAATATAAACACTTGACTCATACCTAGGCATTAGCTTAAAGAACTTGTGCCTTTACTTAATGTCCCGATTATGCCAATCAGTCTTGCCACAAAATGATTTGTGTCAATTACACGGAAGATTGTGAATAGCTCGCTACCATATTCTTCTTGACACATCCATACTGAGTTTGATATGATGTTCTTCATTAGCTTTATGCCTTCCGTATATTGCTTCCCTTAAAAAACATAGACTTTTGGCCTAGTTGACCACGCTCGCAAGAATTGGATAGAGCTGAAAAGTGAGCTCCGAGTTTTATTTCTATGAGTCCGTACTCATATCTCAAGAAAGACTAGCAAAGATAGTATGAGGGAAGCGGCCGTCGAGTCTACGTTTGACATTCAATTTTGATGATATCTGCATTGCCTTTCAGGCGCTTTTTGCTATTGTGAGCTAACATCTCTTGTTACTACAGGCTGGATTAGAAGCTGGAATGAAACTCGCACTTGCCAAGGCCAGCAAAAATCTTTGAGAAGGTAACTGTGGGGAGAGAAGAGAGTTGTTTGAGGCAGTTCAGCTTAACGTTACAGAAGGAAGCTTAACGGAGGTTGGCAGGGAAAGTATCTTAAATACACATTAACAAAAATGTGGAAGTAGTGAAGCACGTTATTTAATATAAGAAACAATAATTTGAAGTGATATTACTCTTAGCTTTCCCAGCCCTCCTCAAAGTCTTACAAACACATTTAGATTTGTTGTGCTTCCAAATGTAGCTATTAACACTCCCAGGATTGAATTTAACAGAGTGCCAGAAACATAAATCGTTTCAGATTTATAACTGAAGCTCCTCCGCTGTGCATCTAGACGCTGATAAACAATAGGTAGATTGTTGATGTTGGGTTGTACAGTGCGCCAAATAATATTTCCTGAATTTTTGAAGGTTAACAGGGAAAACTTAGCGCTATTTGTAGATTGGAAATGTGGTAAACAGATTGACCACCCCTTTGTTCGCTTAGCATCTCTAAGGGCGACTCTTATCAAACAGTGTAGACACTAGGTACATAAATTCTCGCTAAGCGAGAACTCGCGAATCTCATCGCATTCTCCTTCTTCGAACGTTTGCAAGAATGATTACCTTTTGTTATTCATTAGAAAACATTCCCTTTAATTTATCTTGAATTTGAGGAACTTTCACTTCGATCATCCTGGGTTTCAACGCACAAATTTTCCATGTTCTATGGGCATGATTTGCTCCCAGAGTTCTCTTGTTGCGAGCCAGCACCGAGGCACAGATCAAATAGTGTACAAATTTTCAGCTCATTATCAATGCGTTTGTAATAAGTCTTTTGTCAGGAGGGGTTGATCGATTGAGAATTCATAGCATAATGTTCAAATCGCCTCGCTTATGGAAACCTCTCATTTATCAAGAGAGCATAAGGAATGCTTTCTCGCCAGTCGATAGAATCAACTCCGTGTTAGGTGTAAGCGGGCTCCTTGTAGACGAGAGAAGTGATAGTAAATACATCTTTGTTTATTTTACTTTGCAAGGCTAATACGGATAGTGAACCTAGATATTCATAATGATTCTTTTGATTGTCTTGGAATATATGGTTGAGTTTTGAGATTATCCCGCTGGACGAGTATTTCAAATCGAGTAGTCAGAAATTTGGAACAATGAGGGTTTGAGGGTCACCTTTCTTGCCTCAGAGAAGGCTTCTTATTCACTTGTAGGCTAGCAGCTCTCGAGTAATCAATCCACATGTGCACGCTGTAGATTACTAGACTTAGGGCCAGGGCTAGGGGCTTGGGTTAGTACAGCTTGATCAAGTTGATTTTAGCTTTTGTTTGGCAGGTCCAAAAGCGAGGTCAACGTGGTAAACATTCACAGAAAGATATTCAAGAATAAAAAACCAGAACATACGTTTCCAATACTGCGAAATTGCCTCTAGCATTAATGCTAGCCTACCTGATTTTAGTTTCAAATCACAACTCAGAATGCAAACAAGACCATGATATATGTAATTTTTACTTTATTATTTCATTTATCTATCTATGAAGACATTAATTCATTACTTCATCTGAACATTTATGCATTCTTAACTCCAGGGGAAGACATGGATAACAGCTTTCCAAAGTCTGGTGTACCCAAACCAGTGACAGCATCCCATCCCTTGGTAGCAGGCCAAGTAGCATTAGCAATGACTGGGCTACCATTTGGAGCGCTGTTGAATCTTGAAAGACCATTGCATCCAGTTGATTGACCAGTGGTGATGTCGTTCAATCCAAATTTGCCGATTGTGTACAACCAAGGGTTCAAAAAGCCGAGAGTTGGTTGACCATTGCTGATGCGTGCTGAGTTGAGGAGAGCGATGATACCGTTGAAGGCGGGTGCGGAACACGATGTTCCTCTATATCCGTTGTCACGTCCCTTGTCGAAGACGCGGAAGTTTACACCTTGTGCAGCAACATCTGGGAATCCACGACCAGAGGTGTTGAAATAACCCTTGTTGTGGTCGCTGATAGTCTTGAGGTACTCTGGAACGGCAACCGCTTGATACCAAGGACGGGCCCAGATGTTGGAGAATCCACCAGAGGAGAAGAAAACGGCTTGTTCTGGCTCAATGTATCGAGTTCCACCAACGGATGTGACATATGGGCACGAGGCTGGGAATTGAGGCTGGAACTTGGTAGTGTTCTTCCCGTCGTTTGAAAGACAGAAATCTCCAGTTCCAGAGTCTCCAGATGAGAAGAGGACAGACTTTCCACGAGCACCCAGCTGAGCAAAAAGCTGACAAACTTGGAATGCGTATGAGACAGGGATCTCTTGCTCGTTCTCGCCGTATGAGATACTGATGGAGTTTGGAATCTCGCTATTAGGGAGCTTGGTCAAGGCGAGGAGGAAATCAAGGTATGGCTCGTTGGTGTTGTCGTCTTGTGTTGGGCTGTCTCCGTCAGGGATGAGAAGACCACGTCCTGCAGTGCTGTATTCGACAACAGGGACAGGATATCCAACACCCAAAATGTATTGTGCGTCCAAATTGGCTTCACCAGAGTCATCTGCAGATGTCTGGTCATCGAGTCCTCCGTTGAAACTAACGACCGTGAACTATAATGACTGGTTAGCTCAGAGGACAGGAAAATGCGACAAGAAAACTTACGTTTTCACCAATGGCCTTTGGAAGATACTTCTGCTGGAAAAGTTCGTAGTCAGAGTATCTAGCATACTCCTCCAAGAATGATCCAAAGCCGACGGTGTTCTTACATTTGGCGTCTGCCTTGTAGTGGACGTTGTACAAGTCCAGCAGACATTCGGGTGTAATTGTAAGGTTACAAGTGATATTTGCTCTTTGTACAGATGGCATAAATCTTGCGGTACCATCGAAAGGAGCTCCAGTATCGATCTTCTGGACGGTGGAACGAAGTGCACTCAGGCTTCCAAATCGGGTGGTTGGTTGGACAAAGTTGATGTGGCTTGCTACCTCGGCAGATACAGAGTATGATAGGGTTCGGATGACTTTTTGATCTTCGTCATTCTTGTACCAGGCGAAGTTGGTGTTGAGGAGCTTGTTGGCAGTTTCGACGTTTGAGGTGAACAGAACATAATCACCGTCATCCTTGATGGCGGTGATATTGCTGTCCTGCAACCAGCTAATGACGACGGCTGAGGTCTCGTCACTTGGCTTGAGAAGACTTCGAAGCTCATGACCCTCATAATGTTGTCCGTAGGAGACGTGATCGGGCGTGGACACCTCCATCACTTTTTGATAAAGATCGTCTACATTCTGTTGCTTGAGCGAAACACGTAGCTTGACAGTCTCGTCGGCGTAGGCATTGCGGTCAAAAGTCCAACCACGAGGAACTTGATGAACAGACTCAAAGACAGAACTAGCGAACGTGGAGGAAACGAAAGTAGCAAGGGAGAGAACCCGCATTGCGGTGGTGAAAGAAGGCATCTTGACAGGCGGATTGAACTGGAAGAGCTTGAAGAAGCAAGGACGAAGGCGAGGAAAGGGAATACTTATACCAGGTGCAAATTTTTACTATCTTGGATCAACAAGGTAGTTTTGCGTCCATTATTCACTCAATCATTACTCAAGGCGGCAGAAATTGGTCCACTCAGAAGCTATAGAACAGGGGAGGCTCAATTGAGCTGTCTCTCCGTGTGCATCATCCAGGTACAGATTTCAATCCTGGGATGCTCAACGCAAGTTCGGTACGCTGTACCTGCTGCATCAGGTATTGGGTTCGCGGGCGGTGGCGACGTAATGTCCTAAAGACCGATGTCGTGATATGACTGGTCATCAAATTTGGTCATCAAATTTCAAAGAAGGAGGGGGAGGGGCACCGCTATCAAGCAATATCAAGCATCATCAAGCATCGTCAAGCCTCGGCCAAGATGGTATGGGGGTAAACAAGCTTATATCCAAGACCGGTAGTCGTTTGATGGTAAAATGTATTACATTTCTAGTAATTCGAAGTAGGAGAAATCAACAAACAGTCATGATCATCATTCCAAAGGGTTGTTTAAGATCCGTGGATTCGGTTTTGTCGACTGCAGCTCAAGTGCAGTGGAGTGGTGCGGTGGTGTTTTCCTGACCGCAGACTTCGGATCATCTTCAAATCGGGTCGGTTCCTGGATAAGGATCGCAGCGAATCGGAGATGGCGCTGAATTGTTATCACCACCCCCTTCCTAACTGGATTTGACCCCAGCTTTTTTATGAGGGGCGGTTGTGGGGATCTACAATGTTGGGATGAGCTTATCCTCGCGATTGCACCCATTATGATTATCGTTATCAATTTGTGAGCATTTAGTTAGCATTGAGTTGGAAAATAAAAGCGGTCAGTCGTACGAGCGGCCCTTACCCGTGATGTATAGTAAATTATAGCCAAAAAAGCACACAATTAAGCATAAAAACTTAAAGGGTAAATAGTGTGCATTAAGTAAAAAACCCGAAGAGGCCAGTGTAATGTTACCCACAGGTGAATGGCAAAATAACAGCCAAGAAATCAATTAGCTTTATTTATTACTATTACTGACTTTATTGGATCGACAATAATGAAAGTTCCAACGGACATTCCATCAATCGCTCCTTACTGATCCTGGAGGCTTTCCAGCCTGTATCCCGAATGTAAGCCGTCGCGCCGTACATGACTAGGTACCTGCGCACATATGGCTTGGCATATCAACTCGAGAGTAACTTCCTAATTGGACCTGCCTTTTCGTGTTCTAGAAATTCTCTCCAAGTTGTTCCGAAAGGGCTTACCGAGACGTGCATGTAACTAGTCAATTCGCTGCAATTCGCGGTGTCAGGCGTGCAGTTCAGAGATGTGGCAATATGCTGGGTGACGGCGTAGTTGTACCTGTACCTGTACCAGACAAGCCAAGTCCCCTCCTCAAAGGAAAGAAAGAAACATACCACGATCAACGATTGGTTTAGAATAGTGTTCGTACCAATTTCATATTGTGTTGATGAAAATTCGTATCGTACCCAATCCCCTTGATTTGGCATACGTACGTTTAGATATTTGAGTTTGCGGTTTCCTAATTAAGTAATAAGCTTTACAGTAAGAATAAGCATTTATTTAAGCATACAGTATATCAGAAAGGCAAAATCAAGGTTATCGCGGAACATGTCTGAATATGAGAAAAAGCCACCCTAATATAATTCACCACTATCACTAAAATCCCACTTCTTGTTAGTAGCATCGGAATCTCCATCTTCCCCGCTAATTACAGTTGTATAACTGTCGTACCTGTGATACGGCAGAAAAGCATGGACGGATATTCTACTATTTTATATCGCATATCGACCTCATTTTGCAGTCATTAATTTCAACCTTAACCCTGATTCATGTTTGACGATTACAGATATGCTCTACATCTAAAGCCCCATATATATTTACACCTCTCAAGATAAATTCCACCACCTAGACTAAAAGTGGATACGACAAACTCAAAGATTGAAGCGTACATACCGATATGCCAATTCGGGGGATAAATAACGGAGGTCTTCTATTGTACTGATTTTGGGGAACATCCCATTTTATCAGCTTTTGTTATCGGCTTTTGTCGTGCATCGAGACAGAAACTTTTGTTCTAGGCAATGGTTTATTCCTCAACACAAATATCCTAGTACGCTTAAAGCATTGTGCACCCAAATGCGAAGCCAAAGAAACCTTTTTTGCGGCTTTTTAGCAGTTCTTTCTGTTCGTCTAGGAGTATTTTAGCCATTATTCAAACCAACTTTACTCGTTGTAGCAGAGTTAGCTTCTGGTAGTCTGATTATTCGGTTATAATTGTGTTTTCTATCTATTGGTTCTGGGCGGAGTTCAACCTGCATATCGTGACATCGGGCTTTGCTATGTTTACATATAATTGTCCCATGAAAAGATATTCTGAATGAGAAGCTATTTTACAAGCACCAAGGCAGAAGACTGGGCGAGGAGGCAGCAGAAAGTTTCAAAGTCTTTCTGTGCTTCTTCAATTCCTATGGTTTTAAAGTTTGTGTGTAACGTATAAAGTTTGTGTGCGCGGGAGAGGATCTAACCTTCGAAATTCAAACACAAAATGCCCTTTAGCACTTCCAACAACTCCTCGCCCAGAATCCGAACTTCGGCCATGTTGGTTGTTGAGGGCCTTCTCGATATCTCCTATAAAGATCATCTTGCCTTCAGGTATGCAAGTCGCGGCATTGGAGTTCTCGGTTGAGATTCGGACATATTGCCCTTGAAAAAACTGGACCAAGTTGCTTACATGTTACTTATATCGAAGTGAAGATCTACTGGAAAATTGCGGAAACGCTGAGGACTCGAGTTCTATGGGTCGAATCATTTAAGACATTCGTGTATGGGCTTTCTCGCTTCTGCCGTAGCTGCTCATTACGTCAGCCCTGGCTCGCCTAATCAAAAAGAGATAAACATCAACACCACCCACCTGAAAAATACATAAGAGATCCAAAAAAAGAAAGGATTTGATAAAATTTAAGGCGATGCCCTTAAATTGTATCTCTCTATACGTGGTCCATAGATTCACCGTCGTCTACCAAGTCACGCGATCTAATAAGCGAGGCCCCACAATCAACTGCCGGTGCTCCCACACAAGCTGTTCTTTATATACCGCCGATAAGCAAATCCAGTCACTCAGTGTTGTGTAGCGCAAAGTAGCAGATGGCCTAACGGTTATCATGTGAACCGAGCCGGCTGATTACCTAGAACGCAGTAAGGGCATCTAAACTCCTTACCAGCAAGCTTGACTTGCGGGCATTAAACCCTGGGCGTCGCGGACTGTTCCTTGGAACTAACTGCGATGGTGGTAATCAACTTCAGTTCTTGACATGTAGCTCCTACCTATGGGCCTGGAGCTATTGGTTTTGCTGGTTGGGCTGTTGATATTTACATCTTTTTTGGAGGTTTTTGATCTTTTTGGGATGGTTTTGCTAAGCGAGATGACTTGCCAGGCAGCGAGGAGTTCGGGCCCGCCCGCCCTAAAGGATGTGTTTTGCGTATCGAGGGTGAATAAGCAAGCTTGTATATATCGTTTGATCTATTCGATTACTTGTCTATAATAACAACAAATCTACTAACGTGGTTTATCAGCGAGTCGATCATATCACCGAGTCGATCACTTTTCCTTGGCACTACCTCCTCAAACTTCAACACACGTTTTCTTCAACTATTTACCATGGAAATTCAAACTCAAGAAGCGCGAATTACTCTAGCTATCGAGGCTATTCGGTCGTCCAAAAAACTAAGCAAACGCTCTGCGGCAAAGATCTACAATGTACCATATACGACTCTTTCCGACAGAATGGCTGGCCGAACCTACCGCCCAGATTCTCAAGCCAATTGTCATAAGTTGACTGAGTTAGAAGAGGAAGTGATTATTCGGTATATACTGGATATGGATTCCAGAGGATTTGCGCCCCGGCTCGCTGGTGTAGAAGATATGGCTAATTTTATCCTTGAATCGCGGGGGGGAAGACGCGTCGGCAAGCTCTGGGCCCATCGATTCGTACAACGACAACCAGACCTTAAGACGCGTTTTAATCGCGTTTACGACTTCCAGAGGGCCTTATGCGAAGATCCTGACGTGCTAGGCGCATGGTTCCGGCTAGTAGAGAATATGAGGGCGAAATATGGGGTTACAGACTCCGACTTCTACAACTTCGACGAGACAGGCTTTATGATGGGTGTTATTTGTCCTAGAATGGTTGTTACTCGTGCAGACCGACGTGGTAGAGGCAAGGCAGTTCAGCCAGGCAATCGGGAATGGGCTACAGCAATTGCCTGTATTAATGGGGAGGGCTGGAGTATTCCTCCATTCTTGGTAGTTCAGGGCAAGAACCATCTCTCCAACTGGTATACCGACGGCGGCCTCCCACCTAACTGGGTTATGAAACCGACAAGCAATGGTTGGACAAATAATGAAACAGGCCTGGAATGGTTAAAGCACTTTGATAAACACACTACAGCTCGTGCAAAGGGTCTGTATCGAATACTAGTTTTGGATGGGCACGAGAGTCATGAATCGGCTGAGTTCCAAGACTACTGTACGAAACACAACATTATTACTCTTGGACTACCTCCTCATTCATCCCATCTAACCCAGCCACTTGATGTTGGGTGCTATAGTGTGTTAAAACGAGCGTATGGTCGGCAGATTGAGACGTTTATCAAGGCCCATATCAACCATATTACAAAGGTTGAGTTCTTTCTAGCCTTTACAGCAGCATACAAGGAAACAATGACAGTCCTAAACTGTCAGTCTGGATTCCGCGGAGCTGGCCTAGTACCATTTAACCCGCAAGCAGTGCTTTCAAAGCTTGACGTAAGGTTACGGACTCCAACTCCCCCTCGGACGTGTAGTGCCAACTCCCTCCCCTGGGTGTCCCAGACCCCTTCCAACCCAACTGAAGCCCTTTCACAATCAACTCTTGTACGAAATCGTATAGCCTGTCATCAAGGAAGCTCGCCAACTCCACTTTTTCAAACAGTTGCTGCGTTAGCAAAGGGTACAGAGCGAATGGCACATGAGATGACCCTTTTGTCTGCTGAGGTCCGTACCCTTCGCGCTGCAAATGAAGCCCTAAGTAAACGCCGTAGGGCTAAAAAGACTCGTGTCCGCCAAGGAGGGGCACTTATAGTAGAGGATGTACAGGATATGTTAGCTCAGGAGGATGTAGATGAGCAAGTACGACGCGACATGCGTGAGGCGGGGGTTGGTTATAAGGAGGGGCAACCTTCTAGGCGGCGCTGTAGAACTTGTGGAAAAGCTGGTCATAACGCGCGAACTTGTCAAGAAGTTATAGATATA